ACAATTTTCCTGTATATTCTATATGAAACAAACCCTTACAGTAATATTTGAATTTTTAGAGTTTTTCGAATAATGGATGATGACAGTAATAAACAGCTCAGTCTTGATGAGTTTAGGAAAGGTCTAACAGGCTATGGTTTAATGATAGATGAAGAAATCACCAAAAAACTATTTGAGCAACTGGATAAAGATAAAAGCGGTTCACTAGACTTTGATGAATTTCTTCAAGCTCTTCGAGTAAGTCATGAAACATTGTTCCGTTTTAACTGCATCGTTTACAATTAATTTTCGAGTCACTAGTTAAGAAGCTATTGAATATCGCCGTAAAATCGTTGAACATATAAATGTTCAAATATAAATAAAATAATATACATATAAATATATATATATATATATATACTACATATAAATGTAGTAATATTTTTGACCTAATGTCACATTTTAGTATCTAAAAATTTACCTTGATAATGATTAAAACACTTTTGTTATGTTATACTTTAATGTTTTTTTTTCTCTAATTTAAGGATGTGTCAAGTGCTAGATATGAGATAATCAACAAGGCTTTTGAAATAGCAGACATCAATGGTGACGGGGTTATCGACTGTAAAGATCTCAGTGAAGTGTTTAATGCCAATGACCACCCTAACGTTGTAAGTGGGGAGTGGAATGTGCCACAAGTTTACAAGACCTTTCTTGATCAATTTGACACCAACGATGACGGAGAGGTAATAATTTCTTTAAAATTATTTATAGTATTCAACCAACAAACGGTAAATGTTTCCCCCACCCCCCTAAGCTCGCTCCAGTTTGTCATGTTATCAAAAGTTTTCATGATTTCAATATAAATATTTGCTAAGTTTGTGGAGTGTACGATTGAAACATCGGTATCTTTTCTTTCAAATGAAAAAAGTTATTCTTAATTCAAATTTCTGAAAAATAACAACACATTTTCCTTGTAGTAAAAAAAACAGGTGCATTCTTTCTAGTTTAAAACACAAAATGAAACTTGGTGCCATATCAATGTCTATAACACTTGGTTGATATAAATTGCTATTTTTTTTCAGATTTCAAAAGAGGAGTTCACTAATTACTACGCAGGTGTGAGTGCTTCAATAGATGATGATGCTTACTTTGAATTAATGATGAAGAACGCCTGGAAAATGACATAAATTAACATCACCGGTCATTATTATATATTCACGTATTGATGTAAAGCAGAATGAAGATCCATAATACTAGTATCTTTGATTATAGATAACTTTTGCCTTTCTTAACAGACTTTCACAGACCGCTTTTGTGAAAATCAAATTGTACAAAAACAACTTTCTTATACATACGAGATAATAATTACATTGTGATGTGTCACTGTGTAAGCAACTTTCTTCACATTGATAGAAGTTCTTGCCTGCCTGTCTGTGCGAACAAAATTCTATAAGGTAAAACCTCTACAATAAAAAAGAGCAGGCACAAACATTAACATACGTATCTGGAAACATCATAGACGTGGACGAGAGCTTCAGTTGAGATGGTCGTGATCTTCTTGGTCACGTTTAAAATTTCAGTGAATTCCTCCAATATTCTTCATTTCAACTTTTTGCCAGAGGTCATCATGAACAATCTAATTTGTTAAATCAAATTACTGTCTATTTCAAAATGTATTACGATTATATGTTTGTTGTACAAGGCAATGTCCTTTTTAAAAATCTTTATGCAAGTACATGTATATATTAATAAAACTATAACCAATGACTATAGACTATAGTTGTAAATGTAATCAACATTTTATGTATTTGGGGCATTTTTGCTAAGTCATTGATAGAAATTTTGATTATGTCCATAACATACAAAGTAAATATGAACCGGCATGCCTAACTAACATATTTAGCACACCAACCATTTAAATGTCGGTCTGATTGACAAGTCAAGCCTTAGATAACGAAAATACAGCCCATTTTGATGTTAAGTATCACTTACCATTATACTATCGTTCTTTTGTCTAATTTGTCCAATACATTGTAATTTCTTAAAGGAATGCTCAACATGTAACATTACCGATACCACAGCAAATGTACTCTCCTTTTCTTTCAAAGAATCAAAATATGCTGGATGAAATATCACCTCGTTTGATAAATAATCAATATAAGTAAATATTAGAGATGCACACATCATTCTTGAGGCAGGTAAACGGCAAGTTTAAAAACAAGAGGGCCATGATGGCCCTGGGGTCGCTGACCTGTATATAGTCCCCCCCCCCCCACACACACACCATAAGATTTTTCATGCTAAACATCTAAGCTCTAGCTCTTTGGGCTTTTTAAAGGAAGATTTTTTTAAGTTTTTACTATACACATATAGGTAAAAACAATGACACTCCTAGGGTGGGGCCATTTTTGACCCTTAGGGCTTTTATTTGAACAAAATTTGTAGACACTTACTAGAAAGTGTTTCATCCTTAATATCTAAACTCTAGCTATTTGGGTTTTTTCGAAGAAGATTTTTTAAGTTTTTGCTATACACATATAAGGAAAATCAATGACCCCCGGGGCGGGGCCAATTTTTACCCCAGGGCTTTTATTTGAACAAATTTTGTAGACACCTATTAGAACAGGTTTGATGCTAAATATCTTAGCTCTAGCTCTTTGAGTTCTTTAAAAGAAGATTTTTTAAGTTTTTACTATATGCATAAAGGGAAAATCAATGACCCCCTGGGGCGGGGTCAATTTTGACCCCAGGGCTTTTATTAGAACAAACTTGGTAGACACTTATTAGAACATGTTTCAAGCTAAATATCTTAGCTCTAACTCTTTGGGTTCTTTAAAAGAAGATTTTTTAAGTTTTTACTATATGCATAAAGGGAAAATCAATGACCACCTGGGGCGGGCCAATTTTGACTCCAGGGCTTTTATTTGAACAAACTTGGTAGACACTCATTAGAAGATGTTTCATGCCAAATATCTAAGCTCAAGCTCTTTAAAAGAAGATATTTTAAAGTTTTTCTTTCCGTTGCCATGGCAGCCTGAGTTCTGCATGGAATTAAATTCTTTGAACAATTTTAAAAGTTGACCACCAAAGGAACAATCCTGTGAAGTTTGGATGAAATTGGCTTAATGGTTTTTGAGCAGGGTTCGTCCAGACATCCTATGCCAAAATTCAAGGACTTTTTAAGCACTATTTAAGCACGTTTTCCCAATTTTCAAGCACATTTGTTGCACATATATACCGACACAATCTTCAACCTTTGATGGATAGTTTGTTCACCATTTTTTGTTAAATACACATTTTCTTACATTATAGAAGAACAACTAAGGGTGCATCAAGTACAATTAGTTCAAAACAACTGCAATTTGTCCACTTACTGTTACCTTGATTTTGATACTTATTTGGATCTTTTTTTTTTATTTTGTTTACCGTTGATTTTTATCAAAACTGTGATGTCATTCTGTGATTCAAACATTTTGAAGCACATTTTTAGCAAATTTAAGCACTTCTTAAGCACTTTTCAAGAGAGTAATCAAATTCAAGGATTTTTAAGCACTTTTTAAGAAAGAGACTCAAATTTAAACACTTTTTAAGACTGTACGAATCCTGTTGAGGAGATGTCATTTTAAGCAAAAGTTTATGACCGGACACTAGACGAAAAGCAATCACAAAAGCTCACCCTATCACTTTGTGACAGGTGAGCTAACAAGAGCTGTCCGTAAGACAGCGCGCTCGACTTTTTTATTGCTTGCCAATAAAAAAAGTTTTTGCAGTAAAAGGCAATACAAGAATCTCTGTATTTTTAAAGTGAACTAGTTGTTTGATACCCTTGAATATTACAGCAATGTTTATATGACATAATTTATGGTAAAGTGAACAAGTGGATAGGAATGAATTTTTTTAGATTTTTTAGTGCTTGCCTATAATACAAAACATTGACAGTTAAGGGCCATAATTCAAATAAAATCTTTGACAGAATTACCTTCTCCTGGACATGTTTGGGAATCATGATTGTAAACAAGTATTCCAACTTTCAAATGAATATCTCAAACAGTTCAGTCAAAAAGTGGACTGGTACTAAAAACTTAACCAAGATTCTAAGTCGATAAAAGGCCTTAATTTTTAAAACAAATCCTTGACAGAGTTACCTTCTCTTGCGTACAGATGGGGGTAATGATGTGAAATAGCATTAAAAGTTTCAAAGCAATATCTCAAAGGGTTAAGGCAATAAGTGGATTTTACCCATATTCAATGTATTTTCTAAGTCAAAAAGGGGCATAATTCTGTCAAAAACCTTGACAGAGTTATGTCCTCTTGTCTGTTGATGAAGGTCGTGATGGTAAACAAGTATGGTCAGTTTCAAAGCAATACCTCCAATGGTTTTGAAATAAAGTGAGGTGGTACAAAAAACTTAACCAAGCTCAATACACTTTCTAAGTCAAAAAAGGGCCATAATTCTGTCAAAAACCTTGACAGAGTTATGTACTCTTGTCTGTAGATGGATGTTATGATGGTGAACAAGTATGGTAAGTTTCAAAGCCATACTTGTAATACTTCTGAAATAAAGTGGGGTGGTACGAAAAACTTAACCAAGGTGTGACGCCAACGCCGACGCCGGGGCGAGTAGGATAGCTCCCCTTTTCATAGAAAAGTCGAGCTAAAAATGGATTATTGTATTGTCTGTTGTTACAAATGTAACCTTGACGAAATAAAAGAATATTGTATTGTACTGGAAACCAATTGTCTACAGATGGATACCATAAAAATTTGGGCATATAAATTTTTTTTCAATATCGAAAAAGGGTCTAACGTATAAAAGTTTCAAATAAGGAATCTAAAATTGGTCATTTTATTAATGTTCTTAAGGATTTTGTATATTACTGGTTAAGAGATTAAGATTATTTTTCTTTTATCATTTTCTTAAACTGGGTTTAATTTATTCACATTTAACTATTCTTAAAGCATGCCATTAACACTTGATCGTACAGGACTGTAATCAAAATAAAACGAAAACCCATATGCAGTTTATTGTATTTATATTTGACATTTCAAGTTCAAGTTCATTTCAATATAAATATTCAAATAATCCACTAAAACGCGCATTAATTTCAATTTTAATGCTTGCTCTAAATTCAACATAAGAAGTGTTGTACAAAGTTCACTAAATAGACTAGTAAAAACATCATATTTCATAACCAAAGAAAACTAGAAATGTGTCCATAGGACACAGATGCCCCCACACACCACTGATCTGTCAATCTAATGACTCTAGGTCAAATATTTTTTTGACTACATGTGCCACAAGTTGAAAACTAAAAATCAACAAAGGGCCATAATTCTGTTAAATTTGGTCGCAGCAAAATTTCCTTCCTTTACTACCATCTACACATTCAGGTTGTTAATCCCTGGAAGTTTAAGCAAAATCTGCCATCCGGTTTAAGAGGAGTTGCATTCACAAGATTTCGGGACGGATGGACGGACAAGTGCAACGCTATATGCTCCCACATTGTGGGGGCATAAATATATATCATACAAAAATATATAATTAACTTGCTGTGGTATAACATATTGGTCTGGCTTCATATATCTCATTAACATCACCACTACTGTAAATCTGATAAATTCTGACACTAAAATCTGTCATAACAAAGTATGTACAGTCCAATATTTCTGTTTACCATGTAAAGTGTAAGACATTTAATAGGAGAAAGGCATTCAAAATATATACATGTATGAGCAAAGAATATATATTATATTTTTGTCGGTAAGAATATAAACATATACATTACAAAAGACAGGAAAATATGTGTACAGTCACAGAGCTAAATTTACTTTATAAAGTCAATTCCACACAAATTCATGGCTTTTGGCGTTACTTTTCCACCAGGAACCAGAAATATTTCTGAACCACAACTTGTGATAAGCAATACTGCTCCAGTAACTTTATGATCATGTGCCTTCTTGCTGGGTTATATGGTTTATCTAATTCAGCATATATCAGGCCCATTACTCACTCTTTTAGATTTTCCATTGCTAATATTGACATCACAAGCATCTGAATTGTCCCCTGAATCAGAATTCTCCCACTGTTTATGTATTGTGTAGAAAAACTTGGCAGTATCATTGCGTAGATTTGATATACTGTATGTGTTACCTGAAAATATCATATATACAACATTCAAATACTGAACACATCTATTGATACAAGTTTATTTGCAAATTCAAGACCAATGACTGGTTAAGATTTTAGTATTAATTTGCTTTGTTGGATTTTATGTCAAGGTGATACTACATCTTTTCCGAATGACATAGGGTGCTCCTTTGTGCATTATTTAGCAGATATTTTGACTAGAACCATTGACCTTCTGTATGCTAGCTGAAAATAGCTTTCTTACATGTCAAGGATGCAAAAGTCTCCAACTTGATTCAAAGCCATAGTGGTGTAAGGCAAGTGATTTTGAGTCAACGACCTTATCCACTCAGCCTTTTAGGCTCTAATGTAAAGAAATAAAAGTAAAGCAAATGTATCAAACATAACACTGACCTATAGGAACCATGAATGTATCTCCTGACTCTAATAATGTTGTTGTGTTATGAATTTTAACCAGAACTTTACCATGATCAATGAAGAAGACCTGAAATAACAAGCATAAAATAAAGGATAAACAGTTGTAAATACTAGTATAAGGCAAAGAAAACAAACAAAATCAAATATTTACAAACTATATTTCTTATATTAACTGTTTAATCACATGCTGGGGATCAGGTAATATTACAATAAACCAAAGGTAACACAAGAAAGACAACCAATTTATAACATTTATACTAAAGTTAACCTACAACTTACTTTAATCATGCTATCATTGTCTAGCTTTTGACAGCTTTACAACACAGATCTGAACATGAAAATATCCTTTAACTCTTAAAAGATTTCACCAACATATCTGTAAACTACTAGTACATTAATTAACTACAACATGTACATGAATTCAAACCCATTCTGCCCAGTCTGTTTTTGATACAAAGCATGATAATAATCTAACCATTTACACCGAAATAATGATTGAATAATAAACTAGAACTATCGCTGAATGCGATTCATACCCCCACAAATGTCCTTGACAGAAGACCACTTGGAAAGGTGGTTAAGGGAATAACATATGTGGCACAAATACATAAAAAGAAATTATCTCTGGTGAAAAAAAGACTAATTGTACAGGTAATAGTATAAATATATATTATCAAATCATGTTCGAAACAGTTACAAATAATAGTTCCCAATGTATTAAACATTTTATTTATAAGTCAATTTTTGACCTTCAAGTGTGGCCTTGACCTTAATCTGGCACAAGGGTAAGATGGGTTTTGCACATCACCCAGTTTGGTTGAACATTTGAGTAAAGTTTGAAGAAAATCCTTCCAATAGTATAGAATTTATAGAGTAGACACAATATATTGTCTAGTATTGGTTGTATGTAAATTTGAAGACTTAAAAAGGGGCATAACTTTGTCAAAATGCAATACAGAGTAATGAAACTTGACCTGCATATCTTATTTGCCACACCTCATATATCTTTAAAGTTTCAAGCAAATGCCTCCGCTAGTTTCAGAACTATTCAAGAACATGTTAAAATTTAAGAACATTTTTTAAGTCAATTTTTGACTTTCAAGTGTGACCTTGACCTTTAGCCGGCACAAAGGTGACATGGATTCTGCACATAACCTTGTTGAGGTGAAAATTTGATTAAAGTTTGAAGAAAATTCTTCCATTAGTATAGGATTTATAGAGCGGACACAACATATTATCTAATATTTGATTGTATGTAAATTTGAAGACTTAAAAAGGGGCATAACTTTGGTAAAATGCAATACAGAGTTATGAAACTTGAACGAACAGCATATCGGAATTGTGACCCTTCAAAAATATTTTAAGTTTCAAGCAAATACCTTTTCTAGATTTAGAAATATTCAAATAAACGTAAAATTTAAGAATATTTTGTAAGTCAATTTTTGACCTTAAAGTGTGACCTTGACCTTAAGCAAGCAAAAGAGTGACATAAGTTCTGCACATCCCCTGGTTGAGATGAACATTTGAGCCAAGATTGAAGAAAATCTTTCAATTAGTGTAGGACTTACAGAGCGGACATGACATACTGTGTAATATTAGATTGTTTGATATTTGACCTTCAATTGTGACCTTGACTTTGAGCTGACACATGGGCAACATGGATTCTGCACATCCCCTTGTTGAGGTGAATATTTGAGCCAAATTTGAAGAAAATCTTTCAATTAGTGTAGGACTTACAGAGCAGACACAACATACTGTGTAATATTTGATTGTTTGATATTTGACCTTCAATTGTGACCTTGACCTTGAGCTGGCACATGGGCAACATGGGTTCTGCACATCCTCTTGTTAAGGTGAACATTTGAGCCAAGTTTGAAGAAAATCTTTCAAGTAGTGTAGGACTTACAGAGCGGACATGACATACTGTGTAATATTTTATTGTTTGATATTTGACCTTCAATTGTGACCTTGACCTTGAGCTGACACATGGGCGACATGGGTTCTGCACATCCCCTGGTTGAGGTGAACATTTGAGCCAAGTTTGAAGAAAATCTTTCAAGTAGTGTAGGACTTACAGAGCGGACATGACATACTGTGTAATATTAGATTGTTTGATATTTGACCTTCAATTGTGACCTTGACCTTGAACTGACACATGGGCAACATGGATTCTGCACATCCCCTTGTTGAGGTGAACATTTGAGCCAAATTTGAAGAAAATCTTTCAATCAGTGTAGGACTTACAGAGCGGACACGACATACTGTGTAATATTTAATTGTTTGATATTTGACCTTCAATTGTGACCTTGACCTTCAGCTGACACATAGGCGACATGGGTTCTGCACATTCCCTGGTTGAGGTGAACATTTGAGCCAAGTTTGAAGAAAATCTTTCAACTAGTGTAAGACTTACAGAGCGGACACGACATACTGTGTAATATTTGATAGTGTTTGATATTTGACCTTCAATTGTGACCTTGACCTTGAACTGACACATGGGCAATATGGGTTCTGCACATCCCCTTGTTGAGATGAACATTTGAGCCAAGTTTGAAGAAAATCCTTCAATTGGTATAGGAGTTATAGAGCGGACACGAAAATGGAGACGGACGGACCGACGGACTGACCGACCGACCGACGCGACAAAGCGAATCCATTATAGCCCCCCCACATTTTGTGGTGGGGGTATAATAACCATTAAATAATACATAATTAACAACAAACTTACAATATAATCAGCTGTTACTAATTGTTCCGGTTTTTCAGCATTTGGTTTGATAGACAAACTGCCTGCTGACATACATGGATGACTCAGATGTTTAGTGATGAGGTAAGGATCTTCTTTCTTTGGTGTTTTATGGCTGGGACCAACAGCTTTAAATGCTTCATGTTTCCCTATACACGCTAGAAAATAAAACATAAACTTAATAATCCTGAACATCACTTGTTTTACAGGCTCAACTTTTCATTTTTTTCTTTCTTCATACGAAACATATATTTTCTTTGTTTTAAACTTGGCTGTATAAGTGTACATCAGATATTGTTTTGAAACATAAAAATCTATTCCTTTTTTGTATAACATATATCAATTTACTCTTTGTGATCTTTATCTATTTAATAAATAAATCCTTCTGTTTCCAAACTTTTCTCAAACCTAGACATTGAGCTATATAAAATTATGACAATACTTTAATCTAAATTAAATTTTTTACCTATGCCATCTTCTGACTCTAGGTTTTGGTTGTAGATAGTAATCTCAGGGTCAGATTTGTCTGCTAGATCTATATCAGGAGGAATTTCTCTGTGTATAGACAGTTTCCTGTATGGCTTGTCCTTTCCCTGTTGAGAAGCTTTCCTTACTGTAAAATTTTAACATGAAATAGTAACAAAAGTTTCTAAATGTTTTCCTCCCTTTGTATTTCTTATCATGTATGAAAATGGGGTTTAAAATAATGCCTTATAACACTGGTTATATGTGTAGCTGCAAAACATTTAAGACCTATGGGGCGTCCATGGCCTAGTGATTAAGGTCGTTGACTTCAAACCACTTGCCCCTCACCGCTGTGGGTTCGAATCCCGACAGGGACTTTGGATTCTTTCATGTGAGGAAGCTATCCAGCTAGCTTACAGAACGTCGGTGGTTCTACTCAGGTGCCCGTTCGTGCCTGAAATAATGCACGGAAGGGCACCTGAGGTCTTCCTCCACCAGTAAAGCTGGAACGTCGCGATATGACCTTAACTGTGTCCATGTGACGTAAAACCCAAAACAAACAAACAAACAAAATTTCAGACATATGAACTTTTTTGATATACATGTATCAAGCTTCAATAAAACAGTGCCTTAAAATATTATGTATATTTTGTTGTGACGTAATGAAAAGACTTTAAAGTTTGTAAATGGAGGAGAAATGGGTTGCTTATACTTAATTCAGACCAAAGTTTATATCTGAGAAGTATAACAGAACTTTCAAAACTACTATGGCCTACAAATGTGCGAGGCAAGTGATTTAAAGTAAACAGTATTTACAACTTGGCCAAATAACTACATATACATTGAAAAAGAACAGATAATTATAAACATGTTGTGTACAACCTTCCCTTAGATAAATGTTGGATTATAGACTTACTGTGGAATTAAGAATATTTAGATTTTTCCCAGATAATAACGTAGGTACAAAGAAACCTTTACAGCAACAGCTTCGAAAATAAACGAAACAAGTTAACTAATCTATTGTGACACGTAGTGCACTGTGAAGCTATAACAGTAAAAGTTTGTTTGTTAGCTGGCAAAAACCCACTTTGCCAAACACCAGATAACATATATAATCTTTCTTGCATATCAGACAGGATTATCTACCGTTTACACCGTTGCTAGGAAACTCTATATTACACCTCCCATGTAAGAAAAGTCGCGTGTTTTAAATGAAGTCATTGACGCGAGTCTTTTATGAATGAATTGCGTTCTTGGGATGACGTCACTTAACCGTTATGAATGAAGTTGTAAGTTCATACGCTACTATAAGAAAAAAGTGCATTATGAGAATATGGGTTTTTGTAATTTTTATATTCTGAAAATTATTGATAATGTAATATGCAAGAAAAAGAATCAAACACCATCTGTCAGTGCAGACGGGAATATCTTGCTCTCGGGTAACTGTTCAGCGGAAACTCTGCAGAGCCTCGTTACCGCCATAAACAGTTACCCTCGAGCTAGATATTCCGGTCTGTACCGAGAGCCGGTGTAAGATTCTTATAATTTCATACCAACTTAAAATGTAAATATCAAAATAGAATAATGTAAACTTTAACATACTCTGATATTTTAGTTTTTTGCTCTTGCTCTTCTTTTCTTCCAGTTTTTTATATTTAATTTCCAAAGAGGGCTTCACCCCAATAATAGCTGGACCTGAATAGAGAATCACATAAATATGGAATCATACATATGCTTCACAAATGAGTAAAATGAGTTTGCAAGAACAAATAAACATAATTCAATATTATCTACACTTTATAAACTTCACCTAAGAATATATGATAATAAATAGCATAAACCCAATGGAAAGTGCTAGACACATCTTTAACAACAATTTTCTGAGTTTTAAGAAAAAAGAAACCTCTTGAAATAGCAATAAAAAAATATATATTAAAACACAAAATTACCAGATCTTCTCCTATAGTCAAAAACAACTCGTTCGTTTTTATACCATTCGATGGGCTTCAATCTGGTTCTCTGAGATCTTCTGAGCCCTTCATCAGATGGTGATGGTATAACTGAAATTATGTGACCCATTATTTAGTTTAATTTTTAAGTATGAACAAGCTATTTCTGCTATATGTTTTTGTATATGTTACTATTGTTATTTATATATACATGTACATAAATTTTATGTTAATATCTTGCTTATTTGTAGATATGTTGTCCTAAAGGGTTAATAAGAAAGGATAGTAAGTTATCAAAGTCAGATTAAATCATTACACAAACTTAAAAGAGATAAAGAGTTAATCTATTAGTATGAGCTGAAGTATATACTTACTTAGTCTATCCTCAATAACACTTTCAACATCTACACAAGGTGTTGCAGAATTTGTAGTCTCACAGATATGAACAGGAGTGGAGTCGAAGTTTGGCAGAGGTGTAGAGTTTAATGAAGGTGTTCCAGTATTCAGACTGTGTTCTATGTTCTCTTCAGGACAAATGGTCACTCTACGTCCTTTACTCTTTCTAGTTGCACCAGGGCGAGATATACATGGTGTTAGCCCCCCTGTGCGCTCCATCTCAACATTTATCTTCCCTGTAATATACATTTCTATATTATAAGTATAAACAGCATCGCCAACATTATGGTTGATAGTTATTTGTTCTTAATATTTTGGAAAAAACGAACAGTTTGAAAGTAAAAATCTTCAATAAAGCTTATGCATTAACACTTTCATCATTTGTAAATTACTACATGTGTACATACCAATATAACCTGATCTGACATCTTCCAATAATTCTGATCTGCGAGAGACTCTAAATGACACACCACTCCCAAAGTTAGTAGGCACTGTGAAAAAAAGCAAATATATTATAATGATTTTAATAGGCATCTTCTTTTAGTAATTAGAAGAAAAATATATTAATCAGCTAGTGTAATAAGAATAACATTAACATGAAAGGTACTTCCCGATATCACTTTGACACAACTAAAGTAACATTTCAAACCTAAAGCTAAAGGCACATGCAAGACTTATACATAGACTTATTGTCTACGATATGATCAGTAATTACAATTAAATTACGCGCTCCAGAAGTAGAAAAATATTATTTTCTCCTCAAGTGACTCTTATCAATCAACCTTTAAGTTGGTCATAAGAAAAATGAATATCTTACTTGAAAGCCTTGTGTCAACTGTTGGTGTTATATTCTTAGAATAATCAACCATGTCATCATTCCTATCATTAGATATAGTAATATCATCTGAAACATTTTTCTTTGATTTGCTTCTAGATTTCTTATCAGATTTAGTCTTCTTAGTTTTTGTTTTCTTCACTTGTGTTTCCACATCATCTTCAGAGGATGACTTTCTCTTTGATCCTTTTTTATTTTCTTGTTCATAGTTTCTATGTTCTATTTTTGAACCTTTTCTTTGGTTCTTGGGAGAGTTCTGAATTTTCTGAGCAGGTGATATTTCATCACTATTATCAATATTGGGATAGTCATTGTCATTAGTATCATTTATATCTACATCATTAGTATCTATGCTTGCAGATCTCTTAGACTTGGCGTTCTTTGAATATTTTTGTTTCTTTACTTCTGAGTTTTTACTATCAACTTGTGATTGTTTCTTCTTTGTGGATTTTCTTTTACGTGATTGTATCACTAAATCATAATCACTGTTTGTTTCAGTTTCAATTAAAGTTGAAGTTTTAGAATCAATTTGATCTGTTTTTTCATTAGAATTTATTTGTGACTTCCCCTTTTTTGTTTTACGACTTTTTGTCACTGAGTTTTTCTCAAAAGCTGATTTGTTTGTTTCATTTAAAACTTCTTTTCTCCCTTTCTTCAATTTATCATCATTGTTCTGAGTCTCATTTCTAATGTCCTGTATTACTTCATCATCATTAACACTATGCATATCATTATCACTGTGAGGGTCAGTAACAACATTGTCATCAATATTTAAATTTTCTATTAAATCATCACCTATTGTTTTATCATTCTGCCCTATTGAGTCACCTTTATTATTTAACTCATGTGCAGTTTTCCGCCTGACTTTATTGTCACCTTTTGTTTTCTTCACTTTAATCTCACTTTTGGTACCCTTTTTTAATGGTTTTACTTGTATTTGGTTTCCACTGTCACTTTGACTTTCTGAATCAGATTTTTTAGTCTGTTTTCTGGATTTATTATTGGTAGAAAGTTTCCTTTCCACTCGAGATGTGTGTTTTGTTTTATTGTAATCTAGAATCACAATATCATCATCATCGTCATCAACATTCTCATTATTACCAAGTTCTGTTGTGTGAGCAAGGGTACTTCTAGATGTTAAACATACAAAGTCATTGTTTTCTTCACCTGCAACTTTAATTTCCCCCGACTTTTCTTTTTCAGCTTTCTTATTTTTTACTTTATTCAAATTTTCAGCAGTATCTGTCTGAACTGAAGTTTTGTTGTCAGTCGTTTTTGTTGCAGAGGTTTCGGAAACATCTGTATCAAAAAGTTCTGCATTTGCTTTTTCCATTCTGAAAACAAAACATTTTCATCTGAGAAGTGGTGCTCAAAATAGCTCTACCTTGCTCATGACATTTTCACTTTAGCAATTATTTCCTTACTTAGTACAAAGAAAGGGATATACATTTATAGTTATTGTTATGCTTTTTTGTTCTAAAATAACCATAGATAAACATAAATAATTCAGCTACATTTGCAAGGACTGAACAAAACAAAGTAATTGCACTCTAAATTTTATCTATGATGATGAAACACAGTACTTATAGTCGTGTTCTTGATTTTCTTAACTTTTAATGGTACAGTAAGATATTATCAATTTCAAATGAAATATTCAATATTACTGTTTGTTTATAGGCAACTGTTTGACTGTAAGATGCAACGTAATACTTAAATAGATTCTGAACATTTAATTCACTAAAACCCATCACTATGATTAATGAAATATTGTTTCATGGACGTACTACTAGTACAATACATGTATGTACAATGTACCTGCTTTTATTCCTCTTTATAGACTTTTCACTAGCCTCACTCGCAGAATATGACAACCTAGAAAAGAGACATTCTTGTGAAAATATTCAACCAATAAGACATTTCGATTAAATTTTATCATAGTTTTGAAATGATAAAAATCTAAAGTTATTGTAAAAGGTATCATTGAATTCTTGTTACCCTGATTCTGTTTTGCTTCACAACTTTACAGATACACATGACAACCAATAAAATGAAATAATCCTATTAACATGATTAATGACAGTTTTTTTCACATTTAAATTTTCTTTTTCTCTTCATTACATTGAGAGACAATAAGTGACATTGTACATACAAAACATTAATTTGACATTACAAAACTTAGAATTTCATTTTTAGTATGCACAGTAGGACTACATATTGAAATAAGTCTTTACACTTTATTTACCTTTTCCTAGTTCTATTAAAGCTGACAACAGATGTAGGAATATCTAGCTTAGTTATAGAACCACTTTTGTTTCCAGCAACATCTATGTTTGAGGGTGCTTGTGATGGTCTCAATTCCTCCTCTTCCTCATCATCATTGTCATCTTCATGTTCCTCATTATCAATACCCTTTTCAGACATGCATTTGCTTTCATTTGTCATATGTATTTGTGCACTATTTTCATCCAGTGATTTGTGATTCTTATTAATTCCTTTGTCTCCCCTGTTTATAGATTGCACTTTTTCTATGTGTTTTGACAGTTCTGTTGTAGTCTTTTCTACTTCAGCTGTGCTTTCTTCTTCAACCATCTCTTCATCTGATTCTTTATCAGAATGTTCAACGTTATCAGTTTCTTCTGGCAGGTCATTATCTGAATATTGATCATCAAGATTTTCTGTGTTATTGTCCTCTGCACTTTCAGATTCATCTAAATCTTCACCTTTAGTGTCAGATTCATCTTCATGCTCTTCACCAGCATCATCTTCATCATTGTCCATTTCACTTTCAGAATCACGATCTTCATCACTATTATAAGAGTCCTCTGTATTTTCAGATGATTTTGATTCACGTTTAAGAGTAGATTCACTGGACTGAACACTAATTTTAGGCATCTCTTGAGAAATGTTGTTATGACTGACATTTGACTGATGTTTTTTGTCTGTCTTTGATTGACTTTTGTGTATTGAATTATTTATAGCTACACTCATTTTACCATTCCTTTGAGAAGTTTTACCATTCCTTTGAGAAGTATTATTGTAACTGTCACTTTTTGCAATATCTTTCTCTAATTTTAATTCATTAACTTCAACGTTCATTTTATGCTCCCCTTGGGAAATTTTATCATCACTGTCATTCATTAAAGTTTGTCTTGATGAATCATTTTTATCCAATTTACTATCTTGTGATTTAGTATAACTAATATTACTACTGGAATATCCTTCACTAACAACTTTACTGTATGATCGACTACTTCTGGATGAAACTGGTGTATCAATATGGCTATGTGGAAATGTTTGGTTTCTAGATATTTGTTTTGTATTGTTTGCTTCATTTTCTGTCTTTGCTGCTTCTTTCTCAAGCTCATATGTTAAATCATCACATTCAGACAATGATCTAGATGAATGTGTTAGGTTTGAACTTTGATCTGTTTTAGGGGTGAATGTCTTTTCGTCATCTGACGTGTACATGCCTTCATGATGAGAATGTCCTGTATTGTTGGTTCTATTGTTTTGTTCTTGTAATTCTGATTGAGTATGTCCATCATCTTCCTGACTAGACTCACTGCTTTGTAATTCATCTGAAAACATTGATTAGAACCAAAGATATATATTTTACAATAGATGAGAACCAAAGATATATATTTTACTATAGAGGCTTATACAGTGCAACTTCTGGAGAGAGGCCTTTAATAAATACTGTAACAACAGTATCGCTTATTCCAAAAGTTAATACTTACAATAAATCTAACCTCTCCATAGCAACAAGGCGTTAAAAGCATGGACCTTTGTGTATTATCAATTAAATAGTTTCTTCATTTCACACCTGTCACAAATTAATTAGACATTGTTCACCATCAGACTGATATATTATAACTTCTGACAGGTAGACTTCATTTAACAAACCACTGTTAATGACATGATTGCAAAACTTATTCAACAAATAACTGAACATGTATTTCACAGGAAACAAAGTTACTAAGCAGACTTTTTTACCTGTTCCATGTGATTCTTGCGAGGTAAGTGACTGTGTTCCATCATCTTTATGATGACTCTAAAATGTAACAATTAGAATAAATTATTACCTCATGTTATAATGTAGGACATTTTAAATTCATTTGAATTTAAACCTAGTAATCACAGATATCAGTTGAAATATCAAAGCTTCTTTCCTGAAGTAACAATTTCTTCATACAAAAGGTTTTTAAATTATGAATTTCTATACCAGTTACATTGTATTGCATCATATTTATGTATGAATTTTGCTATGTACATGAACCTTTTAAGTGATAAAATTAAGTGAAACAACTTGATATTAAACTTTAATTCCATAATTGGGTTGACTGTGCAAACTTTTTTTCAAACTTAAACAAATTATGTTATGTATTGAAATGAATGTTCTCTTTGAGGTCAGAAATAGGAAAGGCACAAGTTTATATCACATGCAGAACACCCCAAGAAGTGATGAAGGAAAATGTAAACTGCAAATAATGATTATATAAGCATATGAAAAGATTAAGTACATTTATGATGGACCCTCTTCTAGGATACGGCTTCACAACAGAAACACTCAGTCTTGAAGAAACGCTGGACATATCTGAAAGTCAAACAATAAAATCATTTAGATTTTAAAAAAAAATACATCCTGCATTAGGTCATAATTATACCTTTTAACACAATGCTTTTTTTTTCCTTTTTAAATAACATTTTGAAAATGGTGATGCTATTAAGCAATCAAATACATTAAAAGGTCAAATATTAGCTGTAGTTACCTTTAAGTATGGCTTAAAATGTCACATAAGTAATTAAGTATATTCTAAAAGGCAATCTTTCTATTTTTAACAAAGCTTCTTTGTAAACAAGCAATTATCATAGTATTGCAAGCAATCCATAAGTCCCCTACCGGTTAGGACCCCATCAACATTCTGAAGGGCCATCGGCCATTCACTAATGTTTCAATTTTTCTCTATTTAAAGTAAATTTGTTGGAAAAGTTCTTTAAAAGTGATCACAGGAAACAGTTTTTATGAACAGACAGATAGACGGACTGATGGACACTCTAAAGTTAATATTTGAAACATCCCTGTTACCAAAATATAACATTTTTAAAAGCAAAATTCTTAAAGAGGAGATAACTCTTGAATTAAAGATGCAATTTTATAAAAAAATTCAGCTCTTTTTGACTAATCACAAATATTGTTATATTTGCCATGTTTTAAGCCTATTTGTTGCCAAAGCAACCAATATCAAAAATTTTCAGCTCTTTTTGACTAATCACAAATATTGTTATATTTGCCATGTTTAAGCCTATTTGTTGCCAAAGCAACCAATATTTTTCCAAAATAGGAAGAAAAGATAAGACATGCATAATCTCCAGACTGCCATCTACCCATATGTTAAGTTTCATGAAAATATTTCCAGTACTTTTTGAGTTATCACTGGATTCAGTTTATGTGTAAAATTAAGCAACCAATATCAAAAATTGTTTAGTTCTTTTTGACTAATCACAAATATTGTTATATTTGCCATGTTTTAAGCCTATTTGTTGCCAAAGCAACCAATATTTTCACAAAATAGGAAGAAAAGATAAGACATGCATAATCTCCAGACTGCCATCTACCCATATGTCAAGTTTCATGAAAATATTTCCAGTACTTTTTGAGTTATCACTGGATTCAGTTTATGTGTAAAATTTGCCATATTTTCAGTCTATGTGTTGCCACAGCAACCAGAATTTTCAACATAGGAAGAAAAGAAAAAGACGAGCATAATCTCCAGACTGCCGTCTACCCATATTAAAATTTTCATAAAAATATTTCTATTACTTTTTGCGTCAACACTGGATCCAGTTTATGTGTAAAATTTGCCATATTTTAAGTCTATTTGTTGCCATAGCAACCACAATTTTCAACATAGGAAGAAAAGAAAAAGACGTGCATAATCTCCAGACTGCCATCTACCCATATTTCAAGTTTCATAAAAATATTTCCAGTACTTTTGCGTTCTCACTGGATCCAGGTTATGTGTTAAATTTGCCTTATTTTCAGCCTATTTGTTGCCATAGCAACCAATATTTTCAACATAAGAAGAAAAGAAAATGATGTGCATTATCTCCATACTGCCATCTATCCATATATCAAGTTTCATAAAAATATTTTCAGTACTTTTCAAGTTATCGCCGGATCCAGTTTTATGGACGGATGGACTGACAGAGTAAACCTAAAGTCCCCTCCGGTAAACCGGTAGGGGACTAATAAAGGTCTTCCTCTAATAGTGTAAAGCTGGTAAGTCTTCATTTAAACATTACAATGTCAGTGTGACTTAAGACTTAAGTATTTTTATTAGTAATTAGAGTTAGAGTATACCTGATTCTGAGAAGTAATCATCAAAATTTTCAAATCCATTTTCGTCAATCCTGATTTGCTTGTTAGCAGTTATGTTTTTCCCTGTTCTCCTGTAAATGATCAACATATACTTGGAAACTTTTACACTTCACAAAAACAAAGTATATTATTATAATCTTTACTTTAATAGTCTGTTGTTTCCTTAAGCAAAGAGCATTACTTTCATTGCTAAGTACTGGTTGGTACCAGGAACAGATTTGAGTGTGTTTAATCTTATTTATTACATGCTTTTCGGTGGTTTATAGAAATATATCAGTGATATAAAACTGGTAATTTCACTGTTTGAAACAGTGAAATTACCACTTTGATAATTTCACTGTTTTGAATTTAAGCCCCTTACGTTGTTTCAGTGAAATAACAGCGTGCACAGTACTGGGTACCAACTTAATGACGTGACGTCGTAAATGACGTCACGTTGTATTATTATTTGGCCGCTTTTCATTCAGTATTAGCTTTAATGTCTTTTTAAAACGTTTCTTTGCATATAATAAAAAGAAAATTTGTTTAGTTTAGTGTAAGATCGAAATATATTTCACCTTGTGAACACCAAAAGTTCATATTTCACTTGTGGCTGCGCCACTCGTGAAATATACCTTTTGGTAAATCACTCGGATAAATATATTCAGATCTTACACTGAACTAAACAAATATCCTCTATAGCTTCCTAATTCCTACGCAATTATGCTAAAATAAAATTGAACTGAACTAATTTATTATCTAAATTTTGGACAAATCAAGTAGTTAAATAAAACAGAAAATTTCAATGCCTTTCCATGTACGATAAATCTTGATATTTTACAATTAGAATATTAGTTTACACAATACCTGCCAATGTTTCTATTCCTAAGCCAACCAAATTTAGACCTGTTTGATGCATCACCCTGTAACATACATTTTACAACATAAGTAAATTGACATATACCAACATTTTACAAAGTAACAGACTTAAAGTATAGAAATCATGATTATAAAATGAAGTTTGTTGTATCTTTCACTTCAAATATATATATAAATTCCACTCATGTTTCCTTATAGCTATAATGCTGTAACATATAATATCTAAAAAGTACTTATTAAACAATCATTTAAGAAAATTATTTAATAAGGTATGAGAGTGATTATTTTTACCTGGCTGAGTGTTTGACTTGACTGAAAGTTGTTACATGTAGTATTGGACACGACAGAATTTGGCATATTCTGTGACACAGCATTATGTTGTAAGGATTGGTTCTCTTTACACTCATCTTCAGAGTCCTGGGTACCAGCACTTTCAGATTCCTCTTTTATAGCTTGATGCCGTGTGAAATCCCTTGTCAATTCTGCATCTATTAGTGTATCACAAATTATTCTTTCAGTACAAGCAAAATGAGTCAACTTAATTTTAGCATATATCAGTTTGATAGTAAGATTATTATTGTGTAGCATTCCTGATCCAAGTTAATTTCCTAAATTTTAACAATCCCTATGTTTAAGTGAACACCATACCCCTAGGGCCTTGACCCTGATCTCTAAGTGAGTGGAGTTCATCAACTCTGAAGCCCGAAGGCTTTAGGTTGAAGGACTTCTGTATAAATTACTTATGGTCAAGGTTAAAGTTTTATTAAAGTTTTAAAACAAGCATCAAACAATACGCTCTTCCAATCTATTGACAGGGCTTCCATTAAGTTCCAAAATTTGGAAGTCAGAGACTAAAAATGTTTGACATTGGAAGTCCCATTATATAAGAAAAGAAGGAAAAGCCTTATATTTGGGAAATCACAAGCCAAAATCTGGAGTAAATGACTCCCCAAACTTCCACTTATGGAAGCCCTGCTATTGACTTGCTGCACATTGAAGATTCTACTTTTTACATGTTTGTGTGTGTGTGTGCATGCATGTGTTTTTAAAGCTTTTTGCAACAATCAATGTAATAATGCATTAAAACCTTACCATATCAATATTGGGGAAAATTAACATTTACTTTTTACAGATGACAATGCATCCCCCCCCCCTTCTTGACAAAAACACACACAAAACTAGAAATGTGTCCATAGGACACGGGTGCCCCCACCGCGCAACTGTTCTGTCAATCTTTTTACTAAGTCAAGGGAAATAACTCTACAAATATTTGATAAATCCACAAGCGAAACCCCAGGTGCAAATCTAAAATATGCTGAGCAACCTGCCCATAAGGTTTAATGACTATGTCAAATCCAAGTTGAAAATTGCAAAAATTTTCTGAGTGAAGGGCAATAACTCTAAAAATACAAATAAATCCAGACGAAAATACCTGGTGCACAACTGCACATGCTGATCAATATTTCTGTAAAGTTACATGACTCTAGGTCAAATACTTTTTGAGTTACGTGCGACACAAGTTGAAAATTGCAAAATTTTACTAAGTCAAGGGCAATAACTCTGAAAATACTAAAAATATCCACATGAAAATACCCAGGTGCACAACTACATATGCTGATCAACATTCCTGTAAAGTTTCATGACTCTAGGTAAAATTCTTTTCGAGTTACGTGCGACACAAGTTGAAAATTGCAAAATTTTACTAAGTCAAGGGCAATAACTCTGAAAATACTAAAAATATCCAGACGAAAATACCCAGGTGCACAACTACACATGCTGATCAACGTTCCTGTAAAGTTTCATGACTCTAGGTCAAATATTTTTTGAGTTACATGCGACACAAGGCTGAAAATTGCAAAATTTTACTAAGTCAAGGGCAATAACTCTGAAAATACTAAAAATATCCAGACGAAAATACCCAGGTGCACAACTACATATGCTGATCAACATTCCTGTAAAGTTTCATGACTCTAGGTCAAATACTTTTTGAGTTACATGCGACACAAAAGTGAACGGACGGACGGAAGGACGGACAAGGGTAAATCTAAATGCCCGCCACTAACGTGGGGGCACAAAAACTGCTTCATGCATGTAGTCTGTACATTTAGCTGTTATTATTTTTCCTACATTAAACTTACCAGATTCTGAGAAATAGTCATCAAAATTTTCAAAACCATCTTCATCAACTCTTATATTTTTTCCAGCCCTGACATCTTTACCTGTTCGCCTGAAGTTGTAGAAGATTTATATGAATTATATAAAGGGCTAGGTACGGTTTGGGTCGATTTTGGCCCATCGGCAAAAAATATTCAAAATTTGATATACCAAAATTTAACTATATTTATAACAAATGCAGCAAAATTGAGTCAGATATCTGTTTAGACAAAAAAGTTATAATAAATCAAAACAACCTATCAAGAAAACAAAATACCACAGTTTGACGTCATCAACGTCACGTATTATTTTGAGTGCATCGCTTCGAGTAATTAAAAATATAATGACGCGTATGTATTTTCCAATTTGTTTATCGTGTAATGCAAAGGACTTGATAATACATTAGATGTACATTTCCACCGTTCAATTGCGATAGCAGACATAAATAATTAGTCACTGTGAAGTAATATTAAAGCAGAGACATATAATATATACATTATATGTATTTTAACGTCTCTGATTAAAGCAGACGAAAAGGAAGGCATATACATTAGCTTTTATTTATATAATTTACTTACCCTATTTTAGAAGTGTATTCAGTTACTGCTGTTTTATAAAATACATAATTACTTTAACAAGTTCATAGCTAAATTATCGGCACTGAACCTTCTTCAGTTTAAAAGGGCTAAACACCGAAATCTATGTACGAAGAGGCACATATTCGTAACAGTACCGTTATGACAATATTTTTTATTCATTGGTCTGATGTTATAAACTATTTAGTCAAGTTCCGAACTTATATGTAGGCACGTGTTTGATTATCATCATAATCATCATCATCATCATTATTATTATTATTATTATATGATATTGATCTTTCACATAATCTTTAAGATGTATGCCTCGGTAACTCGACCTACCGGAATTGCCCGAATTACCGGAATCGGCGGGGACTTTACTGGAATCAACCTGTAATTTTGTTAAGTAAGAGGTATTTAAACTTTAATGAACTTTTAAGAATATTTTTGTTTTTTTATAAGATATAAACATTATCAATGATATGTCAAAAGATTTTTTGATTAAACAATAGATCTAAGATCGGAGAGTTACTGCCACATTGCCGGATTCGTCAAGGGCCTGTGATTTGGTTATTTATGCATTTTAATAATATTTGTTTTGCCTGTTTTTATAAAATTTAAACGTTATAATTGGTCCCCAAAGGAAATGTGAAAAAAATAGCTTTTAATTAACAGTGAAAAAATATTTAAAATCGGCGAAAACGGGTAAACTGCCGGAATCGGCGAATCATTACCGAAATCGGCCTTTAGTTTGCTTACTTATGAACTTTTAACCAATATTCTTGCATCTTTAATTAAATATAATGATATATAAAAAGAATTTTGTAAATAAAATCACTATTGATTAATAAAACAAGATATTTAATATCGGCAAGTTACTGCCATTCTGTCGGAGGGTTTACCGGAATCGGCCTATAATTTGGTCTCTTTTTTGCACTTTTTAACGTTTGTTTTGCTTTTTTTATTAAATATAAACATTATCTATCATATTCAAAATAAGAATTTTGCAATTCGCTTTTGATTAATAAAACAATCGAGTAACTGTCATACTGCCGAAATAATTAGCCTCCCTTGAATTCCTGCCAAAACGTCATTACAATAAAAAGGGAGACCACTTGGAAAACCACGTACATTGATTTATAAATGATTATGAACGCGGTATATAGATTTTGCCATGTCTGGGATGCAATACAGCTAAAATGAATTTTATACGAAATAAATAATTTTGAATCTTCCAAAACTTAGGTCTTGAATACTGGATATTTTCGTGTTTCATATGATATTTGTCGGCGATCACGGCAAGGAAAAGTCTTTTAATATTTTAAGACATAATTGAATTAATGAAATGAATGAATTATTAAATAAAAAATAATACAATGGAAAAAGAAGAGAAATAAACAAAATGTACACACACAAAAAGTCGGCATTTTTAAGTCGAAGTTTTTTTTGGGTTTTTTTGGTATCATTCAAAACAGATCATCATTATAATACGATGATGCAGAGGCTAAATTGTTTATATTCTGTTAAAAAAAACTAAAATACAAAAGAACATGTAACGAGATTTATTACAAGATTTTTTTCTTCTACGGATTTTTTTCTCCTGCAAGGTATATGTACGGATAATTTAAACTACCGCAGTCATTAAAACTAGTCATTTGTTTTCAGATAAAAATATTTTCAACTTGCTTAGAATACTGTTTAATTGAAGAAAATAGGAAAATGCGGTGATCAATCAACATTAACTTTGTTCAGGATAATTTACACTTTAGTCTAGTATTTATGTTTCCTGTTAATTGATAATACCACATATTTCATTGTCAGATTTTGAATATTCAGATTACATATCTAACAACACAAAACACAAAATAGGTTTGAATTCCTTTTCAATTTATGATGTAAAGAATACACATGAACACGTTTAAAAAGTGCATAAAAAATTCTAAGCTTTTTCAATGAAATACCATTAATGCAACAATACTGTAATATACTGCAATTATTTGCATAGCAGTACAAAAATACACCCGACGAGTTTCTTATTTTCAGTTTTGTTTCTAGTTTCAAGTTATGACTCATAAAATATAGGTACAGTTGCCGACAAAAAAGCTTTTCGAGTTATTTCAATAATATGCATTTTCGTTTTATTATATGTAATGTAATTCAATATATTACCGGTGAGCACAAAGTTGAAATTCCTAATCATTTACAATGTAAGTATGCAAAAACACACACACATACAAGACTGATTTCAGGGAAACTTTAAAAAGGGTTTCTAAAATTAATATAGCAGTATGTTGTAACGGTAAAGCATGCGCTATACTTTATCACTTTGTTTGGATTTTAACGGCACGTCAACACATAACTGGCCATATCGTGTCGAATGCTATAATAGACTTAAAAAGTTTTCACAGTGGTAGCGTAAAGCCTCGGTCTCACTTACTCCCGGCAGAGCCAAGGACCATCCCGGTAAGTTACCGGGATGATCCGGGATGAAATTATTGTTGCGGTCACACTTACCCCGGCAGCACTAAGGTAGTTCCCTACTAACCACCCAGGATGTGCTCCGGATCATCCAGGCAGAGCCCAGGTGAAGCTACGGTTCATGCCGGTGCTTCCCCGGTCGTTCCCGGATGACGCCGGAAGAGCCCCGGTTGACCCAGGCAGAGCCCCGGCAGAGCCCAGGACGATCCAGGCAGAGCCCCGGTAGAACCCCGGTGGATTTTAAACGCCCGAAAATCATTTTAAATGATAACATTGACACATAATTTTTATTTAATATGATATCTATTGTTTCAGAATAATAATTCATGATGATTTTCTGAAAAATCCTTATGCCATACTGGATAGAAGGGAACTGGGAAGGCTTTTAATACAAACAAGTGCAATCATCGTAAATTGTCGCTATTCTTTTGAAATGATCCGGGCTTTGCCGGGGCTCTACCGGGATCAACCGTAGCTCTACCTTTATCCTCCGGGGCTCTGCCTGTAGTTACCGGGGCTCTGCCGGCATAATTATACCGTGGCTCTACCGGCTATATCATACCCCGGATCATCCCCGGTTTGTGCCGGCAGAGCTACGGTGCTTTCCCGGTATAACCCCGGTCGTTCCCGGCAGAGCTAAGGATGAAGCCGCAAAGCTATACCTTCCCGGATCATCCCGGACCACCCCGGTGATATTAAATATTTTATTCCATCCGGGGTCGAATGCCGGATGTTCCCGGATCATCCCGGACGTTGCCGGCAGAGTTACGGATGTACTCCGGTTGTTCCCAGTCGTACCCGGATCACCCCGGACGTCTACCGGGGCTCTGCCGGGATGTAAGTGAGACTGTAGCTTAAGGTATTAAGCGTACCTGTATTTATACCTGATCACAAAAGAAAAAAATGTTAAAAGTGACTTATAAAAGTTGTGAAGCAAGAGAGACTCGTATGTTAAAAATAATGCACAAAATTTCGACACTTCCAAGATATTTGCAAGCATGCAAACATTTGAAGAACTTGTTTAATTACTTCAATACAACTGTATAAAATAAAATCCAATTAATGATCTACATTCAGAATGTTTTGTCACACAACCCTTCTAAATAAACTGATGCCGGAGCAGTGCTTGAGATCAGTTTGTGCGCTAAAAGTGTCAATCATCTTCAAGGGCGGTCATTCAAGGGTGGTTTTATCAAGACTTCAAAAGACTTTGCCGACTTGCGTAGTGCGTACGTGACAAACTGCTAGGTAAATGTAGGCGGAGTCATTTATGCAGACAGTTGTTCAGCAAAGCAGCAGTGTTACAAAATTTTAATTGACGAGAAAGGTCACACATATTTATCAATCAGTGGATTAGTGTCAACATTTTTTGTGTATTACTAAAATGTCTTGGGTAATTATATCTGATATTAACGTCTTAGGATAATTAACATGCAAATATTATTGCATTTTGGAATTGGAATTGCTCATGAAAGAGAAATACTTTAGTTTATTAAAATGTACGGTGATATTTATCTCTTCACTAATTTAAGAACTGGAGCCTCTCTTACTACCAATATATACTCGATTACGCCCCTTACCAATCCGTCGCCATTTGCCAGTATGTAAACAGTAGACTGACGGAGTGTAAACTTTGGGTAATTAACAGAAGTGCGCAAGCAGTAACCGCAAAATAGTAGGTGATAATTTAAAGCTAATATTTTATGGTAATATAAAATGTAAAAACCTAAGTGGTTAAAAAATGCGTTAACCTAATATTTGTAGAATAACACCAAAATTTACTCATTTTTACGAATTTTGCCCAAACTAGAGGATGATTGACGTCATCCGTGACGTCATCAACGTTGCCGCGATACTAAGGAACGTCAGTTTTTACTTGCTTATATGTTGCTTTGTCAATTGACATTAAATGATTCATTTATATTAAATATTTAATTTCCTCAAAATTTTGGGCCAAAATCGACCCAAAACGTACCTAGCCCTTAGTAGGTTACTATGTAACATGAAAATATGAACAGTATTTTTTAAAGTTTTCTTTGCTTAAAACAAAGATGAAAAATACAGAACAAAATTTCAGTCAGATGTATAAACAACCAATGTATGCAATATACCTCTGTGGAAATAAAAACAAACTGGAAAAAAATGAAATTTTCAATTATTTAATATTAGAATTTATTTGGGAAATAAACAATGTATTGTATATAAATGTCAATTTATCCATTTATATCACAACTGATATTTTAATATTTTGAATACTTGTATTTCATACAAAACCTACCTTCCAATTTTCTTGTTTAGAGGGTTGACCCATCTTCTGCCAGTGTAGACAGCCATCTAAAAACAAAATAATGTTCCTATGTTAGATATTTCATTATAAACAGGGCTGCCAACAGCAAATTGCAAAATCAGCGGAAAATACGCCGGGGGTCAAGGGGGCTGCGCAGAATCCTGGATTCTGATGATTTGGTATGCCCTAAAATCAATTTCCTGGACTCTAAATTTGACAAATATCCGACATTTTGACAACATTTTAGAGCGACAATGTAAACTGTAATTTGATTGGTTATTCTAAAATAGAATACCGGAAAAGACTCGATATGACCAATGAGAAAAGCGCTTACAGACGTACCATAGGCGGCTAGCGTAACGATAAAAGTCGAAGCGTGCCGGTTTTTGGGTACTGTATAAAATATGACGAATGAATTTATTGTCTTTGTCGAATTTACATCGATCTCAAAAATGACCCAGGAGCTCACGAAATCCGCGGATTTCCGCGGAAAATCGTCAGCCCTGTATAAAGAATAAGGTCAGTTAGACATGTATATGTAAAAAAGAGTCAATAACTGCATGTAACATGTTATTACTTGAATCTTGCATCTTTATACTTCACTTTAAATCTTAGGACACTTTTTTCAAGTTTGGTTTTCATGGTATATTTTGTTCATATATTTATATACATCAATGTTTTGTAAAGCACATAGCAAACTTTTGCATTTTGTTTTAAGTCACTGTTGTGTTTGTCTATTGGTAAATGTATATATTTAGATTTTTGTCTTGTCCTATGTATGTAATTGTCTTTGTTATTTTGATAATGCATGTTTTATTAAAAAATAAAATATTTGTAAATGTTTGTTGAATGTTCTTTATCTTAAGTTATATATACATAAAACTACATGTTTATTAACATGCAATGTATTTTGTAATATAACAAGGATGGCTTGTAATAAGTTTTTATTACCCAAATCATTGAAACTTTTTCATTACCAAAATGAAATAATAATTTAAGAAAACATCTTTCCACATTTGTGAATAAATATATATATTAATTATGTGGTTCCAACAATAGACTAGAGATATAACAAATCAATATATTTATTAATAAATTGAAAAGTGGTCAAAGTTGACCTGTGCCATGGAGCTAAATATAAATGGAGAAGTAACAAAGACATCACACAGTTAAATTCAGTATTTGGGGGGGGGGGGGAATTGTGTTTACCTAAGTTATCATATGTCACAGGATTTTCCGAGATTTGATGCCTACTGGGTAAAAGTAGCCAACATACTGCCATATTGAATTCACGGCGGTACATCAACAAAAAAGACAAAGCATTTTCTACTTATATAAGAAGCAATAGTTATTTATTCTTAAACATACAATAGTCACACTTTTCCATACAAATATTTCTCCTATGAAAATCCATGTCGACAATGTAAACAATAATTCATAGATATCGCCGAGGTTTAACGAGAGCGCGAAAATCGGAGACTAGCGGTTAAACCTGAAAGTCTCCACAGCATGCAATGAATTGTGGGTCTGAATCTGACTACCATCAATTTTTGTAGCTTCCTATCTGTTATCTATATTATATATACATGTAGATCTGTGCCGAGTTGGAATAGGGGCGAGCTTACTCTGGAGCATCCTACTCCCCCCCCCGCGAATACGTTTAAGGGCTGAGCTGTCCCTAAATCGGTACTGCTAGCCTCAAGAGTGCGTATAGGCTAGTCGTACGTGACTCACTTATGGTCAAAACATTTAGCTTGCAATAAATTGAATAATGGCCTGTATGCACTGCCTTAAGGAAAACACATTTTTTAAAAATTATATTTTCAAGAAGCTGTTTTATACATATCGATTGCGACCAAAATTGCCGAGCAAAGTTGACATCTTTTCAAATTATAGAGATCTATTCTACCAAACAATTGAATTTGAAAAGAAAATGTAAGAATTTTTGTGTGCATTTTTTCTGATTACGACTGGTTGTGTTCGTATATTTGTTGCTTCAATGAAAAATTTATTCCAGATTTTAGTTAAATGTGTACATCTGATTTGATTTAAACCATTTGATATCTCTTTAAACCTACTTTTTCATCATAAAATCGATTTTTTTCTCAAAATTTTGACATCTGCGCCATTGCGTTTGAAATTCAATTTACCGCGTCAATGTTATGACGATTCTGATTGGTTCGATTGATTCGTTTAGCCAATCACAAGCAGCGTTTTAAATTTAAGAATATTTGGAATACCTCGGATTTTAGTGGCAACAACAACAACTTTCAAAACAAGGAAGTATTGGTCGTAGGTAAAGAGGTAATGCGTGACTTAAAAGTACTGTATGTACTTGTTATATAGTTATGGATGCGATTGTTCTTCACCGTGCCTAAATAACTTGCTTATTCCTGTTATGTTTCACAGACAGTTCATCCCTCAGACACTTCAACCCATTCCTCAAGCCATTTTTATTAGCAGACACTTTCATATATGGCACAAAAACACAATTCTTTTTCACCCCCACATGACAAGGGATACAGGGTTACATAAGGTTACAGTGGGATACAGTGAATTTTCATCATGTTACAGATATTTTTAAAATTAGATTTTGAATTTTTTGTTATTTATTTCACCTAGAGATATTATTTGAATTAAAAAAGGAGATCTAATTTTACTTATAATCGATAATCCATTAACATTACCACACCAAAGGGGCTTGTTAGCTGAGTAATTAGTGAGCAATGGCCTTAGTGGGTACTAATTATTTATTGAGAAAGATAACAAAAACTTGATATTTTGTGACTAATGTTATAAAATTATTTTTAGAAAAAAGATCATATTTTATTTGGAAATAATATAGATATAATTTAGGACATATCTAGACACTTTACCCCTGAGCAAATACCCCTGAGGAAAGGCACTTCACCCACGGCCATTTTATTAGCATGTCACAGGGTGAGAAAAATGTGCAGCCTGACCGGAACTCGAATCCGGGACCCTCGGAATACCCTACCGCGGCTTTACCGACTGAGCTATCCGGCCGCTTACACATCTTCTCCCCTAAATAGTGAACAGTTCTGAACTGTGACATACTCCCCTGCTATATTGAAATTTGTCCTCGAATTTCACAGAGTTACAGAGCAATGTAAATTTAACTCTGAGCTATATCAGTCACGGCCCCACGTTGGGCGCCAAATGTCACAGGGTGAGAAAAATGTGCAGCCTGAGCGGGACTCAAACCCGGAACCCTCGGAATATCATACCGCGCCTCTACTGACTGAGCTATCCGGCCGCTTACACATCTTCTCCCCTAAATAGTGAACAGTTCTGAACCGTGACAAGCAGATACTTCACCACTGTATCACAAGCTTACTGGCCGTTAGTTCTGGCTTCTAAAACTTTACAAGCCGCTTTTTATTAAATTTTAACAGTTTTGCTTTTCATCTGATGCAACATTAATGTTGGATTAGACACATTGCGAAACTTAACCACAATAACATAGGGTGATCTAACCCTTTTTTCGTTTGCAAATATACTTGTCACAATTAATTCTTGTGCATTTTGAGATAAAATGATTAGGCCTATTTTAATATTGTTCTATACCGTTTAAAGTATCAAAATATTAATACCTTTATTAAAATTGCTTATTTAACTGTGAAACATCAATTACGCCGACTACAGTCCACCATGGCATTTAGGAGCTACGCGAGTCCTTGTATGACGTTATTCGCAGGAACCGATTAGAGTAGAGTCTTGTACTACATTTAGAACATCTTTTGTTGTAGCTAAAGATACTTCAGCAAACAGGTTTTATAGTTCTGCTAGACCTGTTCGCTGAAGCCAACCCGTATCGAGTCAACCAGAACTGTGACATATTTATGTCATGCTGTAATTCAATAAATTTGCGTGATCTGGACAAAAGCTATTTTAATACAGGTAGTTAGATATATTTGGGACCCTTCAGTCTATATTTTTGAACACAGAACGTTAGATTGATGAAATAATGCCTCAAAGTTTATCAATGGGTTCACATTTCATAAAATTCGCCGCCATTGCTGCCCTAATTATCACGTGACCAGCGAGAATTTAGGTTCGGATACCTTTGCATGACATTTGGTGACACATGACCCAAATGCTATTTTTAATTGAAAACATGGCTTTGCAATTATGAATAACGGTGTATTTATTCAATAACATGCATTGTACCAAAAACATGTTGGATTTATATTGTTTTAAGTGATGATTCATGAATTATTTGTTTGTTTTTATATTAAATCAAACACTTACTAAAAATAGTGTATGGTCCGTTACTAAAAATAGATGCTAGAATTCCCAAAACTTGAAGTCCCACGAGATCTCATTTGAAAGCAGACTCCATATTGGTAAACATTCTCTACATATTTCCCTAACAAATAGTTGGGTACACAATGTCATTGAAGTTTCATTTAAAAACAAAACATGAATTGATTCAAAATTGATTTGTTTATCAAATGGTATTTTTATTTGACCCAAATTTGATTAATAAGGGTGATTTTAATAGGTTTTTATGTATGGCGCACAAACTGCCAAATTCTGGTAGCCTTTGCAAATAGGGTTGACCCATAACTTTACTGTCGCAACGTCAAAATAAAAGCAACATATAAAGTTATGGAAGCCAGAACTACTTTTGTTGATGTCACATGATTTTAATATATATAATATAAGTTAATGTTTTTATTTATTTTCTTTAATTATTTTTACTTAAATAAAATTAAATTGAATACAAAAGTCAGTAAATCAGTTTTTTCAATATCTTTAAAAAAAGTAATCTATCAAAATGTTGGAAGCACATGGGTTCTGTTTTCTCAACCGTCCGAGCAAATTTACCCGTAAAGGTCAATCTTGTAATCATGTGGTCAAATATTTTGGCAATATGGCTGCCAAGTGCTGTAGTTTATGTTTGTAATGAGCTTTTTATATGTCAATCCTTGGGATATCAGCAGATTATACATAGTTTTATCAAGGTATGCTTCACTTTACTTCATGGTATGTTCGATGAATGAATACAAGCATATCACATTCCTGGCACAATTATTAGTGGACTTTCCCTACGGGTCTGTCTTCAGCATTCACATCATGTCATAGTATAACGGTATGCAGAAGACCATAAGCTAACTGGCGGGTCTCTCCCAGGTTTGGGTTAGATATCTTATTTGATTTCATTACAAAATACTGAATTTATACAATAGTTATATAATAAGATTCTTAAAATTAATGGTCTTTATATCATATAATAATCATTGAAACAGTTTTTATTTCATTTTACACATTGATTATGTAAAGAGGTCCTGAATATTTAGAATTTATGTTTTATTTTCATAATAATTTGAAAAATGTATAAAAAAAACCAACTGAATAGTTTAAGAATGATAATAGATATAATATATTGAAAGATTAATAATAATATGTGATATATGAGCCTTTATTATGAAAAAAATCTCTATTTCATCAAATTTATGTTTATTTGACTTATGATGAATGATATATTTACTAATATATCCATTTATTTAATCCGTGATTGAGATTTTGAAAAATCAAATTTGTTTCAGATAAGAAACATTATGTATCAGTACATTTTATATTTACTAGGAAAACATCATCCATTGATATAGGTAGTTTCTCTCCATTTATTTCAGATGTGATAGTTAAGACATAGATGCAGGACAAGCTTCAGTTTCTAAACATTTTGCAAGTAGGATGAGTGGGCAACAACTGGTTGACTCGTTAAAGAGTCTTCAATTTCCCAATGCTGAATCTCTTGAACCTCAGGCTTTAGACTGGATGTTCGAAAATGAGGCGGTGTCACCAATGCTGGAATGGTTCTGCCATAATATTAGTCCAGCTAATATACTACAAAAGAAAGAGACAGATGAGTAAGTTTCTATATGATATATGTTAGAATAGTCTTGCATGAAATATAATTAAATTCAGCATAGTTGCAATAAGATTTCTGTACGAGGTTTTTGTTTGTTTTAAAGTCAAATGACTTAATAAATACTGGGACTTAAAATATTATAAGTCCAGATAAACACTATGATAACTTTATTAATTATATGTCATTACATTTTTTCTACTATATGTCTGATATATGACTGGCCACCACCAGATTTTATCAATGTTAGGCTGCAACTTAAGCAAAGGACAAATACAAAAATAAAGCTAGACAAATTGGAGTAGAAAAAATGTTACATTGAAGCTGTAACTGTTGTACAAATGAACTAGTAGGTATATGTTTTATATAAACTTTTAACCTGCTGACTTGGTTTAATTAAATTGAAAAAGTTTGAATTTGGAACAGTCCATTCAAATTTGAAGAGATTTTAATGTCACTTGACAAAAAAAAGCTGCTTACAGTATAGAGCTTAGTCAGACTGCATGGATGGGCAGAGTGGGCCTGGCTCTATTTTTGTGGCATAGACTTATCGCTTTCAGTTTCAGCAGGATAAGGATTTAACTGAGCAGAAGATATTTACACAAATTGCAACTTTATTACCTATTATTACTTGTAAAATGAAGAAACATGTTTTTTTATGCCACCGCAATCTGCGATGCGGTGGCATATAGCGATTCACCTGTGTGTGTGTTTGTGTGTTTGTGTGTGTGTGTGTGTGTTATATAGATTATATAGTGAACTTAAAAAATCTTCTTGTGAAAAACTACTAGTCCAATTTCAACCAAACTTGGCAGGATTGTTCCTTGGGTGAAGGGCTTCCAAAGTTGTTCAAAGAATTTCATTCCATGCAGAAATCTGGTTGCCATGGCAACCAAAAGGAATTATAAGAATAAATTTAAAAAAATCTTCTTGTAAAGACCCAAAAGGTCTAGAGCTTAGATATTTTGCATACGGCATTGTCTGGAAGACCTCTAACAAGATTGTTCAAATTATAGCCCTGGGGTTAAAATTGGCCCCGCCCCGGGGGTCATTGATTTTCACTATGTACATATAGTAAAAACTTTAAATACCTTCTTGTAAAAACCCAAAAGGCCTAGAGCTTAGATATTTTGCATAAGGCATCATCTGGTAGACCCTTACCAAGATTGTTCAAATTATAGCCCTTGGGTCAAAATCGGCCCCGCCCCGGGGTCATTGATTTTCGTTATATGTACATATAGTAAAAACTTAAAACACCTTCTTGTAAAGACCCAAAAGGTCTAGAGCTTAGATATTTTGCATAAGGCATTGTCTGGTAGACCTCTACCCAGATTGTTCAAATTATAGCCCTGGGGTCAAAATCGGCCCCGCCCCAGGGGTCATTGGTTTTCCTTATATGTATATAGTAAAAACTTTAAAAAAAAATTCTAGCAATTGACAAATGCTAGAGGTTAGATATCTTGCATGAAACATTGTGTTGTAAACCTCTAGCAAGATTGTTCAAATTATAGCCCTGGGGTCAAATTTGCCCCCGCCATGGGGGTCATTGATTTCAATATATACATATAGTAAAAAATAAAAAAATCTTATTGTCTGAAGGTACAAGGCTTAGAGCTTTAATATTTGTTAAATAATATCATCTAAAGGTACTCTACCAAAGTTGTTCAAATTTTGCCTCTTGTGTCAAAATTAGCCCCGCCCCTGGGAGCCATAGGTTTATCTTATATGTATATAGTTAAAACTTAAAAGATCATCTTCTCTAAATTTACAAAGGATAGAGTTAAGATATTTTGCATGAAACATTGTGTAGTTAACCTCTAGCAAGATTGTTCAAATTATAGCCCTGGGGTCAAAATTGGTTCCGCCCCGGGGGTCATTGATTTTCATTATGTACATATAGTGAAAAAAAAACATATTTTTGTCTGAAGGTTGATGCACAGCTATGAAATTTGAACCATGCGGTGGCATAGCATTTTTCTCAAATGCAATCTTGTTGTGTACATTTTTTCAGATATCAGAAACTGTCACAGACTAGTGAAGTTATATTAAAGGGGAGACATCTTGATGAAGCTTTGAGTAATTTGAATTTTGTAGAGGATGAATCTGTGACAGAGGAAAGTTTAAAGTATGCCATAGCAAAGATATTACATTTAATTTACTTCTTCCAGTATTGTTGTTGTTTTTTTAAACTTCACAGTGTTTTGTAATGCTTCTTTTAAAGAGTTCTTTTTGCTAAATATGTTTACAATTATAATTTTGATCTGTTATGTTTTAAAATATCTTTACTGCTTTCTCTTGAAGTTTCTCCAAAATGATTCTTTGAATAGTTCCAATATTAATCAACATTACAGAGTCCAAACTGTTGTCTCTAGTCAATTTTTAATGTGAATTTTGACTGAAGTTGACTTTTAGGATGAACTGTTTTTCATGAATCTGTATCATATTATTTGAATTATTTTCTATAATACATGTCTCTTGTTTGTAGGGAAGAAATAGATCAGTTAAATGCGAATCTTCAACACTACAAGAAGCAGAAATCTCAATTAGGAAAAAGAAGAAATTTGTTAAGGTAATTTGGCTTTTATTTATAGTATTGAATAGTTCAGTTTTAGTTTTTCATGGACTTTGATATTGAAACTTAGCAACCTACAAAAGTACATATCATATGTTGATTTCTCTTCTTGAAAAAAGGAGTGATTAAATTTGAAAAAAATTGTTTTGTCACCATCAGCAATTTTAGTATGAAGTTATAATAAAAAATCTATTCAGTAATTGCTTTGTTTTTAAATAGAAAAAAATCCATTGTTGATAATATAAAAAAGTAAACTTAGCAACTGTTTAGATTTACTCTAATCTATAAATTGATTGTCATGTAAAACTTTAAAGCAAATTATGTTTTTCTTTACTTTGTTGCTCAGTTGGAGTTATTTGTTGGCATATAAATTGAGTTAACATCCAGATACATGTTCCAGTAGGCTTCCTGCTAATAATGCATAGAATGGTGTTTTATTTTGTTTTAGCAATCACCAGGCTTCACTCACTCATCGTGTTTCAAAGATGAATACTGTAGATACAAAAGTGAAACAAGATTATAAAGCAGCTCTTGCACATACACATACAGTGAATGCACAGGTAAAATTATTTCTATTATTATCATTTTAAACTAATAAAATAGTGCCTTTTACATCTATAGTAAAAAAATTGTATTTCTTATTGTTTAGAGTTTGAACAGACATAATAATTCTCTTCATCCTCCCACCTTACATTATGTGCAATGATAATTGTTTGCACATTGTGTAAGAGCTTAAAAACACAACAGTGTTCATGGTATTAGAAAATTGTCAACAATTTAAAATATTGGACAAAAATAGAAATTTCTGGCAAGTTGGGAAGTGTTGTTGGGGAAGTTACAAGTTGGCTTTTTTAAAACAGTTTAAAGCTACAGTCTAATTGGTTTGTTTGTTATCTGCAAAGCAATCATTTGTTTGTAAGAATTGTGATCTAAAGCATACTAAAGAATTGTCTTGGAAATGATGTTGATGGTATTATTTTTTTTGAAAGCCATGCATATGGATGAAATAATTGGTTTGATATGATGGTTTCAAATAAGGAATGTGTAGTTCTCAAATTAAACAAATGCTAATATTTTCAGGTCTTAAATAATTTCAGTTAGTATTTGTTCTTCATTGATTATGACAAGTGGTTTTAGAATTGTCAAGTTAACAAACTCAGCAAGGTAAAACTTGTATTATTTCAATAAAATTTGTTTACATATTTCAGATGAATGAAAGTTTAGAAAATCTCACAAAATCAGTCACAGAATTAAGTCATCTGTACAGAATTCCTGGTACTGAGAAGAATGATAACTCTTCCATTGTTGGACAGAGTTGTCTCCCTGGTCAGACAGGTCCTCCAGTAATGTTTCTGTCTCAAGTACCAATCCAACAATACTACAGTGCAGAGGAAGCATTCACAACACAACTTACAGCTTACACTAAAAAACAGTTCTTCCAGGTAGGCTAGATGACAAAGAAATTTCTAGATAATCCTGACATTGGACTCTTCATTTCTTTTAAAATTTATGTTTAAGTATAGCAACATACATGAGTTTAGTGTGACTTTTTTATGGCCATTGAGTTTATGTTTAATATTCTGTGTAGTGTTATATCTGTATCTGTGGAGTTAATAATCTGTGTTTTATATTTGATACAGTAATATCCTTGTAATATTCTTGTTTACTAAAATCACAAAAAAAATAGTTCATTTGATTTGAATGAGAACTATTATGCTGTACCCACAGCTATAAGATATTAGTTTAGTTCCAAATGGTTGTTTTACTCAAATGAAAATGAAGGTTGTTTTACTTGAATACTTTACTTAAACCTGAGTAAGATTTTAGTTTTTAATATGATTTCAAATTTAGGCACTTTTGAATATAGTGCTAAAAAGTTTTGTGAGATATATTTTTTATAGTTAATTTGAATTTGACTAGTGTTTTATAGAATTTCTAAGAAACATGTTACATTGAATTAAAAAATCATGTAGACTGCATACATATGATATACAGCTCCTATAATATGTTTTTTAAGAACATGTTATTATCTTTATTGTATGGCAAAAAAATTGAAATTTATATACATTATATTAGGGAATAGCAGAGATGGCAAGTTGTGGGGAAGATTCAAGGTTTGAAATTTTAGAAGTTAGTGATCCAGACAGCTTATTAGTGAGAGGAGAAAGTGCTGATGTTAATATAAAAGACTGTAAAGAGCTAGCAAGATTACAAAGCTTGTAAGTTAATTATGAACATTATATATGTCACAATTATCCAATGAAAATTGAAGTTACAGACATGCAGTATTATAAATATATTTGTAGGAAGTAAGGTTGATCAGCTTATCACTTAAATTTTTAATTCAAAGCTAGGTTGTTCATTGTACAAATAAAGCAGGAACAGAGTTGTGCCAATTTAATTAGACTTTCTTCAATTCCTGACAACCAAGTTAATGATATATTCTGAATTAGATTCCATATTAATAAACATTTCAGTTATGGATATCAAAGAGAAAAAAATGTCTTATATTACCCTTGTATCATTTATTTACCAATGAACAAATAGGGGCATCCACGGCCATGTGGTCAAGGTTGTTGCCACTTTTTAATGGCATTGGGTTTGAATCCCGCCAGGAACTTTGGGTTCTTTCATGTTGGGAAGCTATCCTTCTAACTTACTGAATATCAGTGGTTCTACTCTGGTGCAGGTTAGTGCCTTAGATAATGCACAGTGGGTGTCTGAGGTTGTCTTCCACCAGTTAAGCTGGATAGTCACCATATTACCTTTACCATGTCAGTGTGAAGTAAAACCCTACCAAGAAAAGAAAAAGAAAAAGCAATGAACAAGAAATTTGTTTCAGTATAAAGCTAGATTAAAAATGTTAAAAAAAAAGTCTGATTTAATTAATATGATTCAGGAGGTGAAGCTTATAAATTATATTTAGTGCATGTTAATAAAATGTATTCTTTTATTTAGGTACATAAAGAGTGAGACAGATAGAGTGAAATCTCTGCTGGAAATGAAGAAGTTAAAATCACAGAAACAGTCTGCACAGGGCATCCTAGAATCATTGAAAACTGGTACATTCTCCACAGATCACGGGAAAAACAAGTAGGTAGTATAATAAAACAGCAGATGATTCTAAATTATAAATTAAACTCCATTTTCATGTTTAAACTGATACTAAGAGGCATCATTAATAGCTTGCATTTAGTTTATATTAATTTATTTTAGTTTGATTGTGAAGGAAGCTATAAAGAATAAGCTTATTGAAACACTCTTGAATATGTTCTTTGAACCAACCAGTACTAAGCAATGAGTCAAGTTTAAGGCTCAAGGCAAAAATTGCTTGCCACTAATGGGGTTTGAACCCACACTGCCAGCAATTCTCAGATTACTAGTTAAATGCATTAACGACTTGGGCACGCCACCACTAGCTTGCATTTACCACTGCATTCCTTGAATTGGCTCAATAAAACTGAGTCTGCAACATTTCAATATTGCTTTGTTCTACTTACTAGTATACAGATATTATTTTACAGAGAAAGATTACAGAAGCTTCATTCCTCTATTCATGCAGTGCGGGGAGATTTTCACGAGCTGGGTGAAAATGAAGTACCCAAACTTATACAAGAATGTAAAGATGCCAAGGTTCTGCGAGTATTGACCGGAGATTACAATTTAAAACTGGCTAGACAAGATTATTTTACAACCAACCAAGATAAGGTGTTTAAAAGTTTTACTTCTATTTTATCGTTATTATTATTATTAAGAATTATTGTAGCTGTACAGATATAATTGGTATCAATAGTCCTGTCATTTTCGCAGATAAGTAATGATGAATGTCAAGAAAGAGAACTATAACAGTATTTTGTTTTATGACTGGCCCATAAATAAATGATAATCATATTTGTAAAATATTTCTAATACCATGTCTGATATTATCAAATAACTAAAAATTTACCCTTGTTGCAATTGGTATCCAATATTGGTATTGATATCCACTGCATTATCATACAAAAACTGTGTAACATAAGGGGCGTCTGTGGCCAAGTGGTTAAGGTTGTTGACTTCAAACCACTTGCCCCTCACCACTGTGGGTTCGAATCCCGACATGGACTTTGGATTCTTTCATGTAAGGAAGCTATCCAGCTAGCTTACGGAACGTCAGTGGTTCTACTCAGGTGCCCTGAGGGCATCTGAGATCTTCCTCCACCAGTAAAGCTGGAACGTCACCATATGACTTATATTGTGTCAGTGTGATGTAAAACTCAATTAAACAAACAACTGTGTAACATCAGATTTGTGTCTTGAACAACAAGGTCAAAAGGCATAGCATTTGGTCTATGTCCCTAAGATTGGCAAGTTCAAATCCTGTGTGTGGCACATACTTTCTGTTGCAATTTATTCAGCAACAAATTGTCTAATAACATCTCTTGTACCTATGTCTCAAATTATCTCTGAGAAGCAGTTTATAGATACCGTAAAATCCTGATTTATCGCCCCCACCCTAATTAACGCCCCCACCCACTTTTGAAAACCTTGTGTATAATTTAAACAAAAAAAATAAAAGAAAATAAAAAAAACTCTCTTACTAGTTCGGCGATTTATGGTATATCCAATATAATTCCATTTATGAAAAATATCCGTGAATCAAAATTCACAAAAAAAGTGTAGTCTGCTTGAAAACAGTAAATGTTGAAAACACAAAATGGTAAACATATTTACAGCATACACAATCGATATAGCTTTTGCACCTGGACAACTACACAGATCTTGAAGTGGGCCTATTGACACATTGTAAATTAGGAAAGTAGCATTGATTACGTCAGATTGTCGGCAAGATCAAAGGTGTCAACTACAAGCAGGATCTGGGGGAATTTTTGGGAGGAAAAGTAGAGAGTGCTTGCGGTGTAGGTCAAATGTATCATGGGTTGACATGGTGATGATGTGTTTGTGGATTTTTTTACATCGGTTGAAGAGAGATTTTTTTTTTTTTTTGAGATTTTTTTTTTTTTTTTGAGAATTTTTTTTTTTTTTTATTTAAATGCCCCCCTTTTGAAAAATGTTACGCCCCCGGGGGAATTAAATCGGGATTTTACGGTATTTGTAGGAAAATGTGGTAGAACTGGCAAAGAATAAAAAAATACTTTGTAACTAACAATATATATGTAGGGACTGTTTAACTAACATAATTATGTTTTTGTTAAACATAAATATCTAAGTACAAATAACTTTGTTAAAGTGAATTTTCCACAAATTCGAAAATTTGATCTTGATTGTCATTTAGGGGGACATCAAATGAAGCTTATGTTCAGAAGTATGTTGTATAAAGGTTTTAATTAAGTAATTGAGATAAGGTGCTATGGTTAAGGTTAAAGTTATTATCTAGAGAGACAGTCAAGAAAAATAATATTACTTCAATCTATCATTTAATGTATAGGCATGAAATACTTGTGACAAAAAGATTTATTATACTGTTTTTCTTTTCATTAGGTGATAAATGAGTTGGTAAAGCAGAGATCTAGGAATGAGTTTGTTACCATGGCATTAGAGGTGGAGTTACGACGACATAGGGAACTTCATCATGTTCTTACATCTCTCCATACACAGTTACACAAACAACATGTACAATATCAGGCCAGAATGGTAACATTTTAAACCTTGCAAATAGTCAGAAAAAAACCCCCAACAAATCCTTCATTTATTAGCTCGACTATTCGATAAGAATAAGTAGAGCTATTGCAGTCACCCGAGCGTCGGCGTCGGCGTAACCACTTATGTTAAAGTTTTTGTAATAGTTCAAATATTTTCAAAGTCCATTGACATATGGCTTTGAAACTTTGCACACTTGTTCACCATCATGAGCCCAACCTGTAGACAGGAGGAGGTAACTCTATCAAGCATTTTGACAGAATTATGCCCCTTTTTCGACTTAGAATTTACGTTAAAGTTTTTGTAACAGTTCAAATATTTTCAAAGTCCATTGACATATGGCTTTGAAACTTTGCACACTTGTTCACCATCATGACCCCAACCTGTAGACAGGAGGAGGTAACTCTATCAAGCATTTTGACAGAATTATGCCTCTTTTTCGACTTAGAATTTACGTTAAAGTTTTTGTAATAGTTCAAATATTTTCAAAGTCCATTGACATATGGCTTTGAAACTTTGCACACTTGTTCACCATCATGAGCCCAACCTGTAGACAGGAGGAGGTAACTCTATCAAGCATTTTGACAGAATTATGCCCCTTTTTTGACTTAGAATTTACGTTAAAGTTTTTGTAATAGTTCAAATATTTTCAAAGTCCATTGACATATGGCTTTGAACTTTTGCACACTTGTTCACCATCATGACCCCAACCTGTAGACAGGAGGAGGTAACTCTATCAAGCATTTTGACAGAATTATGCCCCTTTTTCGACTTAGAATTTACGTTAAAGTTTTTGTAATAGTTCAAATATTTTCAAAGTCCATTGACATATGGCTTTGAAACTTTGCACACTTGTTCACCATCATGACCCCAACCTGTAAACAGGAGGAGGTAACTGTATCAAGCATTTTTTTTACTATCAAGCACTAAGAATAGTCGAGCGTTGCTGTCCTACCCACAGCTCTTGTTTGAAAAACATTGTGTTGTTAATTTGCTGTAATTTTGAAGTATGAAATATTGATAACGTTTCTAATTATTGCAAATTTTCATAAGTTTTGTTGTTTTGGTGTTTGAAACCATCTTTTGTAATATGAGGTTTATATCAGAAGAGTTATTTTAATATTCTTTTTACTTTTTTCCTAAAGTCGGATGATGATGCATATATATTTAAATGGTGATTTAATAAAAAAAATCTAAAGTTGAGTTGGTTAGGAGAAATTTTCAGTTAAAAAAAGTTGACGAAATTAATAACAGTGGGGAAACTGCCTTTACTCGGTTTCTATTTTATCATTGGAGAACAAATTTAAAAAAAAAAATCTGAAACAAAACTTTTCATATATCACACTTATTGTTTTTTTACCTACACAGAGTGTTATGTCTGATAACTCATTAACACCTGCCAGACATAAAAGGGAGACAATTGATTCAAGAGATAAAAGTGCAGCAAGGTTATATAACTGTTTAGGTATGTTAATTTCCTTTGTGTAAACATGCTGCAATTATATACATATACTAGACAAAACTTATTGGTTCTCTCAGTTTCAAAATGATTCCTAAATCTATCTTCCAAAATGTTTGCCCAGTCATTATGAAAATAGTGTATGAGCTAAAAAAATCTGGAAACAAAGTGATTCCTCGGAAGCATTAATCACGACAAAATTACAAGAGAATTGCAGACTCGGCCTTGAGTGATTTTTGTGTCGCCTCTACGGAGTAGTGGCGACATATAGGGATCACTTCTCCGTCGTCTGTCCGTCCGTCTGTCTGTCCGTCCGTCCGTCACAAAACTTGTCCGGACTACTCCTCATAAACTACTTAATTATTATTTTTAAAGTTTGTCCGGACTACTTCTCTTATACCACTAATGCAATTTCAATGAAACTTTACAGGATTGATCTGTAGCTCAAGTCCTTGCGCATATTGCACGTGTTTCCGGTTGAATGATTTTTGGCCGAGTTATGGCCCTTTGATAAAAAGGTGTTTTTTTTTTCTGTGTGTTGCCAGATACACAAAAGCTTGTCCGGACTACTCCTCATAAACTACTGGTGCAATTTTATCCAAACTTTCCTGGAATGATCAGTACCAAGTCTAGTTGTGCACTGTCCGTCTGTCTGTCCGTCTGTCACAAAATTTGTCCCAACATGAAATTGGCCATCATGAGGCGACACATGTGATTACTGATCGCTCTTGTCTTGATATATATAATTATTTTATACAGGTCAAGTCTTTGAATTGTATATCCCAGTTTGACTCATGAAATACTTTAATCATACATGTATGTCAGGGTACTGACAAGTTTTGTCTAGTTAAGAAGCAATATGTTCTTGTTGATATAACATCCATTTATTTCTGATAAAACAGAAACTTAGAACGAACTTTATTTTATCAAACTTAAAACCTCATTCCGACTTCTTGATTGAGAATACTTACTTTAAAAGAAAAAAAAATAAGCTCATTATCGTACAATATATCATTAAAGATATGTGTTGAAAAATACAACTTTAATAATATTATTATACTGTGAACAATTTCAACTATTAGAACATAGAAATTCTAAAAAATGTTTATATGTACTAATGAAATGTGAGTGTATGAATTTAACCACACTAACAAATTTAACAGAATTGTGGCTTAGTGGTTATAGTATCTGCCTTTCAACCTAGGGATTGTGCGTCTGAAACTTAATTGACACAAGTACTTGTTAGTTCCAGGAAGTGAATTTGTGATTAATATAGATTGCAAGAATTTGTCTATTGTTAGACTCTAACAATGGAATGTAAAATATACTTATAACTATTTAACAGATGATGGTAAGGAGGTGTCAGAGAAGCAGTTGTTTCTAACATACGCATCACTTGTACATAATGCGGAGAGTCTCCAGCATAGACATAACAGTTTGTTACAGACCCTTGAGTCAACCAGTAATACAGGTCTAGATAATGTCAACATCCTGTAAGTATAGTGTTTGTTCTCATTAAACATGGTATAGACCAGTGTACATATATTATTAGATATTTCATTAACAGGACAATATAAGAAACATTATAATAATGCAAAAACCATTATAATGATGAAAATAAATTTCTCAAATTCTGATTGGCTTAAACACTTTGTATACTATACTGTATATACTGTGTAGAACCAAAGCAGGCACAAATAACCATGTATTTCTACACTGTAGATGGTTACCTATGTGTGTGCATAAAATTTATTATTACGTTTTATTCTTTATGGCATATTTCTTGATTCAAATGTCATCACTTCATAAAAATAATTTTAAAGTTACAGCGCTATGATGACTTTATACTTGAATTACTATTTAATGCGTAGCGTTTTTATGTACATGCACCTTTTTCCTGTGCCCCTAGGAAAACAATCAAAAGATGCTGGGTTTTCTTACGAATTTGTTCTCAATAATTTGCATTATAATATTGCATCAGCAACTTATATACATAAACATACAGAATTTAAATGATGAAGTTTTGTGTATATGGTTACTGAAACTTACAGAACTGATACCATCATTATGTGATGTGTATGGTTATTCTGGTACTTAATTCTGTATCCCTGTACCTTATAACACAAGTTGAGCTGCACCTTTTAAGACATTCGGGAAAAGCTGTCAGAAAATTGTATTGCAAAATTTCATCTTTTTTAAAAAAAATTATAGCCTTATTAGCAACGGATAATGAAATAAATATAACAGTTTATATTAAAGGAACAAAGGACTTTCATCTAAACATTAATAACCTCTGTTACAGTGAACACAAAGTGTGGGCATGTGAGGAACTGGTTTATGCTGGATCCAGTACAACAAGTGGTCAACCTCTACTGACCCCTAGACCAATACAAGAAAACATCATACAGTTACAAAACTTGCTGAAACAGTTAGAACAAGGCATCATGGAGGTGGTCAAAGATATTGATAATAAGAAAAAGGTTGAAAATACATTTGATATTTTGATATAGTATTTTACTTAACTGTTAATCTGCTGGATCCAAAAGTGATAAGCCTTTGCCACCAGAATAGGGCTAAACCAGACTGTACATTTGTTCAGTCTATCCAGACTCTATATTGTTGGAAGTTAATTTAATTAATTTATTACATACCCATGCCCCTTTTGCGACTCTGTAATAATGGTATTGCACGGCCGTGCACATATTTTGACGAGACTATATTCGCGTTATAGAAACATAGACTATATAGATAGTGTTAAGCTCAACGATGAAAAATGATTCTTTTTCACTTTAAACAGTCTTTATTTTGGGTGTGTGATAAATAGAATATACAAATTCAAAGCTGAGCAACTTCATTACTCAAATTTGTTTTCTATTATTGGCTCTTTTTCTTTTTCATCGCATATGAATCCATTTTTTTCTTTTTCATCGCATATGAATCCATTGTTTTTTTTTTTACCCATATTTATTTAATTTTACCCATGAAATATGGTGCTATATCAGTCAAATATATTTCATATTTTTTAAAAATAAATATGAAATATAAATATGAAAGTGGGCGGAGTCAAAACTCATATTTATTTTAAGGGACCTCTTTCACCGTTTTGTTTGAAAAATCTGATAAATACAAAACAACTTTTTCTTGAATATTGTTTTGAAAACTATCTAGCATGATAGAAAATGGTCTAACTAAGAAAATTAATCCGAACACCAATATCTTTAATTCAGTAATTAACGCTATACAGACGTTTAAAGAGTTGTTTACATGACGTCACAATCTAGCGCCAAACAGCGCGTGCTTACGCATAAATTACTGCGCGCTGTACAATTGCAGTTGGTAGCAAGCAAGGGGATTCGATACCATTTTCTTTGATAATGAAATTAAATAAAAAGGTTATTTTTTTGTTTTTTGTGAAATATGGTATATATTTTCACTCGACATGATAAAATGCCACATATATTCACTCGCCGTACCGGCTCGTGAAATATGTGGCATTTTATCATGTTTCGTGAAAATATATTCCATATTTCACGCAAACGAAAAAATATCCTCTTAATATTTTGTTAATTGAAAGAATATAGTTTCTTTATATTTATTGTTTTCGAATCAAAAATCATAATGATATTAAATATAAAAAAAATTTTAAGATGATAATATTGAAAGCAGCTAAGAACTTTCTTACCTATAGAACTTGTTTGCAATATTGATGAGCAGAAAGTTTTTCTGTCACCAATTTATCATTTCTCGTAATAACTTAATGCTGTTTTAAATCATATTGCTGTGTGATACCATTGATAGATAATATATTTAATTCTTTTATTTTCTATTATCATTTCAGTTGTTAAAGAATGACACATTGCTGGCACGAGAGAGGAAGATTTTCACGTATTTTTTTACAAATCCAAGTAAACTACATAAATGTCTCGAGGATCTCTCCTCACGATTACAAGCTGAATCTCATATGGACCAATCAGAACAAAGATAACATCAGCATTAGTTGTTTAATATCTATGATCACAGGGACCAATCAGAATAAAGATATCATAACCATTAGTTGTTTAATATTCATGATCACATGGACCAATCTGTATCCAGATAGCAATAATTGTATGATATTGTTAATATTGTGGTCCAATCAGAATCCTGTTAAAACTAGATATTTTATATTCTAAATAGTATATCAGATAGATTTTGATTTGAAATATTATGGTCCAATTAGTCCTAGTTAATGTATTAAATTTTCTTATTTATATTGACCAATTGGATTTCATATAGCAATAGTTCTTTAGTATTATGCTAATTAGTTGTTACGGAACTGATTAAAATTGTTTTCAATCATGGATAAAATGTTTTGCATTTAATACATATGATGTATGTTTTAAATGATTTAAATCAGATTCTTGCATTAAAGCTCTTTCTGCTTAAGATGAAATTTGAAGCATTGAAAATATTATATCTAAAACAGATACTTTGTTTTTGTTGTTATTGTCACTGGCCTCTCTGTTTCTATCTTGAACAGTGGTGGAATTATAATAATATATGAGGCTAAGGAAATGTTAACTTCAAAAACAAATACTGGCAAGTTACCTAATAGAGACCCATTAACGGTAAAATCTTTGTTGCTGCATCATACATTAATTTTCATATCCTTCAAAACTAACATACCAGGTTTTGAAACAGACTGTTTATGAAACGACTTTAAAAATACTTGGAAGAGACTTTATTTTACTTGAAAATATGTTGACCTTGAAAATAAGTTGTCCTCAAAAATAAGCCATAAATTAAAACAAGCTGTGGAATATTATTGAATTTTTAAGGGTATTGAAAGTATTGAGAAAATGTATGGAGAACCTGTTGGTCATCTTACAACAAAATAGATTAAGAAAATACTTGTTTTGCTTGGGATGTCAGAGACTGTAAATTGCATCAAGGAATATACAAAGTAAAAATTGATTTCTTGGCAAGTGGAAATAAATCTATATTAGATTAATTTAATATGCATTATCACTATGTCGCATAATGTGCATAAAATTGTAAGAAGTGCTATATTGTGTTTACTTTTAAAATAATGTAGTATCAGCATTAATTACTAAAACTTTGCTGTTGGGGAAAGTACATGACTTATTTGAATTATTCTGTAGTCTGTTTCCTGGAACTAACCAGCACTGCTTGTCATAGAACCAACACTCCATAGGTGGAAAGGCAACACATTGTCCAATGGGCAAGTGCTACTCTTGAAGTAAATTAATACGAGACGATATGACAATTTAATGATTAAGGAGGATAATGTCAGGATCACATTGTTGTCAATCTTATGGGACTTGTTATGCCTTTTTCCATGGGACTTAGTATGCATTTTTCCAGTTCATTTTACTAAACCATATATCTGAGAACCTGAAGGAGTGATTAACAACACAAGATGAGAAAAATAAGGTTGTCATGTGCCTTCTTGATATTTTCTTTCCCAAGAGGTCAGTAGTTTAACATAAGAAGATATTTTCTTTAACACTAGTAACAGAAAAACGCCTACACTTTGAGTAGTGACAAGAAAGTAAGCTATGAAATAATTGAGAATTATTAAAAAAAAAATTAAGCAACATGCTATGTAAAAAAGCACTACTTTGACAAGATCTATATGATTGTAAGAGCTTGAAACCTTATTCTCACTGCACCACACAAACACATTAAAGTTTTTTTAAGAGTATTAAGCATGAAGCTTTGCTTAAAGGCTTTCATCTAATTTCTTCTCATATTCATTTTATAATTCTAAACACAAGCTATATTTATACATCATTAAAATCGAAGGGTCAACTTATTATGAAGCTGCTCTTTTGTCTGTGTTGGTAAAAATAACTTCCCTTGGATGAAGCCATCCAGTTAGCTTATGGAAAGATGCCTGCTTGTGCCTGAAATGATGAGCAATGTGGTAATGGAGATCTCCCTCTATCCGTATAACAGGAAAGTTACCATATGACCAGGATCAGTTTGACTTAAAAAATCAGCATGCCATCTGAAATTTTAATGACTTACCTTGCACACAAAACTAACTAAGTCAAAATACATGCCAAAGTTTTGTTTCTTGGAATGATCCCATAGATGTATGAAAGGTTAGCAGTTTTGAAGATTCAGTAAAAACCCATGCTCGAGTCATGGACATTAGGCAATAACTAACAATTATGATCCCTCAAGTCTTGTGAATACCATCTGTAGTTTTTAAGACTGACACACAAAACTTAAAAGGGCCATAATTAAGTTTAAAATCCATGCCCGAATTATGGATCATTGGCAGTGAAAGGTCTACATTTAAATTTTATTATTTCAGACCATGTATGAAGTTTCAGGCTTATATCTGATATGAAGTTGTCTATGATGCTGTACACAAGACTTACCAATTATTCTTGGAATAGTTGACATGCTAAGAACGAAGTACAAGAACATTTTAGAGATCAGTAGATAAGAACTGAAATATCACCTGTAGAAAATTATTTTTTGTAGAAATCCAACTAGATAATATTCTGGCAATGATTACAGATGCTTATCTGTTTATGTGCTAACAAAAGTAATTTTCTATATATTTTCACCTCAAAGTAAAAGATTTCCCATGCTCAAGTTATACAATTACGTAGACATCACGCTCTCTCTAAATATTCTGTTGGGGGAAAGAAAGGAAATAACAAACATTGATAAATTTTACACATAAAAGGTATTTTGAACATAAAGTAAATTGTTATTTTATGATTATATTTTGAACAAAGTACACAAAACATGCTGTGATTGACATGTAAGATAAGAATATTTTTCATTTCAAATTGTCTGAACAAGCACAACCTTTCTATTCACCACACAAGGACACTTTAAATCATAAATGTTAATGAATTTCATTGATACAAATAAATAATTTAAAAATGCATCCAAAGAAGATACAAACAGTAATGAAGGAAAATGCTACATTTGTTTGAATTATTTCACAATCTGCAAAAAATGCTGTTGTAATTTGTCCTTTATTTCAAAATATAACAAAAATATGTTCTGCATTCACTATATAGTCACTGAATATATAAAAAGAAAATACCTCAATAAAAACAAACATTATTTAAAATTTCATAATGGGTGTATAGTCAAATTGTTATGAAGAAAACTACAGTAAAGTATAAAACTTACATTAGTATACACATATATTTTTGTTGAAACATTAGTATACACATATATTTTTGTTGAAACCCACATGTGATAAAGAAAAATGAATTCAAAGGTTCAGTTATAATCATATTCTGTTTAAACACTAACACGTAAACAAATATACATTTAAAGCTGCCATAATTGCATGATTCAATAAAAATTAAATGAAAAGATAAAAACACCATCTACAAATGTGAAGACATTCAACATAAAAATTAAAGTTTCCAGTCTTATAAATGCTACCTTTAAAGTGCTAGCTGCATCAAGAGAAGCCTATCATGCTAGTAGTAGTATGATTTATTAAACCAAGTATGTGCTGGCTTAACAGACTATTCTATAGGCAGCTTAATTCGGAACTTTAATTTTGAAAACCTTTTAACATAACAGCAGTCATCTCCAAGATCAGTACACAGCAAGTCAATGTAACACATTGAAATTTCATTACATATCCCATTTGCTTTCTTATGACATAATACTTCTCCAAACTTTTAGGGGAATGCCGAGTGCCAAACTGTTCACTTTAATTCAGCACCCAATGATAGTGTATCTTAACTTTACAATACAAACTGGTTAGACTTCAAAAAGTGAACAGTATTTACACTGTTCAAATTTTACTCCAGCTTTCACCTACATTCCAAATATTCCACAGCAGCTATCTTGACCCACAGATCCTCCGTGATATTCCTCTTTTAGATAACCTCTTGAAACATTTTGCTTAATTTATCATTTTACTTTTGAAGTAAGAGACAACCATCCTGTCCTACAGTAATACACTGATTGTAAACCTCTTTAAAAACCATAAATATTTTGATGTAATTATCACACAAGAAATGAATGCGTTGGTTTCTTTCCCGGCCATGCTTCTTTTGCATACTTCTTTTTCTTTGGCTCCTTTGAAATGTCTTCTGCTGTCATTGTCACAGATGGCAATGGATTTATTTGTGGTACAACAATTTCTTCATTGACATCTGGTGCAAGGTTAGGTAATGGTACACCAAGTTTAGCTGCCATACTGAATGAACTTGCTGCAGTTAATCCAGATCCCGGCACATTGTCATATAAACTATGAGAATATGAGAAACTTTGTAAACGTTTTGTAATGTTGTCTGTCATTGAACCTTGTTGTAAACCATGTTCTATCTTCGGTCGCTGTAATGTACAAAATGGTACAAATTCAGGAATATAAAACAAGACTATATTTAAAAACTTTTGTCCTAACTAATGTAGTGAATTAGCAACTTTAAAAAATAAATATTTTAGCAATACTATACAAAACCTGTCACAAAGTGTATATTTTACAGCAATATCAATGAACAAGAGCTGTGCAATTCTGATGTCTTATGTTCATAATATACATTTCCTAATAAAAAATTATGTGAAATATTGTTTTCCAAAAACATGTAATTTTATTACATATAATTCAGAATGTACAATTTGAAGAGCAAAATACTGTATTGCTGCTGCATGGCCGAGTGGTTAACGTATTGGACTAGTAATCTAATTATCTCTAGCCACATGGGTTCAATCCCTGTCAGGGGGAACTCGTTGTTTCCTTGAGTGTCATTGCTCAGTACTCGTTGATTCCAGGAATGGCTTATAGCTTCTAACACAAATGAACTAAAATAAATTCTGTATTAACCAAACTGTATTCTAACCTTTGTTGCTATGACATGTGTTGATATAAGATTTCTGAACTTTCCGATTGATGGATCTACATCCTCTGTAATAAAATGAAAACTTACATTATATAAAATATTTAATAAAAAAGTTTCTTTCCTATATAATTACACATATAGGTAATAATTAAATGAGTCCACTTCAGTATTGTCCAAATCATATTATACTTGAGTGAAAAAGTTTAGAAACTAGAGCAATCAGTGATCACATGTGTAGCCTCATGATGGCCAATTTCATGTTGGGACAAGTTTTGTGACAGACGGACAGACAGTGCACAACTAGACTTGGTACTGATCATTCCTGTAAAGTTTGGATAAAATTGCACCAGTAGTTTATGAGGAGTAGTTCGGACAAGCTTTTGTGTATCTGGCAACACACAGAAAAAAACACCTTTTTATCAAAGGGCCATAACTTGGCCAAAAATCATTCAACCGGAAAACCCGTGCAATATGCACAAGGACTTGAGCTACAGATAAATCCTGTAAAGTTTCATTGAAATTGCATTAGAGGTATAAGAGAAGTAGTCCGGACAAACTTTAAAAATAACAAGAACTGTCGGAGGACAGTAACGCTCGACTATTCGAAAATTTGTCACAAGGGTGTTTCATTGAGTATAATAATGCTTACCTATATGAATACATAAAATTGTACGAAAAGGTACAAACCCTTCAAGTTTCAATACAATCACAGAGAACAAGTGTGTGAAGTTTCAATCCATTCCCTTCAGTAGTTATGGAGATACCAGCTTACACACAAAAACTTAACCACGAATTTATGAATCAAAAAAGGGGAATAATTATGCGAAAAAGTAAATCAGAAATATGGGACTTGTGCCAATCATCTTAGATAATCACAGAGATCAAGTGTGTGAAGTTTCAATCCATTCCCTTCAGTAGTTATGGAGATACCAGCTTACACGCAAAAACTTAACAAAGAATTTCTAAGATAAAAAAGGGGCATAATTATGCAAAAAAGCAAATCAGAGTTATGGGACTTGTGCCAATCATCTTAGATAATCACAGAGACCAAGTGTGTGAAGTTTCAATCCATTCCCTTCAGTAGTTATGGAGATACCAGCTTACACGCAAAAACTTAACCAAGAATTTCTAAGTCAAGGGGCATAATTATGTAAAAAAGCAAATAAGAGTTATGGGACTTGTGCCAATCATCTTAGATAATCACAGAGAACAAGTGTGTGAAGTTTCAATCCATTCCCTTCATTAGTTATGGAGATACCAGCTAACATACAAAAACTTAACCTAGAATTTCTAAGTCGAAAAAGGGGCATAATTATGTAAAAAAGCAAATCAGAGTTATGGGACTTGTGCCAATCTTCTAAGATAATCACAGAGAACAAGTGTGTGAAGTTTCAATCCATTCCCTTCAGTAGTTATGGAGATACCAGCTTACATACAAAAACTTAACCAAGAATTTCTAAGTCAAAAAAGGGGCATAATTATGTAAAAAAGAAAATCAGAGTTATGGGACTTGTGCCAATCATCTTAGATAATCACAGAGAACAAGTGTTTGAAGTTTCAATCCATTCCCTTCAGTAGTTATGGAGATACCAGCTTACATACAAAAACTTAACCAAGAATTTCTAAGTCGAAAAAGGGGAATAATTATGTAAAAAAGCAAATAAGAGTTATGGGACTTGTGCCAATCATCTTAGATAATCACAGAGAACAAGTGTGTGAAGTTTCAATCCATTCCCTTCAGTAGTTATGGAGATACCTGCTTACATACAAAAACTTAACCAAGAATTTCTAAGTCGAAAAAGGGGCAAAATTATGTAAACAAGAGCTGTCAGAAGGACAGCGCGCTCGACTTTTTTAGTGCTTGCCTATAAAACAAAACTTTGACAGTTAAGGGCACACAAGACTTTAACTAGGAATTTCTAAGTACAAATCAAGAAACATTTTCACAGAGTTATCTTCTCTTGCTTACAGATAGGTCTCATGATGGCACATAAGAACTCCAACTTCCAAAGTAATATCTCAAATGGTTAAGTCAACAAGTGGACAAGAATGAAAATCTTAACTGAGTTTCTAAGTCAAAAAGGGCCATAATTCAAATAAAATCCTTAACAGAATTACCTTCTCCTGCCCATGTTTTGGGACCATGATGGTAAACAAGTATTCCAACTTTCAAATTAATATCTCAAACAGTTCAGTCAAAAAGTGGACTGGTACTAAAAACTTAACCAAGATTCTAAGTCGATAAAAGGCCTTAATTTTTAAAACAAATCCTTGACAGAGTTACCTTCTCTTGCGTACAGATGGGGGTAATGATGTGAAATAGCATTAAAAGTTTCAAAGCAATATCTCAAAGGGTTAAGGCAATAAGTGGATTTTACCCATATTCAATGTATTTTCTAAGTCAAAAAGGGGCATAATTCTGTCAAAAACCTTGACAGAGGTATGTCCTCTTGTCTGTTGATGAAGGTCGTGATGGTAAACAAGTATGGTCAGTTTCAAAGCAATACCTCCAATGGTTTTGAAATAAAGTGAGGTGGTACAAAAAACTTAACCAAGCTCAATACACTTTCTAAGTCAAAAAAGGGCCATAATTCTGTCAAAAACCTTGACAGAGTTATGTACTCTTGTCTGTAGATGGAGGTTATGATGGTGAACAAGTATGGTAAGTTTCAAAGCCATACTTGTAATACTTCTGAAATAAAGTGGGGTGGTACGAAAAACTTAACCAAGGTGTGACGCCAACGCTAACGCCGACGCCGGGGCGAGTAGGATAGCTCCCCTTTTCATAGAAAAGTCGAGCTAAAAATCAAATCAGAGTTATGGGACTTGTGCCAATCATCTTAGATAATCACAGAGAACAAGTGTGTGAAGTTTCAATCCATTCCCTTCAGTAGTTATGGAGGTACCAGCTTACATACAAAAACTTAACCACAGGGACGCCGACAAATGGGTGACTGCATTAGCTCGATTATTCTACGAATAGTCGAGCTAAAAATTATTAAAGGGCCATAACTCTGACAAAAATCATTGAACCGGAAAATGCTGACAATATGCACAACTAGACTTAGTACTGATCATTCCTGTAAAGTTTGGATGAAATTGCACCAGTAGTTTATGAGGTATAGTCCACGGACGGACAGACAGACGTACGTACCAACTTTTGATATTTAAGAGCATCAGCTCATAAACTACACCTGGACCAAAGTCCATAAGCAAAATTAGCTCATAAAAACAAAAAAAAATAGCTCTTAATTTGAATTTTATGAATTTTGTTCTTTATTTAACTACGGAATGAAGCTAATAAATATCAAATGTTTGCTCGGACAGACGGACGGACGGACAGACGACGGAGAAGTGATCCCTATATGTCGCCACTACTCCGTAGAGGCGACACAAAAATGTCATAGTAATCCAAAATTTCTAGTAAATTATAATACATCAAATTTTAAAGCTGCACGCCTCCAGATGAGCCAAAATTTTTCAAGAAAATCAATATTGAGAAAAATGTAATAAAATTTTAAGAAAAGTACAAACATTCAAGATCAAAATCATATTTTACATGTTATGTGTGGTTTAAGACTAATTTTGCAGTATTTTATCACAATATTTCTACTGCGTTACTAACGCAGTAAGGGTTGTTTTTGCATATGTTGACCACTTTTTGGTAATTTTCTTGGATTGTAGGTGCCGATTGCAATATGTTAATTACTTTATTAGTTCATCTAACAATATTTTACCTTTAAATACATTTCCAAAATTTTCATGAAAATTAACATGAATCTGGAGGCGTGCTGCTTTAAACATGACAGTGAAGTTTCAAAATTATTTCAACAACACAATACCATTTCAGTTTTTCAAACATTCTACAATCCATCATCTTATACATGCTACCTGTGCTACCTGTGCAATTTACAAGTAAGGAAGTTTGAATAAAATATTTCAATGCAGAGCTCTTGGTTAACCATTCAACAGGTAATCAGCAGTAAAGTAATCAAATAGCCAGCAGTTAAGCACTCTCAGACTGATTAAAAGCAATTTCATTTGGCAAAATAAACCCGGCTGCAGTAGTTTATGTAAGAGATACTGATTTACCTCTCAGATATACTGAGAGCACTATCAATGGTACGACTGGCATCAAAGTATTAAAATTCAAACATATTTTAACTTAAAAACTGTAACCAGTAGAAATGGTAGACAGTAGAAAGAAAGTGGGAAAATAAAGGACCTAATCATATGCTACAAAAATATTACCTGGATTAATGATATCATCTTCTTCACTGAATGAAATATGAACACCTTTATGTTTCCTTTTTAAAGGATTTTTGACATCTTTATTTTCTGTAAGTGGCATTGCACGTCTGTTATGAGCTGTATTAAACTCTGTTAGATTCTACAAGGCAAGGTAATGCAAGGTAATTAATTAAAATAATCATGTATAAAAATATAATGATCTAGCAGTTCTTTATTTCAATACATTCTCTTTTCAAGTACATTTGTATTCATACTGAGGTTTAAAAGTGGTAACTTGTCTTGAAAACAAAATTATATAAAACCTACTTATTTAGATAACTAATAATAATAATACTTTAATAAAGAACCTTTACATTTATGTAACAGTATCTATTTCTGCTAAATAACATTGATCAGTTTATCACTGACCTGAGTTTCCGTTCATCCATTATTATATCAACTATAATATCAAAAGAATTTTTTTTAACTTTAGTAATACAATGTATATTAAAACCCTATACCAGTAACACACAGCCTGAATTTTTTAACACATTAAAAAAAATGATATCTTACGTCTAATTCTGTTTCATTTTCTGGTAAGCCTAGAAGGTTTCCATCTTTTTCTCCTTGTTTTTCAGGCTCATCACCTTGTCCGATGTTTTGTGGCCTTTCTCTAATAGTATAAATTCTTGTGGAAGCTCCAAAGTGTAATTCACTGTCTATAGGTATTTGTTGTGGTTTCCGTGATTCAAGTCTAATATGTCCTATATATGTACCATGGGCTGAAATGAATATTTTTTTTTTGAAACAAAAACTAAACATTGTTAAATTAAGACCTGCTTCAAAATATTTGAGCTTGAAATTTAGAATGTTCAGGCAGTCAAAAGTTAATACATGTATATACAATGTACAGAGTGAATATCATAACTGTATTATTTCCAAGATAATAAAGACTGGTTATGGCATATAAAAATGCCTCACTGACTCATTCAAATGATCTTTTAACACCATAAAGAGATTTTCTTCAAATCAATCAACAAGAGCAAAATCGAGATAAATCACTAAGTTTTATGCATATACCTTACATTGATTATTATCAGGTAATTTTTGTCATTATTAATCAGTTGGAAGATTGAGACTGAGACAAAATGATTAAAATACAAAATGTATACAATGGTACACTTACTACTGCCAAGGTCTATAAGAAAGGGTCTGGATAGATGTCTGTGCCAAACAAGAGCTGCATGTACACGTGAACATGAGGCATGATCAATACAGAAATCACACATCTGTTTGTTACGACCAAAAAAATAACACTTTTTCTCATCTACCATCAATTTCTGAAAAAGTTATACACTTGAAATTAATTTTACCTAGATATAATACACATATATTATAAATATATTGGTTCAAATCATTTAGATGTATAGGATAAGACCTATTTTGGTAATATTAAGAGCAGCCAAATTTTAAAAGCAGTTTATACAAATAGTACAGTAGATATCATATGAGCTTACTAGTAAACTGCAGTGGTTATAACTGCACAGCATTTACATTCTAAATCTGATGGGTTTTCACAAATCTGTCAGATAATTAACAACACAATGAATTTCTTCCATCATCATGCTGATACTTTTATCCTAGTTTTTCATTTAGCACCTGTGTATAGATTCCTGTAATTATCATTTCATTACAGAAATCTCTGCTCTAGTGCATTATATAAACATTGTTTCTAGTGGTCTAGCAGCAGTTACATGTTTCATAATTGTATTTTACTTGCAAGGAGAATTTACCAGATCATACTTCTTACAAAAGATAAATACTGATTTACATGTAAATAGTTAAGATTTTTCAATTTAAACAACTTGAATGTGTCAAATGCATATACATGCATACATGTTAATCTATTTATATAATGGTTCAAACTGTACAATTAAGATATTAGAAAGTAGGTTTGCAAAATTAATACAATATTTTAACTTACACACTGACAGTTTTGGAAATTATCATTCATGCACAATATCAAGACATACAAATTGTATAATTTACTACAAGTTGACTGTGTTATATGTTTTATAAACAAATCATGAGAAAGAATTTCTGTGAAACACATTTTATAAACAAATTATGAGATTATAAGTATTGTTTTGGATAGGAAAATCATAACATTTAGTTTCATTATTTATGCTATGAATGGTTACTCCAAAATTGATATAGCACTCTTTCAGCAAATAACAAGTCTCTTACATTGTCATTCAATATCTCAAGTGCAATTCTAGACATTCATAAAATACAACAATTAACTGTACTGCAGGGCTAAGGGCTTTTTTTCACAGGAAGAATATTTTCCTTAAGTTCAGGGAAAATACAATTGTAGTTTCCTAAAAGAGGGAGAAAACTTTATGTTAATTGAACTTTATGAGATCCTTGCATGATTTTTAAGTATTTTCCTTAAAAAGGAGGAAGATGCCTGTATACTGCCCCTGCTATAGAAGGGGAAAACGTTGTATGTGATAAATTTTGTAATCCTCTGGTCAACATATATTTAGTAAAAACTTAGAATATATTATGCTTAAGTAACTTCACTCTACAATTACACCTAATATGTAGTAATATGTAATCTGTAGAAGTGTTCCTAAATTTTATGAACAGTTATAGACAGAGTGAAAAAAAACAAACAAAAAACTTCATGATTAAGAAGTTGAACATTATTTTCAACTAAGGTACAGTAGTCTCATTGGCTGAAAATGTAGTTTATGTAATACAGTGTTTAAGTGAATAAATGTGCTTTAAGATCCTTTAAAACTCTTACCTGTATCAATTTTCCATCTTTCATAACATCTAAATGTAGACCTGGGGCTGGTTTTCCTGCCCTGAAATACAAATAAAATTGTTACTTATGTTAACATTATTTTAGACTATATTCTTAAACATCTGGTTTAACTGAAAATCATGGAGGATTCAAGGAATAATAAACTCAAACAAGAGTGCCATTGCCAGAGTCACAAAAATGCTCAGAATATGAATCTGATGGACTGTCAGATAGTTTCTGACTGACATTTTCATTAAAATCCCTCAATTCATGACGACTTGACCATCAGAAGTCACATTTTCATTTTCTTATCTGAAATTGGATCTCTGCATATAATGTAGCTACAACATTATACCTAATAATGTTGAACACTTGTATCAAGTGATATAACAAACCCCCAATGCCTGTAAAAGTTCCAATATGGACAAGTGTTTTCCTCTGACCTCTAATTGTGAATTGACCTTTGACCTGGAGACATGGTTGAATTCATGTGTGCAACACTATATGTTATGATGTCAATCAATACTAATATCCATCCATGCATGACATAAAAGATTATGTTCTGGACAATTATGCCGATAATACTCAGCCTTGACAGTAACTGTATGATACTGTGAACATTAATTTATGATATAATCAATACAGGACTAAATTTTTTTAATAAATTTGATTTTCAATATCTTTATCTCTCAGTGTATCCTTGACCCTGGTCACAGGGATGAAAATTTTGTATGTAATAATATGCCTAAAATGTGAACATTTGTGTCAAATCCTATTAAATGCTTGTAGAAGTTTTGGTCCAGACAAGCTTTTCTTTAACCTCTGACATTGACCTAGAGACCCGCTTCATGCATGAGGCAATTTGTCTCATGATAGTGTTTTTATGTAGTAACACATGTATTAAAAACTATCGATACATGCAGAAGATATCAATAAGGAATATTTACTTTTATTGAAGGGAAATATCTGCCCCAAAATCCTGTAAGTGAATTGAGGGCCCTGGAGACTTATAGGATATTTCAGTAATTTTCATACATCAGTACTTTTCTAATTGTTTTATTCATACCATGCTTTGTGATATGTAATGATATTGTAATAACCCTGGCAGTGATTTTTCCCCTGTATTTTACAGTGGTTTCCCCTAGCCCAAAATAGGTATATTTTCCCATAAAAATGCTCATATTTCCCACTAAAATTTCCTGTGCACATTTTTCACCAGAACCATGACTTATCAGCAGCTTAAGAAGACAAAAAGCTGTCCCTATATATAGCCTCTGCTATGTACCATGCATGTAGGATTGAATTGAATTGAAAATTTTATAAAAAGTGTGGGAAAATTCCATAATTTGATTTCCCCCTTTTCTGATTTATTGCAGAAAGCCACAGGTTGTTTTGAAAATTGAAAAAAAAAATCATTGCCCGGTATTATGTGACACTTGTGTGACTTTTCCTGTTTTTTGGGAAGTTAATTATTTATTGTAATAATAGTATTCAATGTTAAAATTTTATTTTAAGTCTTGATTTTTCTTACAAAATTTAGCCATTTTGTCTGGTTAAAGTTAGATAGTTTTCTACCTGTTTTTGGTAGATAGTTTTCTACTAGTTTTTGGTGGATAGTTTTTTACCAGTTTTTGGTAGATAGTTCTCTACCCGTATTTGGTATCGACCATTTTTTGGTAGCTATCATTCTACCAGTTCTGGGTCGGTTCTACCAATTCTTGGTATTTTACCCATTTTTGGTCATTTCTACCACTGCCTAGTATAAAAGCAGCAGATTCTCTGTCACACTAGTTCAGATTTAGAAATTCTTGATAGTAGACGTACATTAATTTGTCTGCTGAAACCTTAAATTTAATGTTAAATTTAAGTAACAAACAAAACAAGTTTATTAAAACACTAGAATTATATCTAGTTGAGTTAAATACAGAGCTGTAGATATTTTTATACAACCGATATTAAAATTTTATATAACTTTTACATAATAACGTTTCATTAACTGATTGAGATTTTTACTACACTGTTATTGAAGTAAATCTGGTAACTATTGTCACCGCGGAGTAAAACTGATACACGTAACACAGAGAGATTTTTGGTTCATCAGTACTGAATATTATTTTGAAGGTGTAGCGGTACTAAATTATTGTAAGGTGATTTGTGAGCTGTCTTGAGTTATTATGAGAGCTGTTTGCTGATATAAATTATTCATGATTATTTAACAATTATTGTTATTAGAAATATTAACTTGTTGAATAAATTTTATAACTGTTTACAACAGTGTTGCCTGATTACTATCAGATGAGTTGGAGATCTACAGATCACATCAGTTCTGTACCTGATTGTATTACTACCTTGAAAGCCTGAGTACCAATATACAGTTAGAGTAAAGGGTATCCAGCATACTTAAGAGTCTCCGACCCACTAGACCGTAACAATATCCCCTACCCCCTGTATTCAACATATCCTTCAGGCTACATGTTCAGACATGAATGTGAGAGCACTTTTCTTAAAATATAGTATGAGTATGATGTTGATTGTAGAACATTTTGATACTATCAATTGTCAGAAGCTTAATTAGGATAGATTGCTGCATTAACCTTTTAATTGGCACAGATTGCAATAAAATACAATACAAGAAGTACAAATAAAGACGTAGTAAATAGCAAAAGCTTTGAATCAATTTGCTATTTAAGTATACTCAACATCATTAATTTTGCATCATCATTTATGTCACGGTAATGGCATATTTTGTTGTGACTAGTGTTCAATTAGTCAAAACTGACAATTCAAGTCATACACCTAAACAACAAATTTTTGGTGCAAAATACATGTATTTAAGTCTATAGACTTTTACGTTAAACAGGACAACATATTACTGATTTCAACAAAAAGTCACAATAGTCTATTAAAATATGAGTATACATCTGAAACAATCATCATTTTCTAAATGTTCTTGTTTGTTGAAAAAATAATTTGTGTTACAAAGTAAAGATAGTTATAATTAAATATATAGTAATTTTAACTGAAACATGAAAAAAATAGAGTGTCACACCATTTATCGTGTTTTAAATAATGACATATTGTTTTCAAAATGGCCCGACATATGATCTACGTTTTGATCATTAAATCTGATTTTGATTGAATATGTTATTGTTTTCTTGTGTCGTACAGCAGAAAATACCTAAATGTTACAGCTTTGACATTTTTTACCATAAGTTCATTGTTTGTTTAAAGCATTAAGTATATTGAACTAAAAGGGGCACGAGATATTGCCCTGACAGTCTGCCCAACACAAAATAGCACAATATCTTGTTGCGCAGTACAATTAGTTGGAATAAGTTATGGGTGGTGCGATAGCTAGTTGGTTAGACCACCTGCTGTCACTCCTAGGGTCCCGGGTTCGACCCTGGGTAACACCCTTGGGATTTTTCAGAGACATTTACAGGGATCACGCTAGACCTAAAATTTAGGGAGAAGTGACTTCTCCCTCCAGAGAAAATAGGGAGAAGTTTTTAGGGACAAGGAGAAGTTTTTAGGGACAAGGAGAAGTGCATACGAACTGCATTTTTTTGAAGTGTTGATGTTCCATTTCTAAGTTTTAAGATTGATTAACATTATGTGGAGTACAGAACAGTTTATTAAGTAACTCATAACAATAAACAGCAAAATTACAAATGTGGCAGTTTTTTTTCTTCTATATCATCTTTATCATAGGTTTTGTGTAGCTTGTTTTGATTTTAATGCTGCAGCCATGTGATGTGCTGAAATAAAAAAAATATTTTAGTATCACTACTAGTAGGCCCCTAGGCCCTATACATGTATTTCATCATTTTCCCCAGAAATATTCATAGGGAGTGCCGAGTCAAAGTTCATATAAACTTAATAAGGTTTATGTGGATGCTTTTTTAAAATTTTATTTATTTATTTATTTTTTAAAGAAATTAGAAAATATTACGTGTGTACTGATATTTTTTTTCTTCAACGGACTTTTTCTGCATAATGCATTAGATCTATCGGTAAAAAAAGTTCTTTAAAAGAATAATAATCAAGGGATAAATCATCACCAACATTTATAACAGAGACCAATTTTCCAAATTGCTGAGACAATTGTAAACATCGAAACATGTGACCAACACTTTTGGCGACAAGCTTTTGTAAAGAGAAAATGTGTGAATAAGATCACTAAACTTACCGACTAATTAATGCAATAAGTATGTCCCTAATTATCCTAATTGACATGAATCGCCGCTAATCTATTTATTTGTTGTTTATTGATAATAAGTCGGCATTTGACAATACCCAAAGATGTCAACCATTCAATTACAACACTCGCTAAATTGTCTCGCTGCGTTTCATTGGCTTTCCAATTTTACCGACCAATGAAAAAGCGTTTAACAAATCGCTTTGAAAAAAGAGGAGCGTAGACGATTACCGAGCTGCTTGACACTTTAAAATTTATTGCAAGCGTTTGTTGAAAATTAGGGCGACTTTGTTTTCGCTTTTCTTAGCGATCCGGGCGAAATGGAGAGAGACAAGGCGACTTTGTCGCCCAAGTCGCCTAGAAACGTGATCCCTGATTTATAGTGTTTCCCACTTGTCTAGAGGTGTACTGATAAGAAATCCAGGTAATCCTTGCATGTATCAATGGCAGAATGCTATACACTGGGCATGTAAATAACTTATAAGAGCTAGGGACTGGTTGCCAGATTCCCTTGACATTGTAACTCATAGCATTCTCTGAAATGACTTATCTAAAGTCATGTCTATGTCCCCGCGAGGGGTTTGACATTTATAAATTATGGAAGATAGATAGATAGAAGTTTAACTATAAGATTAAGCTGGAAATTTTTCTTACACTGTCCAGCCTATTTGCGTTAGCATCAGCGATTTGATGCGCATGCCAATAATAATGAATTGGAAAATGACTTATCTAATTAAGTTGTTGTATGCTGAGAATTTAATTATTTTGAGTATTTGGACAATTTAAGTTGTGTTATTTATCTATATGTAAATTCGCAGTTATCTGGAGGTCTGAATTTATTGCCCAACTCTTGAATATAGACATCAACGTGGAAATATGATGAAAGTATTTCAACTTAACCACAAATAAGATGATTTTGATTTTGAAAAGTAGACATGTTTATAGAGTCTACATGTGATATACCCCACCCAGTCATAATGTAAAGGCGTGTTAAGAAAAATAGTTAAATCACGTCGAAATCTTTACGCAAGAAAGACAGGCAGACAAACAATTAAAATTATTTAATTTATCTTAATCTAGCAATAAAAATCTATTTGCAACATGTCAAGGTATCAGTGGTAATTACCAAGAAGGTACTTCAAAATTATTCACGAGTGGACCCGACATTTTGCAAACAGCTCCCTCTGTCAACAAAGGGCAGGTAACTCTAACTCATCACATAGCACTTCCGGGTGGGAGGAAAACAAGTTTGTCAGATATGTCAACACAGTGCTATTGCAATTGATAAATTTACTGTTTTATTTATGTGTACAAATTGCCATTTATTTTTGTTACAAATGATAAAAGAGATTTAAACGTTAAATCCGCATGAAAATGTCTTTATATCAAATGAAATAGCAAATATTGACCATTTTGATGATTTTGTCATCCTCACATGAGGTGGTCAAATAATTTTTTTTGTAGGTCTAGCTAGTATTTTAAATTTATAATTTGGCCAATAGACAATGGCAGACTTTTTAGCAGAAAACAATCAATGTGGCCAGAATGCCCTGCGACTTGCTTCAAGAGGCAATGCAATTATAGCAGAGTTACTTCGACTATCTGATTTCATTCCATCTGTGTTCCGCTTAGAAACACAGCAAGAGGTGGCCAAATATGGTGAACTCGTTGCAGATTTCAGCTACTTTAAAAGTGCAGATTACTTTGAAAATAAGATAGAGACAAAGACGGTATTATTTCATTCTTTCAGTCTTTACTAAACTGAACAATTTTAGAGTTTTTAACCATAAATGTATGATACATTGAAATAGTTATATTGACTAACTAACTATTGTTAACCATGTTCACTATTGTTAACCATGTTCATCATTCTTCACATTTACTGTCACAAAAATATATGTTAGGTCAATGAAAATAAGGAATATTAAAAACATAATGGAAATGTGACAACATCATTGTAAGGGACATGCCATAATGAGAATAATTAAATGATAAAATTTTGAAGCAGACCTCTTGTAATCTGCATGGACAAGATATTGCATACTGTTGGCGATGTTGAAGTCAATGGCAGGAATCAAATCTACAAAGCTTCTCCAATAATGTCAGAAATTGTAAATGTGAACCTATTCATATGATAGTTACATTGGTGAACAAGATCACTTGGTTCATTGTTGACTATTTGTCCGTCCGCACTGCTGAAAATATATAGGTGGCCATTTAACTGTTAAATAGAACAAAATAGAAAAATAGAGTTCATTCTGTAATAATATAAATCAAGAAGTGACCTTTGGCCCTCTATTTAAAAAAAGAAATTTAATTAACAAAAGAAATGGCCCATTATCCTAATTTGGTTGCATGTCTGTGCACATGTCTGTCTGTCCACACTACTTAAAAAAGAAATTGGGGGGCCATCTAGCTGTAAACAGAACAGAAGTGAACAACAGAGTCCATTCTGTAACAACAGAAGCAGGGGCCAATGGCTCTCTTTTTAACCACCATGTTGATATATCTTGGTTTTACCTGTACCAATGGCTTCATAAGGTACACACTTACTTATGGACCAATTGTCACATTCTACAAGTTGTCCAATTTCAATCTGGTGACTGAGTTAACAAACTGTCATATTTAACAACATGTCTTTTGATAAAATATAATGTGCCACAAATAACAGACATTCTGTGAAGTAATGGACTGTTCCTAAACTTTTAGATTTTATTAATCTGTAAATTTACAGACTTTAAGTGTGAAAGTTGTGGAAGTTGTATTAAGGTTAAAATGAGTAATTTTGCTGAGAACTCTAAACATGTCAAATAATGATAACTGTGTAGTATTTTTCAGAACATTATGATAACTTAGAACTTCACTTTGAGAAAAAAAACAAAGTAAAAAGAAATTAGTTTCAGAAAAACTTGTCTTTTACATTTATTTAGTCATGACATGTAACCTGTTTCAAGCTATAAAAGTAGTGAAGTTATTTATAGTATGGAAACCTACTATATTTCTTAATTGAAGTATTTTGCTATAATTTGTTCTTTTTTATTCAGGAACTTCAAGACTTAGATGAGGAATTCAGAGAAAATCATATTGAGATTTTGACAAGATTTTACCAAGCCTTTTCAAGTGTGCATAAATATGTGACAGATCTTAATAGGTAAATAATTAAAAATTTGTAAATTATAATGGATTCCTATATTTCATAAGTCAGTATAATTTATAGATGGACTTTGTATGAGACTAATGAGATTAGATTAAATTCTTTCACAGGTACAAGTACTATCATAGATTTTTTCCCAAATGCCAAATTGCTTCTGATTATTGATATGAAAATAGAAGAAGAAGAAGAAGAACGTTTATTTCACTTAAACTACAAGTTTCTCGTGATTAACATATATACAAGCATACATTTATAATGACATGAAAAATACAATGACATGAAAGTAAACATAATATATTGGATGGACGAAACAAAATAGAGATGACACAAATATTAAAGCATAATGGCTATTACATACACGGAGGTATATACAATAAAACCTTTCATTAGATTGGATTGGAAATAGAAGGAACAATTAGAGAGAGAACGATGTTATATATCCATTTATATATTTTTTTGATGGTAGTTTTGATAGTAGCAACAAGAATGATAGAGACATTTATAATTGAAATGAGATTGTCAGCACTATCAAATCCGTATTAAACCATCAAGCTGATTTTGTATCTTTCTATTTCTGTAAAATATACCGGTACATGCTTTCTAATCATATCAGCTACTTTTTGTCATAGAACATGGTTTTCTATCAGTCTACTTTGTGTTTGAAAAGTTTTAGGCATTTTAACTTTGGATATTGGTGTATTAATTTCACAAAACATTAGAGAAATTGTTTACCCTTTTATGTTTTCTGTAATATCATCTCTGAAACTGAAAAAAAAATAATCTATTAACATACTTTATTTTATTTTGCTGCCTACAAAATAGAATTTTGATGTAAAATTATTTTGATTATATTTGTAAAGTCACAGTGTTACTTGGCATATATCAAATCATCAACTTAATTGTGAAGGTTTAATATGTTACAAAGAAACATTATTTGAGTCTCTGTTTCCAGATTTTTAGAAGACCTAAATGAAGGGGTGTATATACAGCAAACACTAGAGAGTGTGTTACTAAATAATGATGGCAAACAACTTATGGTAACTTATATATTATGTTGTTTCATCTGTCATTTTTTTAAGAAATGATTTAAGGTTTAATAGACTAGTCATGAACAGGCTTTATAACCTGACTAAAACATTTCTTATTTATGTTGTTCATTGGCACTTGCTGGATTCCCATGATGTGAGATCATTTTCTTTGATTGATTTTAACATAAATTTAAACATTATTTATTTAAGCTTCATTATGAAAATTTTTAAAACCTTTTTGAGCGACTCTGTGATCCATTTCCTGGAATTGATCTGGACTGTTTAAGTTATGTCATATAAGGATCAGTGATTTAAGAGGCTGGCACTTTAACTGCTAGGACACCATTCCCCTTGTTTGTTGTAATACCAGGTTTATTTTATTTAGCCAGACTGTGGAATTATCAGTTATATAATTCATCTATTATTAAGTTTCATGCTATACTGATAATTTTATATTTTAGTGTGAAATATTGTTCCTGTATGGTGTAATGCTCCTCATTATTGATATGAAGATAGAAGGAACAATTAGAGAGAGAATGATGGTCTCCTACTATAGATACAGGTTATAAATACAATTATATAATACTTATCATCACAATTAGTAGATTTAGCTAACAATTTTGATTTTATATACATGCATGAACATATACTGTAAATACTGTAAAGATAAGGAAAAAAAAGAAGTGCAAAAAAAATGTGTAGTTATAGATAAGCAAGTTCTTAGTTGTTTGTCTCCCTATGGTATAGCTACTCTATTAAAAACAGTGTACCAGTAAGTTACAAAATTCTGCTGTATTACATAACTAAATGATCAGTTTAGTTACTCGTATCAATCTTAAATACACTGTCCACTTTGCATTGTGAAAGTTATACAGAATAATTATTCAAAATGAAATGGATAATATAGATCTAATGATTAATTTCTTTTTCACCTTTTTTAATAGTCTATAAGATGTCACATATTGTCATTGTTTTGTGAATATATTTGTTTATATAGTGCTCAGAAAGCATCAGCTGGAGATTCAAACATTGATGATGTTCTTAAGCTACTCAGAAGTACAGGATACTCCAGTGCAGCAGGTGCAAAGAGACCACCAAACTATCCTGAGTCTTTCTTTGCGTATGTGGTTTTATTCTCAGTTTTAAAGTAGTTGTATTCAATTTTATTCATTGGTATGATAATATCAGTATCACTTTCCTCAGTTTCTGTATTTCATTCCATGCAAATAAAATCTCAATGCACTAGAGTTATAGATAATATATGTAATTAGATATTGAATATTACCTGTAGTGAATTATATAAACTACTTATAGTTTCTTTATGCAACTTAAGCATTCAAATATTAAGAAATGAGACAATTTAATGGCGGAAAATTCAGTGTAAAGCATTTCATATATTTTGCTTTATCTTTTAATGAATACTGAAGTTTCTTTGATGTACAGATGTAGTGATAGTTTGTTAGAATTATTCTGTACCCATTTCTTTAAATTAGTTTTTCTCTAGATTATATTATTTGCCATTAATTGTAATTAATTATAATATAGGAGAGTACCTATAGATGACGAGTTTATCAACATGGTGATTGGTCGGCTGAGGTCAGATGATATATATAACCAGATAGCCTCATACCCCCTACCGGAACATCGCTCGACGGCACTGGGCACACAAGCTAGCATGTTGTATATACTGCTATACTTTGATCCAGAGATACTGACAAACCAACCTGCTAAAATGAGAGAAATTGTCGATAAACATTTTCCAGATAATTGGGTAAATTATATATTTTATATATGTTGATACTAAGATAATATAATTGTCTGTAATGTCCATGTAGTCAGTTAAAATTGAAGAACATATGTGATTGAAAGCAAAAGTAAGTTTGCAAAAAAGATAAAGAAATTAACAACATCAATAAGCAGTTCAGAAACTACCTGGAATTATGATGATAAGACAAACTTTTGCTAAGAAAAGTTACATTAAAAATAAAGCTATCTTGAATAAATGTTATGCAGGTTTTTCACAGCTAATCCGTAGCCTTACCATTATAATTTCACTTCTGGTCATAATAGCTTAGTCAACTTGTTGTGCTTATTTTTGAAGCTGTAACTGTAAAAGTTTGTTTGTACCGACAGATTAGCTGGGAAAAACCCAATATGTTCTTTATTCTGAAATAAGTTTATTGCCTTCTTTTTTTAGCACATTAACTATTAAAATAAAGTTTTTCTCTTGTACAGGTTGTAAGTGTGTACATGGGTATAACAGTGAACCTACTGGATGCTTGGAGCCCATACAAAGCAGCAGTCACAGCACTTAACAATACTCTAGACCAGAGTAATGTTCGAGAACTGGTATGTCCATACATCACTATAATCTTCTTCATTTCAACAACAAAAGAAAAATTGCACTCCCTGGCCTTTAAAGTTGTGAATATGAGGAATGTGCTTATATGTTGCCTCATTTAAAGAAAGATTTTTAATTTTGTTTTTACCATATAGAGCTTCATATTACTGAATATTGTTGTTTTTTTCAGTGAATTAATTATTATATTTTATATTTCAGTCCATTAAATATGCGACCAAAGTAACAAAACTACACCCAGTATTAGATAAGTACCTAAAGGAAGGAGTTTTAGTAGAGGAGTTTATACTGGACAGTATACCTAAACTTCTCAATGTCATGAGAGATAGTAATGTTACTCTACGCTGGCTGATGTTACATACATGTGCTCTCTCTCCAAGTAAGTCATTTCATATGTGAGAACAAAAAGAAAATATGTCACAAACATAGTGATAAAGTTAATGTTTTTCTAATGCTTAAATAGTAATTGAGGTAATTGATTTATTAATGCGCAAATTTCAAGGGGTATTGTAACTTAATTGGTATGTGCTCATTGTAATATTTAGAAAGTATGAATTTTGTATCTTGAGTTCAAATCACTGGCAAGTTGCAATTGTGGCTTAGCATCTGTTAAGTCTAAATGTTTGATGTGTTTGATTTGATCATTTGGTCATTATTCGGGTTATGAAAATGATACTTCTAATTTTCTAGTTTGGCATTTACGCTGTAGTAATATCTGTATAGTGAGACTGGATGGTATACTATGTCAAAATTTGTCCACGGTATAATATGTTAGTGAAGAAGGCTTATAATTGTCTAAGTTAATATGCTCACTGCTACATGTTGGCTCTGTTGCTTGTGTATCTGAAAGATTGTTGAAAGAGTCGCTTTAATCAATCAATGGTGGCATGGTCGAGTGGTTAACAGGCTGGGCTAGTAGATCACTAGCTCTAAGGTTCAAGCCCTGCTCAGTACCCGTTGGTTTTGAAATTGTGTCTGTATCAAACTAAAATAAATTCTTATAAACCAAATCATGCTGATAATCTTGTCACATACAGTGACATATTTTCAAAACTCATCATTGCGTGACAAGTTGAAAATGTTCACCAGTGGGCAATATATTGTACTCATGAGAAGAGATGGTTAGAATTATTGGAAATAAATATGGTATTGAGATTTGATATAACTTATCCATTTACCATTTGTGATTTTTTTTTCTATTTTAAGTGCCCTCAGCTGATCCAATTAAGAAATTAAAATGTTACCTTCATAGGCTTAGCGTAGTTCCTTTATAGTATATATGTTATTATATTGTGATGATTTTGTTGTAACTAGGTGCTGAAGCAAATAAGAGATGCAAACAGCTTAGAGATCAAGTTCTTTCTGACAGTAAATATAGTCCACTAGCAGTGTTCCAACTTCTTCTTAATACAGCTCAGTTTGAATTTAAACTGAAAGAGGTAAATTTTGTTGTGATTATTGTGTCAAATGCTCAGGTTTAGTATGTTTTCATTATGATTTTTGCCTGCATCACACTATTGGAAATATACAAACATTATTTTATCAATTTAGTTACTTTGGTATGCAAACAAATTTTATAATTTTTAAAATGATTACAGATAATCCAATATTGTTTCATACCCTTTACTGCTTTTCATGTTGATTTGTTGACAAAATAACAGATATTTGAAGTTTGATATTGCTCAGTGTATATAAGAATTTGTATTAATTTACTTAAGATCTATAAATATTAGAGTGAATGCATAAATAATATTGTCGTTTAACAAATCCTTTAAAAAAATAGAGTAAGAGATACTTTATTTTCGTTTTAAACTGGCATTTTATGATTGCAATTACAAAACCAATATGTGCAACATTAACTTGTAGGTTATAATCTAAAGCATGGATTTTTACTTAATTATACCTCTAGAAATTTTCTGTATTATCAAAGCTCTTGTTTAACTATCAGAGTCTGCTAATGGTCAAACATGCTGTGACTGCAGACAGCTCTTTTGAAGGAAATTTGTGCCATTTACATGTATTTCATTGTTTTCAGCGTCTAGTTGTTACTGTATAAGAAGTTATTTATGGAAATTTAGAATTTTAGACATTTCTCATGAGAAAATATTAGCAAATTGTGAAACGGTAGAATTTAATGACAGGTTGGTTGATATTTAAGCTAGAGGAAATAATAGCGATTTTCGTCAGTAATTCCACATTGCTAACTAAACCACTTATACAGTATTCATTTTATCAGAAATTTCCATTTTTCCCACATTACTGCATTGACTTTTGAATAATTTAATTGATAATTTGTAATTACATGCAAGTTTTCTTGTATCTTTTACAGATGTTTAAGCAGATGCTGGAAGAAAAGAAGAACAAGTGGGAGGTTTACAAGAAGGAAGGAACTGAACGAATACAGGAGCTCAGTGATGTCTTCTCTGGTACTAAACCATTAACCAGGGTTGAGAAAAATGGTAGGTTATATTAGATTTTGTGAAAGTATATAACAGTATAACCAATGGATGATTGTTAAATTTTTTAATTATGTGGTATCTAAAATCAAGAGAAAGATACTTTTTGTTCACAACCTTGATCTTGTTCATTATTGCTCGACAGATTTGAAAAATTTGCAGAGATGTAGGTGAGCATAGATATATAAACTGTAATGCATTTATACCTACAAGCTAATATTTGGAAGATTTATATGACAAAACTGTAGTGAGCTCTATAAAAATTACTTAAGTGAAGGTGATCATTTTAATATAGTTATCAAATTTATTTATATTTGTATATTTTTAAACTGTTAATAGAGAACTTGCAAGCCTGGTTTGCTGAGATGGCCAAACAGATAGACTCGTTGAATTATGATGATTCTACATCAGCAGGAAGGAAAATTGTACAACTTATACAGGCCTTAGAAGAGGTTTATTACATTGTACCTTTTTTACTAGTAACAAATGATGATTACTAAAGGCTCATTATTCCTCAGAAATGAATAAATCATTTCTGTTTAAGAAAGGGCAAACAAGAGTTTTATAAAGTGTGAATATTGGTTGTAGAGCAGGTAGATGCTAATCACCTGAAGAAAGTAACGATGAATGTGAAATTATTTGTCATAAAAGTTGTAAAATGTAAACAAAGTGGTATTTTTTTTTACTTCCATGCAAAATACTAAATCACTGTATTAACTGTAATAACAGCCAAAAAGCAGCAGAAGCAAAATGTATATAATGTATGTTTTGTGTATTGAAAATGGAGAAATGAGGAAATAACTAACATTTGTATAGTAATGCAGATCTGTTTTAATGAAATTAGACTCAAATTTGAAATATGGTACATAACTTATCTGTGTGAAAGCATTGATATTCAAATATATATTTATTTAAGTATAGAATTAAGACAGATACAATCCATGAAAGATTTCACATTAACAGGTGAATATTAAAGGGTTTATGTTTATTATTTACAGGTACAAGAATTTCATCAGTTAGAGAGTAATCTACAAGTACGTCAATTCCTGGCAGATACTCGGAAATACCTTCACCAGATGATACGTACAATAAACATTAAAGAAGAAGTTCTCATTGCCATTGAGATAGTAGCAGACCTGTCATATGCATGGGAAATTATTGACAGGTATTTTCTGTGATCAACAGTTCAGTTTAGTGTGGAGTCACCTTTTTACTCATTTTGTGAGAGATGCTCAAAATTTCATTTAATTAGTAATCCGAAAGAAACACATTGATTCTTTACATCCAGCGACCCTGATTAAGGAATTTATAGATGCTGTCGATTATTTTCATAATTAAAAGACATGATGATGATTTTAAAATCTAGCTTGTTTATGTGTTTATATTTTGTCAGTATGTATATATTAAGTAATGTTTATTTATAAATTTATTACAGTTACACCAGCTATATGCAGCAGGGCATTAAGAGAGATCCTACTCTAGTCATTAAACTTAGGGCTACATTCTTAAAGGTAACATCTTGATATTACAAAAACAGGTGCCTAAATCTGAATAAATAGTTTGGTCTGTAATCTATATTACCACTATAAACTTTGACTTGACAGTTTATGCTTGTGTGCATAGTATGATGTCATAAAGATTTTTCTTTTGTGTTTGTTTTTACATCACTAGTAAAATATTGAAGCAATAACAATTTGTCAATGGTTCATGTCAATAACCCATCACTTTCCAAAGTGAAACTCACTCTTAATTGTCACTCTTGACTGTGAGGTATTTCTTGTTACCTAGCCATCCACCCTATAGCTGATCTAGTTCTGAAATGAAATATATTGACATCTGCAGTCTTCTTCAACATTTAAAGCTGTCAAGTCTGTGTGATTTAAAATCCAGCAAAACAAGCACATTCAACTTTAGATTATACAGAATTTATTTAAATTTGTGTTGGAAGCCATAAGCTTTTGGACACACTAGAATCTTTTCCTGGATCCAACCAGTACTAAGCAATAAAATTTCTTGCTTTAAGAAAACAAAGGCATGCCCCTGACTGGTTCATTAGATTACTAGTCCAACATGTTCATTAGATTACTATTCAACTTTGTATTATGATGATTGTTATATATTACAGTTGTCATCAGCTCTAGAGTTACCATGTCTACGTATCAACCAAGCTCAAAGTTCTGACTTGATGAGTGTCTCACAATATTACTCTGGTGAATTAGTAGCCTATGTCAGAAAAGTCTTACAGGTAAATATAACACAATATTATTCTTACAGGTAAGTTACACTGAGTATTATTCTAGTAAACAAGTAGCCTAAGACTTACAGGTAAATGATTAGGACTTCTTTGAAGAACTTTTCCATGAACAGAACAAAATTTAGGAAAAAACGTCGGCACATTTTTCTGTTAAAATTGTTGTCTGTGATAAGACCAACATATTTTTATTTAAGTCATTGTCTGTGAAAAAAACCTATATTATACTTGCTGTGATCTGTAGAACTTTAACTTTTAATATAGCATATATCTGTTTATATAAACAATAGTATTTGTGATACAATTATATCAAGATAATTGGTAGTAGATAAATCATAAATTACAACATGGTAAACAAATATATTTTATGTAAGATATTACAAACTTCTCATTGAGTTCTTTTTCTAAAATCTTAGAAATGGAATGAAACTTTTATAAAAAGTTATGATATATCTAATATTATGTCATAGATTAATAGTTGAAGTTCTAGATCTGATATCTGGATGTGTATTTATAATTTATTGTACAGATTATCCCACAAACTATGTTCAGCCAGCTGGCTAAGATTATTACATTGATGACCAGTCAGATTAGAGAGGTTCCTACCAGGCTGGAGAAAGACAAGATGAAAGAATTTGCCCAGTTAGAGGACAGATATCAGGTAAGATTGGTTTTGAGCTTCTTTGTTTTACTTTCAGGTTTCCATTTCCCTGGACTCTGTGACTTTTACTTGTATCATTGCCATTCTTGATTATTATATCTTACATGAAATATTTACCATATTATATAGCTATATCTAATGTCAGACGATAACAAGCAGTAATGTCACATAACAACATTACCAAATAGCCCTCATACGCATATCCTGGTTTTATTTATTACGTTTGAGATGCCTGTCTTGAATGTTGATATGCTCTGTATAATAAGATAAATTTCACATTTCACTGCAGATGATAGAACAAATATGTTCACCCATGACAATATGCCTTGGTTGACATCACTTCTCCCTGGTCCTCAGTAAAATGTGATATTTATATAATAAGGATTGTGGTGTCTTGCAAAACAAATACTAAATGTTAGTTGAGACAAAGTTTACAAAGAACAGCCACATGTATATTATTTGTATATAACATGGTTTGGTTTATATGTAACCCAACTCAATCATAAACATTGGTTTTTAAATTAACAAGAAATTAAGCTTAACTGTTATTAAGAGACCACAAGGGTTGATGTGACCAGAATTGAAATAGGAATATTGTTTAACCTGCAACAGGAATCAGAGTATCTTACATGCTGATGGTTGCAAGGTTTTATGATATTTTTAATTAAGGCATATTTCATGTTTATAGTATTGACAGAATGTTTATGGGCATGTATTGACAGTCTTCATTATTATACAATATTACAGCTGTAAGTTATTATTAAAACTAAATGACTAGTTGATATAAAAAAATTCAGATCAACTGTCTTTTAAACTCTTAAATAAATCTGTAACCTTGCAATAATATTCAAAATGATGAGGTCTAGAATAATTGTCATAAACTTATTTAAGAGTTAACTTTAATTGTGACAGGTTGCCAAGTTGACACACTCTATATCAGTTTTCACTGAAGGTATTATGATGATGAAAACTACTTTAGTAGGAATTATAAAGGTAATTAGGTAGTTACTAGTATTTCCATGATGTTACTAGGCTTAGAATGTTTTCAAGTCAATTTTGATAGTGCTTGACTTTAAAGATCTTGTGAGAAATTTTTTTAAATGACTTTATATTGTAATTTATCTATCTCTGAATACTATCAGCCTCTCTCGCGAGTGTTATAGGCAGTACTGAATGAGAATAAGGTAGAGTGATGATATATGATTAATACAAACTTAAGGAAAATATGTCCAGCTCTTCTAGGAATAACTTTATGTTAAGTTTGTAAAAAGATGTATTTTAATAATATACTTGTTTGCTGTATCCTTTCATAAGACTTCAGTCAAATTCATTACTTGACTATTTGCTACATGAGCCATTTGATATCATCACTAGAAAGTAGTTTTTTTCTTTTCTTAACATACCTCTTACACAAGAAGTATACAGGGTTAATTTGTTATGCTTGATTATAATGGTCTAAATTTAATGTGCTCATGCCTGATTGTATGATTGATTAGGATATATGACTTGTTGTAGATTGATCCAAAGCAGTTATTAGAGGATGGTATAAGAAAGGAACTTGTACAACAAGTGGCCAAGGCACTACATAATACTCTACAGTTTAACCCAAAAGCCAAGGTAAGTGGGACCATTGTACAGTTAACAATCAGACATGTCAAAGATTGGCATAGATCTGTGTTGATGAGAAGTGAGAATCACTGTGAATTACTGTCAAGGACATTGTTATTAGTCTAAACTCTGTGAGACAGAAGTTGTATATTATTCTTTTCATGTATTTTTGAATTGTAGTATTTCTCATTTTCAGTCTGTCACTTCTTTTATACTTGTATTACAATTCACAAATAAGAAATGTTGAAGTATTCCTGATCTTTAATACATGTACAAAATATACTGTTAAATCTAAATATAAAGAAATATAACTTATGTTATTTATGAATTGATTATTATATATTGATCTCAGGTGAATGAGCTGATACCACGACTTCACAATCTTGGTGAACAGATGGAAGGGTTCAGGAGGTCGTTTGAGTATATACAGGATTATGTGAACATATATGGACTGAAGATATGGCAGGAAGAGGTGTCCAGGATCGTTAATTATAATGTAGAACAGGAGTGTAACAGTTTCTTAAGAACAAAGGTAAATCTGCCAACTTTATCCTACCTTAGAAATTTGACTTTGAAGGAACTATCATTTGATGCATATAGCTTGAGTATTTGAAGAATATGGAGAGCTATTGTACCCACCCAGCTGGCGGCGACACACTTTGGTTAAGTGTTTGCATGCAAGTTGGAATGTTTTAAATGATTGCAGGAAATTGGTTGAAACTTCACACTCTTGTTTAAGAGCATAATAGGAGGTCATTTTCAAAGGCCGCTTACTCTGACATGAATTTTGACAGAGTTATGGCCCTTCTGTACTTAGAAAAGTCTACATTCTCCAGGCACATGTTTTACTTACAAGTACTGAGAATAGTCGAGCAAGCTGTCCTACTGACAGCTCTTGTATAAATTTAAATTTGTTGTAAATTTTCAAGGTTATATATATGTTATTGCTGGAAATGGTTCATGATAAATACACTTTGTAAAATTAAGCAGCATGATAAGCCCATTTGGGAGAGTATAGGTAGTTTGGATCTCATATTTCAAGATAGCAAATTATCACCTTAAAGGGTTTAGCTGAAGGCAATAAAACTAAAGTCATTTGTCTTCCATCAGAGTTTTAAATGATGATTTAAAAAGACTGGTATTACCTTGTGATATAAGGATACGAGTGACACTGAATCATAATAGTGTAATATGAATGAAAAAAATAATTATAAGCAGGCACTTAAATCAAAACTGTAAATCTATGTAATGACTGGTTTTGTACTGGTGATTTTAGGTACAAGATTGGGAGAGTGTGTACCAGTCTACAGCTATTCCTATACCAAGATTTCGACCAGTAGATGAGAGTGTCAATTTTATAGGAAGACTTGCCAGAGAAGTTATACGTATAACAGATCCGAGGTTAGATACATTGCTGTGTTATAATACAAGATTTGATTATATTAAAAAAAATTCTGTATTTTATTTTAATTTGGGTTGGAATTAGATTTCGTCATTGTTGACTTTTTAGGTTATTTTAGTTAAAGGTCTCCAGTCTAGAATAGCCATGTTTTTTCTGTTATCAATAGATTTTTTTTAAAGTAAATTTCAATAAACACAATAAAAAGTGTTTAAACTTTCCTGTAATTTTTATTATTTTTTTAATACTGGTAACAATAATATTGTGAATTCTCTTAATTTCATGGGCATGAAATTTCGTGGTTTTGTCACAGAGAACATTTTCATGGGTTCTTAAATTCGTGGACTGTTTTTTTTTTCCAAAAGGTAAAATGTAAATAATGTGATGCAAAATAGTCTAACAGCATATGAAAATGAAATATTTGTTGGATCTTAAATTTGTTGATTGACCTATCCATGAAAACCCACAAATATTAGTTCCCCACAAATAATAATGATTTTGTGGTAGCAATAATTATACATGTATATAAAGCTAAAGTTTCTTTGCTTAAAGGACAGCAGCATATATTGATCCAATGAAAGCATGGTACGACATCAAGACCAAACAAGAAATTGTCAACAAAACACTCTTTTCTAAAATACAGGTAAATGTATTGTTTTTATTAGAAGTTACAATCACATATGTTTGTGATGGTCAGTTTTCAATTTGGAAAATTTCTGTTATTAACCTGACAAATGATGGGCATTCAAGTGGTCTGGCATTTCTGTGTTAAACATGTAGTTTCTGGTTGACAACTAGAGGTAGGAATGAAATACTGTGACCTTGCATGAAATTACTTTTGGGCTCCTTTAAAAAAGCATTAAAAGTCTAGAGTGTGACTCTCATGGCAATGTGATGGCTCTTATTGAAAACCTGGTTTAATGGTTTTGTCATGTTTCTTGTTGAAAATTATTTTCTTATTTTGTCTTAGTCTGTTTCAGTATTAGACTTGATTTCTATTCATTGATATGTTTTGAAGTTTTTTTCATTGTAACATATTTTCTTTTTAATGTTGTTAATTCTGTTTTTGAGAAAGCTTATTATGGCTTTCTATCAAGCGGTAACCAAGCAGAAGTAAGAGGCATGATTTGGGCATTACCCATATAAGTAAATTAATGTAAACATAGACTACAAGTTTTGAACTTTGTTATGTTGATTCATTACACTTATCATCAGAAAACCTTTTATGAAAAAAAGTTATGATTATCAACTTAAAGAAACTTAGATATATGTATTTTGATTTTGAAATAGTAAATAAACAGGTACTGAAACCTATTAGTTCAGCTTTATTGTAATGAATATTTTCATGCTCCCCGAAGGGTGAGCATATAGTCACAGCTTTGTCCATCTGTCCATCCATCCACTTTTCTTGTCCAAGACATAAATCTGAAACAACAAGAGGTATCAACATACCTTGTAGGTAGATAGATCTCATTGGGAAGATGTGCAGTGCACAAGAATCGTAAATGACTGTGGAGTTTTTGCCCTTTGTTCATTTTTAGCTTGACTATACGAAAAATATGAGAGCTATTGTGGTCACCCCGGCGTCCGCATCTGCGTTGGTTTAAGTTTTTTTTTAAGGTCAAATATCTCAATTATTGCTTGAGATATTCAATTGAAACTTACAATACTTATTTATAGTAACAATGTACATCAGATTGACAAGTTGGTTAACCCTGCCTACAATATTTACAGAATTATGCCGCTTTTTATCTTAGAAATTTTGGTTAAAGTTTTTTGTAAAGTCAAATATCTCAATTATTGCTTGAGCTTACAATACTTATTTATAGTAACAATGTACATCAGATTGATAAAGTCAAATATCTCAATTATTGCTTGAGATATTCAATTGAAATTTACAATACTTATTTATAGTAACAATGTACATCAGTTTGCAAAGTTTCATAACTCTGCATGCAATATTTGCAGAATTATTTGCCCCTTTCAAACTTAGAAATTTTGGTTAAAGGTTAAAGGTCTTCAAAGATATTTACTTGAAACTTTACACATGTACTTAGGGTCATAATTGAAGGTCACATCTCAAGATTCATTACTCTGCCATGTATTTTGACTGAATTATGCTCACTTTTGTACTAAAAAAATTTCCTTTTCTTGGTTAAGTTTTGCATATCTCTGAAACTGTTAAAGATACAAACTTGAAACTTCATATGTATATTTGTGGTCATAAATAAACTCGCTGAACAGCACTCATATCTGTGTCATGTATTTAGGCTGATTTATCTCCCCCTTTTTTACTTGTCTCTTGGTTAATGTTTACATGTACGTTTTACATATCTCAATAACTATTAAAGACATTTATTTAAAACTTCACATATGCATTTAGGGTCATAATTGTAGGTCACTGACAAGGATCCATAATTCTATCTTGCATTTAGGCTGATTTTTTGCCCCTTTTTCAACTTAGAAATTCATTGTAAAATTTTGCTTGTAAGCTGTTATCTCCATAACTACTGAAGGGTTTGTGCCTTTTTTGGGACAATTTTATGCATTCATAATAATAAAGCTTTGATTTACTTGATAAAACATCTTAATAACAAGCCTTTGTACCTTTTCGGTCAATTTTATGTATTCATAGGTGAGCATTATTATACTCAATAAAACACCCTTGTGACAACTTTTTCGAATAGTCGAGCCTTACTGTCCTCAGACAGTCTTTGTTTCTTTTTGAACTTTGTTCCGTTCAGAATAAACAGATCTCATTAAATAGAAGTGCAGTACAAAAGAACATTATCTCTCCCTTGCCTAATTTTGGAGTTATTGCCCTTTGTTCATTTATAAACTTTGAACATTGTCCAGGACATAGCTCTAAAGTATAATAGATATGAACAAGACACAAGACAATAGATCTCATTGGGTAGATGTTCAATGTAAAAGAACCATAGCTTTGCCTTTCCTAGTTTTGCAGTTATTGCCCTTTATTCATTTTTACACTTTGAACTTTGTCAGGGACATAAATCTGACACTATTAGAGATATAAACATGAAACTTTGTAGGTAGATAGATCTCATTGGGTAGATGAGCAGTGAAAACCCCTGACTTTGCCTTGCCTAATTTTTCAGTTATTGCCCTTTGTTCAATTTTCCACTTTGAACTTTGTGCGGGACATTACTATGAAACTACAAGAGTATCAACAAGAAACTAAGTTGGTAGATAGATCTCATTGAGTAGAACTGCAGTGCAAAGAACAGTAACTCTGCCTTGCCTAAGTTTAGAATTATTGCACTTTGTCCGGGTCATAACTCTGAAACCACTAAGGTAATCTTTTCTGTGTCCAATACCTATTTGGGGAGCATCACCTGTTTCAACAGGCTTTTGTTTGTTTTGGAATTGATACTTATGTAGTAATAATCACAATAATGAACAATATTGCCGCAAAGTAACACAAACATGTGAAAAATGTATATATTTATTCAAGTTTAACAACAAGTTGGTATTGTTTACATAGCATATCTGTTAAGCCTTGCCTTATTTTGGAGTTATTGCCCTATGTTCAGTTTTGATAAAGCAGGAAACCAGAAAAAGTTACAGTTTTAAATTGGGGAAATGTCTCTATACCTACACCTACAGGTGGACTAGCAAATGTCTCTATCCACAATGTGTCCCCTTCTTTTAAAGGCATAAGTGCAGAATTGCTACCACTGATTGTAAAGTCATGTGGATTGATAATACTTGAAACCACTCTTTCATCATTTTTCATCAGAGTTGGGTATAAAAGACCAGACCAAGCACCTGTACAGTGAAAACTGAAATGGTAGATACCACTAACAGGAGCTGTAAATATCCCTGTATAGTTATTGTAGATACTGCCTTCATTTAATATGATACCATCAAACTTTATAACAAATTTATCAAGGTATGTTCCAGTCTTGATATGTTCACTTAGATACACTGAAAAAGCAACCAATGTTGATGAACCATGCAATGGTGACCTTCTTGTCTGTTCACTGATACTTCTGTGGATGCCATTAAAATAATTTGTTTCTGGTACCATTCCATTTGTTGTATTGTTTGTAATGGCAGTCCAGTCTTTAAGATCTTCATTTCTATTGGTATTTGACTGGTCATTGTGGCTGTCTTCATGACTTTTTAGAGGCATCTTTTCATTTGAATTTTTCTGAATTTCCGGAGACATCCTTTTATTTGATTCTTGAGGACTTTCTTGGGGCATCTGGTTTTGTAGTATGCTGTAAGTTCCTTGAGTCATTCTTTCATGTGATTCTTCATGAAGTCTTAATCTGCTGTCCAAGTTGTCAATTATCTTGTCTTTTTCTGTCATCTTTTGAACAAGTTGATCAATTACAATGTTTTGATTTTCAATGGTCGCTTTCAAGTTTGTTATCTGTTGGGTTATTTCTTGCATTATTGTCTCTTTCAGTTTTTCCATTGCCCGTTCCTTCATAATTGTTGTAATTACTTTGTCTAGCAGTGTCTCTTCATTTGCTGTTGGAAGACCATTCTGCTCATATAGGTTTCCTAGTTGCTCATCTTCTATGTAACGTTTGCTTATTTTTTTTCCATCATTAGCACAGGCATGAATAATGAATAAAAGGAAAAACAGCAATGTTTTAATTCTAAAGTTGTAAGCCATTGTTTTGAGTGAAAAAGTTACAAGTTTGACATGTGTGAGCATTCTCAAGCTTTTGTATACATGTTAGCTGATAAAGAAAACATGCCGTGACATGGTGGTGAAAGTAATTATTACAAAATTAATGTAGGCTATCTTTTGGTATGAATTTAGTACAGATTTTAACATGTCTTATTCAGCATATTTTGCTCAGCCAAAAATAGTGGTTGATTTTGCCCAACTTTTATTTGCCTTTTCTAAACTTATTACTGTACATGATGTAAACCCAGCACATATAAAACTTGGTGTATATGATAATTTATTTATGTTATGAAAGATTGGTATGAAATTATTTATTTATTTGTGTCAACTTGTGTTTTATATTGAAATATAGCAAGCTTATATGGGCCTCCTTAGGTCAAGTTCAAGGTGGTCAATTTGTTATTTGTTAAATGATTTGGTTCATACATTGTACTTGGACAAAACAACATTTTGGACCAAACTTTTATTGTATTTGTTTAAATGTATTCAAACAAAGTATTAAAAGTCAAGAGTGTGACTCCCATTTGTGATGACTCTTGTTGAAAACTTGGTTTCATAGCATTGTAATATTTTTATGCCCCCATTTTGAAAAAAAGGGGGTATATTGCTTTGCACTTGTCGGTCCGTCGGTCCGTCGGTCCGTAGACCAAATGGTTTCCGAGTGATAACTAAAGAACCCTTAGGCCTAGGAACTTCAAACTTGGTATGGTGATTGGTCATGACCAGTAGATGACCCCTATTGATTTTGGGGTCAAGGGGTCAAAGGTCAAGGTCACATTGACCTTGAAAGCAAAAACGGTTTCCGATCAATAACTAAAGAACCTTAAGGCCTAGGAACTTCAAACTTGGTATGGTGATTGGTCATGACCAGTAGATGACCCCTATTGATTTTGGGGTCAAGGGATCAAAGGTCAAGGTCATATTGACCTTGAAAGCAAAAACGGTTTCCGATCAATAACTAAAGAACCTTAAGGCCTAGGAACTTCAAACTTGGTATGGTGATTGGTCATGACCAGTAGATGACCCCTATTGATTTTGGAGTCAAGGGGTCAAAGGTCAAGGTCACATTGACCTTGAAAGCATAAACGGTTTCCGATCAATAACTAAAGAACCTTAAGGCCTAGGAACTTCAAACTTGGTATGGTGATTGGTCATGACCAGTAGATGACCCCTATTGATTTTGGAGTCAAGGGGTCAAAGGTCAAGGTCACATTGACCTTGAAAGCAAAAACGGTTTCCGATCAATAACAAAAGAACCTTAAGGCCTAGGAACTTCAAACTTGGTATGGTGATTGGTCATGACCAGTAGATGACCCCTATTGATTTTGGGGTCAAGGGGTCAAAGGTCAAGGTCACATTGACCTTGAAAGCAAAAACAGTTTCTGATCAATAACTAAAGAACCTTAGGCCTAGGAACTTCAAACTTGGTATGGTGATTAGTCATGACCAGTAGATGACCCCTATTGATTTTGGGGTCAAGGGGTCAAAGGTCAAGGTCACATTGACCTTAAAAGCAAAAACGGTTTCTGATCAATAACTAAAGAACCTTAAGGCCTAGGAACTTCAAACTTGGTATGGTGATTGGTCATGATCAGTAGATGACCCCTATTGATTTTGGGGTCAAGGGGTCAAAGGTCAAGGTCACATTGACCTTGTAGGTAAAAACGGTTTCCGATCAATAACTAAAGAACCTTAAAGCCTAGGAACTTCAAACTTGGTATGGTGATTGGTCATGATCAGTAGATGACCCGTATAGATTTTGGGGTCAAGGGGTCAAAGTCACATCGACCTTTTAATTAAAAACGGTTTCTGATCAATAACAAAAGAACCCTTAGGCCTAGGAACTTCAAACTTGGTATGGTGATTGGTTATGACCAATCAGATGACCCCTATTGATTTTTGCGTTAAGGGGTCAAAGGTCAAGGTCACATTGACCTTGTAGGTAAAAACGGTTTCCGATCAATAATGAAAGAACCCTTAGGCCTAGGGACTTCAAACTTGAGATGGTGATTGGTCATGATCAGTAGATGACCCCTATTGATTTTGGGGTCTAGGGGTCAAAGGTCAAGGTCACATTGACCTCTTAGGTAAAAACGGTTTCCGATCAATAACTAAAGAACCCTTAGGCCTAGGAATTCAAACTTGGTATGGTGATTGGTCATGAGCAGCAGATGACCCCTATTGATTTTGGGGTTAAGGGTTAAAGGGCAAGGCCACATTGACCTTGTAGGTAAAAATGCTTTCCGATCAATAACTTAAGAACCCTTATGCCTAGGAACTTCAAACTTGGTATGGTGATTGGTCATGACCAGCAGATGACCTATTGATTTGGGGTCAAGGGGTCAAAGGTCAAGGTCACATTGACCTTGTAGGTAAAAACGGTTTCCGATCAATTAACTAAAAACGCTTAGGCCTAGGAACTTCAAACTTTGTGTGATGATTGGTCATGACCAGCAGATGACCCCTATTGAGTTTTTAGGTGAAGGGGTCAAAGGTCAAGGTCACATTGACCTTTTAAGTATAAAACGGTTTCTGATCAATAACTCAAGAACGCTTAGGCCTAGGAACTTCAAACTTGGTATGGTGATTTGTCATGACCAGCAGATTACTCCTATTGATTTTGGGATCAAGGGGTCAAAGGTCAAGGTCACAATGACCTTGTAAGTAAAAACGGTTTCTGATCAATAACTAAAGAACGCTTCGGCCTAGAAACTTCAAACTTGGCATGGTGATTGGTCATGACCAGCAGAGGACCCCTATTGATTTTGGGGTCAAGGGGTCAAAGGTCAAGGTCACATTGACCTTGTAGGTAAAAAACGGTTTCTGATCAATTTACTTAAAACGCCTAGGCCTAGGAACTTCAAACTTTGTATGATGATTGGTCGTGACCAGCAGATGACCCTATTGAGTTTTGGGTCAAGGGGTCAAAGGTCAAGGTCATGACCAGTAGATACTTTATAACCCTTATTAATTGTTTGATCACTGGGTCAGAAGTCATGCATAATAACCTTATCACATGACTAATTGGCTGCTGATAGGGGGCATACATGTTTTACAAACATATCTTGTTTTGTTAAATATTATTTTCTTACTTTGTCTTACAGCTGATCTAAAGTCATGATTAGATTTTAGTTCTTATCATTGGTATATTTAATAGTTTATTCAGTGCAACTTATTTTCTTCTTATGGCCGTTTATTTTGTTCTTGAGTAACACTATTTTTGTCTTCCATCAAGCTTCTACTAAGCAGAAATAAAAGTCATTGTGTTGGACATTATCATGAGAAGATAAGTGTAAACCTAGTCTGCAATTATTCCAGTTTGTATTGTGATTCATTACACTTACTTTCAGAAACCCTTTTAGTAAAAAAGTTCTGATTATCAACTTGTATTATAGAAACTTAGATATATGAATTTTGAGTTTTAGATAGTAAATAAACAGGTACTGAATCCCTTTGGTTCAGCTTTATGGTAATGAATATTTTTGTTTTGGAATTCATGCTTATGTAGAAATAAACACCAAAATGGACAATACTAAGTGGCTAGTAACAAAACCATGTGAAACATTTATATTATTATTAGCTCACCTGTCACAAAGTGATATTGTGAGTTTTTGTGATCGCTTTTCGTCTGGCGTCCGTCTGGCGTCTGTCCGGCCATAAACTTTTACTTTAAACGACATCTTCTCATAAACCACTAAGCCAATTTCATCCAAACTTCACAGGAATGTTCCTTTGGTAGTCAACTTTAAAAATTGTTCAAAGAATTTAATTACAAGCAGAACTCTGGTTGCCATGGCAACCTAAAGAAAAAACTTAAAATATCTTCTTTTTGAAAACCAAAAGAGCTAAAGCTTAAGTATTTGGCATGAAATATCATCTAGTCAATGTCTACCAAGTTTGTTCAAATAAATGCCCTGGGGTCAAAATTGGCCCTGCCCCGTGGGGTCATTGATTTTCCTTATTTGAATATTATAAAAACTTAAAAAAATCTTCTTTTAAAAAATCCAAATAGCTAGAGCTTAGATTAAGCATGGAACTAGTGGGTGTCTACCAAGTTTGTTCAAATAAAAGCCCTGGAGTAAAAATTGGCCACATCAGGGGGTCATTGATTTTCCTTATTTGTATATAGTAAAAAGTTAAAAAATCTTCTTTTAAAAAAAAAAAAAATAGCTAGAGATTAGATATTAAGCATGAAACATCTTCTAGTAGGTGTTTACCAAGTTTGTTCAAATAAAAGCCCTGGGGTAAAAATTGGCCCCGTCCCAGGGGGTCATTGTTTTCCCCTTTATGTATATAGTAAATACTTAAAAAATCTTCTTTCAAAAACCACAAAGAGCTAGAGCTTAGATATTTATCATGAAACATGTTCTAATGGGTGACTACCAAGTTTGTTCAAATAAAAGCCCCTGGTTTAAAATTGGCCTATTATACAGGTGAGCAATTTCAAGGCCATCATGGCCCTCTGGTTTTAGTTTGACAACATGTTGGTATTGTTAATGCAGCATATCTCTACAAACATTCTAACATAATAATGTTTGATTACATCTGGCAAAGTTGATATTGATCAACATATACTATGCTAAACATTGAGTAAAATATTTCAATTTATTGAAATCTATGCAGTTCAAACTGAATATATGTAATTATACCCCCAAAAACAAAGTTTGGGGGGGTATATAGGAGTCACCCGGTGGTCGGTCGGTTGGTCAGTCGGTCGGTCCAGCGGTCCGTTGCATTTTCCTTGTCCGGAACATAACTTGAAGACTAATGGTTGGAATTCAATATAACTTCATACAATGGTCAAGCACATTGAGAGGAAGTGCAGGGCACAAGAACCATAACTCCATCTTGACTAATTACAGAGTTATTGCCCTTTGTTACTTTTCCTTGTCCGGAGCATAACTTGAAAACTACTTGTTGAAACTCGAAACAACTTCATACAATTGTCAAGCACAATAGGGGGAAGTGCAGTGCACAAGTACCGTTACTCTATCTAAAGTAATTACAGACTTATTGCCCTTTGTTATTTTTCCATTGCTTTCTTTTGTCCGGACTCTAACTTGAATACTAAATGTTGGAATTCAATATAACTTCATACAATGGTCAAGCACATTGAGAGAAAGTGCAGTAACACAAGAACCATAACTCCATTTTGACTAATTACAGAGTTACTGCCTTTTGTTACTTTTCCTTGTCTGGAGCATAACTTGAAAACTACTGGTTGGAATTCTAAACAACTTCTTACAATGGCCAAGCACAATAAGGGGAAGTGCCATGCACAAGAACCATAACTCCATTTTGACTAATTACAGAGTTATTGCCCTTTGTTACTTTTCGATTGCTTTTTTTTGTCCGGAGCATAACTAGAAGACTACTTGTTGGAATTCAATATAACTTCATACAATGGTCAAGCACATTGAGAGGAAGTGCAGTGCATGAGAACCATAACTCCATCTTGACTAATGACAGAGTTATTGCCCTTTGTTACTTTTCCTTGTCTGGAGCATAACTTGAAAAGTACTGGTTGGAATTCAATACAACTTCATGCAGTCGTCAAGCACATTAAGAGGAAATGCAGTGCACAAGAATTATAACTCCATTTTGACAAATTACAGAGTTATTGCCCTTTGATACTTTTCCTTGTCTGGAGCATAACTTAAAACATACTGGTTGGAATTTAAAACAACTTCATACAATGGTCAAGCACAATAAGAGGAAGTACAGTGCACAAGAACCATAACTCCATTTTGACTAATTACAGAGTTACTGCCTTTGTTACTTTTCCTTGTCCAGAGCATAACTTGATAACTACTAGTTGGAATTCAAAACTTTTTCATACTATGGTCAAGTATATTGAGAGGAAGTGCAGTGCACAGATAGCATAACTCTTTTTTGACTAATTTAAAAGTTTTTGCCCTTTGTTACTTTTTATTGTCCAGTGCATAACTTGAAAATTAATAGTTGGAATTCAATGAAACTTTATACAATGGTCAAGGGCAGTGAGATGAAGTGCAGTGCACAAGAACAATAACTCTATTTGGACTAATTACAGTTATTGCTTCTGTTACTTTTTTGTCCAGTGCATAACTTATAAACTAGTAGTTGGAATTTTTTCAATACAACTTCATACAATGGTCAAGCGCAATGAGAGGAAGTGCAGTGTACAATAGCCATAACTCAATCTTCAGTATTTATAGAGTTATTGCCCTTTGTTCCTTTTCCTTGTCTATCTGGACTTCTTGCAGAGTAATCCAATAAAACTTCATCAATGGCCAACCACATTGAAAGGAAATGCAACATACAAGAACCACAACTATCTTTAATTGCCCACAACCATAACTCTGTTTCAATTCTTTACAAGGTATTCTGTTACTAGTAACATCCTCATTTCCGAAGCAGTCTTGGGGGGGGGGGTATTAATCACATTTAGTGATAGTTCTAGTTTGAATTAGTTAATGAAAGAACTATTTATGTTAAGCTGCAGTTTTTATTACAGGTCAAGTAAAATTGGTACATGTATTTTCTTTAAAAAAAACAAAAACAACAAAACTGTCTCTTTTTTAAAGGCAATTTATATTCATATGTGATCATCTAAAGAGTGTAGAATTTTAAACATATTTACTTTGTGTGAAGTCAAAACATGTTTATTTTATATTTACAGAGACTGTGTAGCAATTATCAATATTTTCTAATATCAAATTTAACCATAGTATATCTTTAAGCTTGTTATTGATGTAGCAAGAAACCAGAAAAAGTTGTAGCTCGAATGTCAGGTTCACTTTTAAGCTCTACACCTGTAGGTGGATCAGCAAAAATCTGTACCCACAGAGAATCCCCTGTATTTAAATACACAAGTACAGAGTTGCTGCCATTCAAAGTAAATCCCTGTGGATTAAGATAGCTGGAGACCACTTTTTGTCCATTTTTCATCAAAGTTGGATATATAAGACCATCCCAGGCAGCTGAAATATGAAAATTGAAATGATAGACTCCACTAACAGGAGTTGTGAATACACCTGTGTACTTGTTATACATGCTGCCTTCATTTAATGTAATACCATCAAACTTTATAATGAAATTATCAAGGTCAGTTTCCTTTACCACATGTTCGCTTAAATACACAGAAAAAGCAACTCTTGTCAGTGAACCAGGAGATTGTGATCTTATTGTCCTTTCACTGATACTTCTGTGAATTCCATTAAAAGAATTTGTTTCTTGTACCATTCCATTTGATGTATTGGCTGTAGTGGCAATCTGATCTTCAAGATCATTATTTCTATTGGTATTTGGCTGGTCGTTTTGGCTGTGTTTATAAATTTGTAGTGGCATCTTTTCATTTGAATTTTTCTGAATTTCTTGAAACATCCTTTGATTTGATTCTTGAGGACTTTCTTGAGGCATCGGGTTTGGAGGTATGCTGTAAATTCCTTGAGTCATTCTTTCATGTGATTCTTCATGAAGTCTTAATCTGCTGTCCAACTTGTCAATTATCTTGTCTTTTTCTGTCATCTTTTGAGCAAGCTGATCAATTACAATGTTTTGATTTTCAATGGTTACTTTCAACTTTGTTATCTCTTGGTTTATTTCTTGCATTATTGTCTCTTTCAGTTTTTCCATTGCCCGTTCCTTCATAATTGTTGTAATTATTTTGTCTAGCAGTGTCTCTTCATTTGTTGTTGGATGACCATTCTGCTCATATAGGTTTCCTGGTTGCTCATCTTCTATGTAACGTTTGCTTTCTTTCTCTCCAGCATTAGCGCAAACTTGAATAATGAATAAAAGGAAAAACAGCAATGTTTTAATTCTACAGTTATAAGCCATTGTTTTGAGTGAGAATGTTACAAGTTTGACATGTGTGAGCATTCTCAAGCTTTTTATACATGTTAGCTGATAAAGAAAATATGTCATGACATACTGGTGAAAGTAATTATTACAAAATTAATGTAGGCTATATTTTGGTATGAATTTAGTACAGATTTTAACATGTCTTATTCAGCATATTTTGCTCAGCCAAAAATAGTGGTTGATTTTGCCCAACTTTTATTTGCCTTTTCTAAACTTATTACTGTACATGATGTAAACCCAGCACATATAAAACTTGGTGTATATGATATGTTATGAAAGATTGGTATGAAAATATTAATTTATTTGTGTCAACTTTGTGTTTTATATTGAAAAATTTGATAGAAACAATATACAGCAAACTACAGCAGCAAAACTGCTAAAACATCAGCCTCTAAGTATTCAAAACTTACAGTACTTTTTCAACCTTTTATCATACTTACCTTTAGGATAGACAGGAAATATTGGTTTGCATTACTTTGTAATATAGATAAATAATCAGAGCTCTGGTTTATATTTTTATAAACAACTTGATATTTGTGACTTTAAAACTTATCCAGTTATAAAACTTGTAAATCAAGTTGTAAAACTTGTCAAGTTCAAAAGTTCAATGTCAAATCGACCAGAATATTAAAAAAATCTATTCAACTTGGAATTTGTTTGGAATACAGTTTTGATGAGTTTATTGCACATATTTTGCTGTACATGAAAATGTGGCCTGTAAATGTTTCTTGTAATTCAAGAGTTATAGCCCCTTAACTGGAAGAAAATATTTTGTATGGCCTGGGATATCAATTTGCTTGTTTTATATCCTTTAGGTTAATGATAATAGCTTTGGTAACTCCTCTGTTTTATGACAGCTTTTGCAATCAGCATTCAGTCTTAATGAAATCATGCAATGACAACCTGCTGTCCTATTTTCCCACATAGTTTATATCATAGCAAAAAAACAACAACTATATATATATCATGATATGTGTATTACAGAAAGCTGTTGGAACATTTGGACTGACAGGTTTAGATAGATTGTTGTGTTTCATGATAGTGAAGGAACTACAGAACTTCAACAGATTGTTAGAGAGACAAGTGTTTAGAACTAAGGATAAGTTATGGCTACTCATGTTAGAGGACTTGAGCAAGTCATTGACACCAGTACAAAGTATTGTTGGTAAGTTTGACAGGTCAAAGTTGCTGCTGACGTTATTGTACTTTACATTACATAAATGATGATATTTTAAAGTAAAATTATGTAAAATTAAAGATACAAAGTTAATTGTAAAGTTACTTTATAATTTTAAATTTACATAAACATCTAAAAATGACTTTTATAATTAGATGTAATCAGAGACATAGATAACAGAGATAAGCAGCTCCTATATACTCTATTGAAATATCACTCATGCCTATCAAAAAGTGAAAAATTAGGCATTTTGTAGCAAATAAAACTTAATGGATGTACATTTGATCCTTTAATATTATATACCATTTGAAAGTTAAATCTTTCATCATTGGCTGCATGTTAAAATATTGGTAACTTTCCATGCCTTTCACTTAGAAAAACATGGCAGAACATACCCACTGAGCCAGTTTTTTGTCATATGAAAAGTTTTGTAACAAATAATATTAAATAGTTCTCTTTAAAAAATGATGTAACATTTATTTAAATGGGATCTGTAAATATTTTAACCTGCAGCCATAGACAAATGCATAAGCTTTCAGAAAAGTATTATTTTACTGATTTTGATTTGTGGTTAATAAGTTTTACTTGCTACAAGTTTTAAGTTTAGCAGGCACGCGTGATATTTTAACTGGCTAGGAAGTAGCCTATCTCTGTTATCTATGTCTCTTATGTAATTTTATTATTTTCATGATTTTATTTATGATGGAAATCCTTTAACATAGACACAGTTTGTCTATAGCATGAATGATAAACTTATTCCAAAATTATGAGGTTTGTTATTCACATTTACTTTATTTTTCAGGAAATCCATTGAAATATTATGGTGCATATGTGTCAAAGTCTTCGAAATTATGGCCTCAGTACTTTGAAATCATGCTTAAGGTAAGTTTACATTGTTTGCATGGTTATTACATAACATTAGTGGTTATTTTAATGACAGTATTTCATATAGTCACATATACTGTAAGTATTGTTGCGAACTGGATATAAGGAGCAAATTTTTCATGTGAACTTAAATAAAGTTCCGTCCAAATAGCTCAATCTGTACAGCAATGGACCCGGGTTCAATTCCTCGACAGTGCAGATCACTTTCGTTGTAATTAATCATGAAATATTTCTACTGTCATTTACACTGTATCTCTGCTGAGGCATGTACAGAAGTTTATCAGTTCCTTGTGAAAGTGAAGGTCTTTGTACAGGTAAACTGCTTGACAGCCTGCCCAGTGACTCACTGTACTTGTAAAACCAGATAGTGGTACCATGGACTTTATATTACAGCATTTTTGTGTTGCCTGATACAGAGCGACATAGAGATCACTTCTCCATCCTGTCTGTTTGTCACAAAACTTTACTTCGGAGAAATCACTGGTGCAATTTCATCCAAACTTTACAGCAATGGTTATTACCAAGTGTAGTTGTGCATATCATCAGCATTTTCCAGTTTATAGTTTTTAGCTCACCTGTCACAAAGTGACAGGGTGAGCTTTTGTGATCGCTTTTCGTCCGGCGTCCGTCCGTCTGTCCGTCGTCCGTCCGTAAACTTTTGCTTTAAATGACATCTCCTCATAAACCACTGAGCCAATTTCATCCAAACTTCACAGGAATGTTCCTTTGGTGGTCACCTTTAAAAATTGTTCAAAGAATTTAATTCCATGCAGAACTCTGGTTGCCATGGCAACCGAAAGAAAAATCTTTAAATATCTTCTTTTAAACAACCCTAAGAGCTAGAGCTTAGATATTTGGCATGAAACATCTTCTAGTGAGTGTCTACCAAGTTTGTTCAAATAAAAGCCCTGGGGTCAAAATTGGCCCCGCCCCAGGCGGTCATTGATTTTCCCTATATGCATATAGTAAAAACTTAAAAAATCTTCTTTTAAAGAACCCAAAGAGCTAGAGCTAAGATATTTGGCATGAAACATCTTCTAGTGAGTGTCTACCAAGTTTGTTCAAATAAAAGCCCTGGGGTCAAAATTGGCCCTGCCCCAAGGGGTCATTGATTTTCCCTATATGCATATATAGTAAAAACTTAAAAAATCTTCTTTTAAAGAACCGTAAGAGCTAGAGCTTAGATATTAAGCATGAAACATCTTCTAGTGAATGTCTACCAAGTTTGTTCAAATAAAAGCCCTGGGGTCAAAAATTGACCCCGCCCAGGGGGTCATTGATTTTCCCTATATGCATATAGTAAAAACTTAAAAAAGTCTTCTTTTAAAGAACCCAAAGAGCTAGATCTAAGATATTAAGCATGAAACATCTTCTAGTGAGTGTCTACCAAGTTTGTTCAAATTAAAAGCCCTGTGGTCAAAATTGGCCCCACCCAGGGGGGTCATTGATTTTCCCTATATGCATATAGTAAAAACTTAAAAAGTCTTCTTTAAAGAACCCAAAGAGCTAGAGCTAAGATATTGAGCATGAAACATCTTCTAATGAGTGTCTACCAAGTTTGTTCAATATAAAAAGCCCCTGGGGTCAAAAATTGGCCCGGCCCCAGGGGGTCATTGATTTTCCCTATGTGCATATAGTAAAAACTTAAAAATCTTCTTTTAAAGAACTCAAAGAGCTAAGATATTTAGCATGAAACAGGTTCTAATGGGTGTCTACCAAGTATGTTCAAATAAAAGCCCTGGGGTCAAAACTGGCCCCGCCCGGGGGGGGGGGGTTTAATTGATTTTCCTTATATGTGTATAGCAAAAACTTAAAAATCTTCCTTGAAAAAACCCAAATAGCTAGAGTTTAGATATTAAGCATGAAACATCTTTAAGTAAATATCTACAAAGTTTGTTCAAATAAAAGCCCGGGGGTCAAAACTGGCCCTGCCTCGGGGATGTCATTGTTTTTAACCATATGTGTATAGTAAAAACTTTAAAAATCTTCTTTTAAAAAACCCAATGAGCTAGAACTTAGATTTTTAGCATGAAACATCTTCTTATGGGTGTCTACCAAGTCTGTTCAAATAAACAAATAAAAGCCCTTGGGTAAAAATTGGCCCGGGGGTGGGGGGGCCTATATACAGGTGAGCGACCCCAGGGCCATCATGGCCCTCTTGTTTGTCAGAGTTATGGCTATTTAATGATTTTTATTTTTAAAGTCTGTCTGGACTATTCCTCTTATACCACATATGCAATTTCAGTGAAACTTTACAGGATTGATCGATAACTCAAGTAGTTGGGCATATTGAAAGGATTTTTCGGGTTGGATGATTTGGGCTGGTTTATGGCCCTTGATTAAAAACCGCATTTTGGCCTGGTTTTTGTGTCTTCTGCTATACAATAGTTGCGACACGCAATTGGTTATCATCAGGCAACATGTATAATCACTGATTGCTCTTCTAAGTATAAATTGACAGCAATTTAAGATTTATTTTTTGTTTTACAGGTTGGACAAGTTCAATTGTTAAGGAAACAAATTGCTCATGAACTGAACACATTGTGTAAATTTGACTCAAACAATCTGGCCTGTGCTTTACAAACACTCAACAAGTAAGTAATGACAGGGCAGTGTGTAAATCTGACTTATGTTCTATGATTTGCAGACTTACCTTTCAGTATTTATTTTTGCTTCTTATCTATAATTTCGATTTATGATAGTGAACAAACTAAGTAACATTTTATCTCTTTCCGTTAATATTTATATTTAAGTGTGTTTATTCATTATGTTGATAAATTTCTTGAATTTCTCAATATGATTTGTAATATACAGGGCAGGAACCAGTTTCCGGACAGAATTCGAGTTTTTTAATTGTTTATTTTATTAATAATAAACATCCATTAATAAAACTAACATACCAAAAACCTGAGCTCTAACTACGTCCGATAACACAATTAATACTGCCTGGTGACGTAAGCAATGTACAAACTAAAGGGTTAAATTAGGTCATCAAAAGTGTAAATTGTTCACTCTTGCAGAACCAGTTTCCGGACAGATATCAAGCTTGCTATTCATATCTGTTTTTAACTGACAATTATTCTAAATAACAAATCAATTTCTTCTCACATATTAGATTCCTTTCTTATATTAAGCTGATTTACTGAAAAATGTTTATGATAGAAAAATATCGATCACGTGATGGGTCTCGAATGACTGAAAAGTGAAACGGATTATTTGTGTGTACGACAGCAACAAAGTGCGAAAGTGGAGTAAACCTAGCTAAACACGTTTTCCGATACGTTACAGATTTAGCTCTGGGGGTTACACCCTAATGAACTTCGAATGAAAGTACATTGTGCATTAATTGCTACCCAGTTATATCCCGAAAGAAACAAAATATTGCGCATGCGCAGAACAAATTACATGCCCAAAGGGATATAAGGCTGTTTTAAACCACAGTAAGATATCCCCCTCGAAATTTTAATGATGTATCAACTTGGAATGAAGTTTATTTTCTCAAACAATCAAACTAAGCATCTTCATGACATATAATACCGATTGTCATAAATAAAAGCCAAAATTAAGCCGTTATAATACTTGTCCGGAAACTGGTATTGTCCGGAAACTGGTTCCTGCCCAGTAAGTAAAAAATAAATGAATTGACTTTATTAGCTGAATGTCATTACAGCAACTGTCTAATATTAAATGCATATAACAAAACTTATTCCTCACTCATTTTCTTTTCTGCAGATTACATTATTTAATTTTATGTCATATGTTTAAAAACATATCATTTTTTTGTGCAGCCTGGTACAGAGTAGCGTCGACATATAGAAAGCACTTCTCTATTTTCTGTCAGTCTATCACAAAACTTGTCCAGTCTTCTCCTTAGAAACTACTAGTGCAATTTCATTTAAACTTACAGGAATGATCAGTATCAAGTTGAGTACTGTATATCATCGGTATTTTGGCTAAGTTTCTCATTTTTCATAACTTGTTATTTATAAATTCCAGTGGCCTGATGACAGATATAGAGGCTCACTATGCTGATCCAACAAAGCCCTATCCTAAAGAAGAGAATCCTCTCATGTATGAACTGACAGGTTATCTTGAAGCTTCAGGTTTCCATAACCCTCTTATGAAGGTATTCTTCAGCTTACCTTTTGGAGATTTATTGATTTCTTTATAATTCTTATCTTGAAGCATTTACATTTAATTTGTTTGATGTAACATGAAGTCATTAAATTCAGATGTAGCAGTAGCAGAGAAATTTATTTCTAAACCATTACTAGAAGTATTGACATTGAAGAAAAAATTGCAAATCAGTTTTTTTCACATTTTTGTTTTTAAAAATGTGGCATTTCTGGTAATAATTTTTACATAATATTTTGTTAAAAATCAAACCAGACAATGAAATATCTCTGAATAGTCTGTTAAAATCAAGTGTAAATGATGTTTTATTTATGATTTATATATTTACATGCAAGCTATTTTATTATTTTGTTTTATTTAAATAATATTGAATCAAATTTGTTGCTGTAAAATTTAGTTTGTTTTGTTGAATACTGTCATATGGCACCTTTCCAGCTTTACTGGTGGAGGACAATCCCAGGTGCCCAATTACTGTAAAATGTAATTAATGTATAAACAGATACAAGATTTTCAAAGAAATTTAAGAACATAGTCCTTTATAGTTCAACACATTATCCTTTACTATTCTAAAGCTATTTTATCTTCATGTAATGCATATCCTTCCACATATTTAATTCTTTATTTTAGATTTACATCACAACAAAACCAGTGCCACATGTTCCAGTATTCATCTTTCTGCTGGTCATCTCACACATCCCCAAACTAACATACAACAAAGCTATAGGTAAGATTATATTTAAGGCTTGTTTATTCAATGACTGAGAGCTCTTTCTTGTTTGGTGCAGCACAGAGGCTGTAATCTTGCAGAACTCCTAAAAGTGCTACTTGTTTTTATCTTTAATCATATATTCAGATTTGTGAGTGTATATATTGCACTAATTTATCTGAAGTACAATTACATGACAGCTGTTCTGTTGATTCTGTACTGGTACTTTATTATTTACCCCAAGAAACTGCCAATTTCTTGAATTATATCACTTGAAACTTTAAAGGGCAAATTTTATGGACAGGTAGATGGTATGACATTACTAATTGTTGGATTTATAGTAAACAAAGATAGCTTTCCAATGTAAGATAGGTTATTCTACCAAGATGTCCTTTTTGTTATCTCAACATTTGTAATATTTTGCATAAATAAGTTGACTCTTGCATATTAACATCATAAAATGTTACATCAAGAATCATACAAAATAGATTTTGAATGTAATTTTATGGCTAAATATTCTTTAATTAAGTCAAATTTATTAAGTACAGTCCAGATGTATATTTTATGATTATTGATGAAATATTTTGCGTGTCTTAGGTGGCCTGGTTTGCAAGAAGCCAACAGATCCATTAGATGCCCCTCCATTTGTGATGGCTGTATAACACAGATATAAGAGACAGATATACACATGATGAGACAAACAGAGAGAATATATATTAGCCTATAAATGGGCAGTATGTTAGTCATTTGTTGATGCCATGCCTGGGTAAGTTCTCAACAAGATATAACAGTATACATGTATGTATTTTGATGTACATACTTTTGTTTAATATTTTCTGTCCTGGAAGAATGAATTGGTCATCATTATATTTAAAAAAAAACAAGAAAACTCTGACTCATTGTTTTCTAAGTAAGCCGCATTCTGAAATATTCAGTGCATTACATAAGTTTTTCCTTCTTAATAAGGTACTACCTTATGGCCTTAGACAGATGTATGTGAAAATATTAAAGGAGGGCTTTTGTCCACCGTGAAATTTGAAGGAAAGGCTTGTATGTCTTATCATTTTAAGATGGAAGGACTTCTGTTCAGCTCCTAAACAGTGGCTTTTCTTTTATTTGACAAGTTAAATTAACCCCCTTTGGTGCAGCATGATGTTGTTTAAGATATACTATAATTTGATTTAGGTAAAGACTGGCAGATATTGCTCAGGAATTCTAACTTACTACTGTACTGGAGGAGTTGTTTATACTGGTATTCTCCAGAAAAGGTGGAAATTTATAGATATAAATAATATTAATATATAAAACACTCATATTTAATCATCAGTCATGTACATTTAAATTACAAATAATTCCCTCTATTAAGACCACTAAATGGACTGACATCAAAAAGTGGAATACTTATATAGTGAAACTGAGTCTAAATAGTGAATAAGCCACTTTTAGAAATTACGCAGTCAACTAATTTACTAAATGCTTATGTACTTCATGTCTCAGACATTGATATAGGTTTTTTTATTATCTTTTCTTTAGATTATAATAATAATATCATGTATATTAATTTTATATTTTCATGATCATTTTTGATAGACTAAGCAAGCAATGATTTTAAAGTTTAAATAAGATAGCACTAAACAGAAAGAAGACTGCAATGAGGTTCAACAATTTTCAAAAATATATATGTCCTTTACATATATGATTACAATTTTATAACATTCACTGCTGACCACAGACTCATTAAACCATTAATTCATATCTAAATAAAATCCAACAATCCTTGGTGAAATTAGCGAGTCTTCAATACTTCCATCAGGTATATTACGTTTACCTGATTAATCCATCAACAAATAAATTAAAATGCATTGACCGCATGTTAATTAGTGAATCATGCTAGCCGCGAATGCTTAAGGTATATCTAGTCAAGTCGTCCAATAAAACAAGACAGATAATGACCTACGATATTAGACAGAGTGTATTTGCATTACAGCCAGAGAAGATTCTGTCGTGGGACAATAAAACATATAGTGAATATAGAGCATGAGATACAATTATATGTTGCTGGTCGTAATACAGTTTAACCACAGTGTCGCCGTATAGTATTGAAATGTTTATGTTATACATAAATCTCACTTCGTAAAGTTAGAAAAGATACTTATGTATTTGCTTTACAGTACTCTTCTGTAATGATATAAACATGCATGTCTTTCTTTACACTGAACTGATTATATTATAAATAATGTATAAGGCTAAATAAATATAATAATATTAAGATTATATAAAATAAGACCATAATTATTTGAGTTGAAGTTGAGAGTTGAGTAATACAGGTTAATGATTTAATAAGAAATACACACAAATGTCTGACTGAAGTGGTCGTAATGCCGGATTAGAGACGTGGTCGGTATACTGGTCATTTTCCTCAATGAATAAAGAAGGCAAATATTTTGTACTTTTGAAAAGTGCCCTTAATAGCGGCGTGGTCCTATTTGTGGCGTGGTCTTTAGGTGGTATTTTACTGTAGTTAATTACACATAACCATTTTTTGTCATTTGTTGGTAATTATTCCGCTAGAGAATAGATTACATTGAATAAAAATGGGTTCTTTTATCAGAAACAATTTAGATTAGTAAATATAGCAGAGATAGGAGATTACTGATACAATCACTATATAGAGTTTTTGAATATTTTACATTTATGTTAGGCATTTGTTCCTACACACAACAGGGCAGTAAAAACAGTTTAATGGCATAATATATATAACAATATATAGACAATAGATATAAGCTAGCAGAGCCTGCCATTGATATATATATTCATAATAGACATATATATAAACTTTTAGTACTTAGAGAGAATTTTATTTTGTATAATGCATATATATATTTGTGATATTTGAATATTTGTTTTGTTTCAGAGGGTAGAAGCCCATATTCCACCATACATATTTGAACAATTCCGAACACAGTACGCTTCGTGATCAACATCATTGTGTAGACAGACTATGTTATATTGTTTATCTGTACTTATTCAACACGACATTGATGAAAGGTGCTTAGAACTATCAACTGTGATAAAACATCATAATATACCATTATATGTAAAAAGTGGACCAAACAATATACATTGTTACTGTCTTTGTGACATACATGTATAAGTTTTTTATGTACTTTTGAAAGAGCCGATGAGAGGGTTCTATTTTTTAAAGAAAAATCATATATTTTATCATTATTGATTATATTAGTGCAATACCAGGAATTATGTATAGAAATGTTTGCATAAGATACTGTTTAAGATACTGTACTTGTATGGAGACTGGAACAATATGATTAAATTCCCAATCAATATTCAATGACCTTATCAATATTTAACATTTCTTTTATCACCAACAATGCATTCAGTGCTACTCCAAGTTGAACGTTGTTATTTATTTGTTATTTAACCCTTACCATGTTAAATTTCTTAAATGGTTTTGTCTGTCTGAACAAAATGATAGCTAATCATTTTTAGGAAAATTTTAAAATGTATACTGACTGAATAGCAAAAGGTGCAGACCATAATAAGATGGTATGGACATACCAGCTGGTCTTGGTCTTCTCTGGTTGTATAGGTAAAAATCAGTTGCTGTCAGCAAACTTACAGTATGGTTACTATCATCCAATATTTCATCCAAATTTATATGTGCAAAGTCAAATTTTGTATTCTGTTAAAACCAACTATAAATATATCATTTGTTATCCCTATGAAATTGATTAATTATGTTATATATTGAAATGGAAATAAAAAAATGAAATAAAAAACTTACTTACGTTTAGTTTTAAGATGTTATAAAAGTATGATGCAGTGGTGTACATCTAATAACTTTTGGTGTAGGTGTAAAAACATGAAACTATTCCATTAACAATACAAAATAAGAGTGCAATGTTGGTTTTTGCTATGGAGTAGGAAAATTTATTATCAACTCTTTGAAGAATTGATACTTTAAAAGTAAAAAGGTTATTGTTTTAGAGAGGGCTGTTATGCAAAATTTGTTAAATGTATAGATGGTACAGGCTATGGCCTAATGAATGGTATGAGCTGTTAATCTGAGATAGAGGTGTATATTTACTCTTGTTTTAACCAAATACTAAATACAACCAGATTATCATCATAGTACATTGTATTGTATTTATACAACATAGTGGGACCATTTGTTTACTGATTATATTGTTTTGTTTGTATTAACAAGGTCCATGTAAGGTTTTGAACCCATAAGGTCCATGTAAGGTTTTGAACCCATAAATATTTTGATATATATCCTATACCATTGTGAAATATAGGCATTCTAAAACAATGACATGAATATTTTGATAAAATGAACACAAAAGTGCTTATTACTGTTTTAAAAGAGTAATCTATATTTATTAAAATACATTTCACAAACTATATGCATATTTTCATACATTTACTCTAACATCAAAAAATCATTTAATTATGTAGGATTTTAAGTATAAGGATACTCTTGACAATTCATGTACATACAAAAAAAAATTTAAGATGAAATTAATCTAGTATGTTTACGAACTAAATAGGAATGACTTTTTAGCTCGACTATTCGATAAGAATAAGTAGAGCTATTGTAGTCACCCGAGCGTTGGCGTCGGCGTAACCACTTATGTTAAAGTTTTTGTAATAGTTTAAATATTTTCAAAGTCCATTGACATATGGCTTTGAAACTTTGCACACTTGTTCACCATCATGACCCCAACCTGTAGACAGGAGGAGGTAACTGTATCAAGCATTTTGACAGAATTATGCCCCTTTTTCGACTCAGAATTTACGTTAAAGTTTTTGTAATAGTTCAAATATTTTCAAAGTCCATTGACATATGGCTTTGAAACTTTGCACACTTGTTCACCATCATGACCCCGACCTGTAGACAGGAGGAGGTAACTGTATCAAGCATTTTGACAGAATTATGCCCTTTTTTCGACTTAGAATTTACGTTAAAGTTTTTGTAATAGTTCAAATATTTTCAAAGTCCATTGACATATGGCTTTGAAACTTTGCACACTTGTTCACCATCATGACCCCAACCTGTAGACAGGAGGAGGTAACTGTATCAAGCATTTTGACAGAATTATGCCCCTTTTTCGACTTGGAATTTACGTTAAAGTTTTTGTAATAGTTCAAATATTTTCAAAGTCCATTGACATATGGCTTTGAAACTTTGCACACTTGTTCACCATCATGACCCCAACCTGTAAACAGGAGGAGGTAACTGTATCAAGCATTTTTTTTTTACTATCAAGCACTAAGAATAGTCAAGCGTTGCTGTCCTACCGACAGCTCTTGTTATGAGTAGTGACTGTAAGGTAAACATTATGAATAAAACTCTTCCAAAGCTTACAAAAAACAAAGTCTTGGAATAGAAATATAAAATATGTCTTAAATTTGATTATGAATCAAATGTGATTTGATTATTTTAACATTTAGATATAATAAATGAATGTATCAGTTTTTAAAAATAAACATATTTATTAAGTTTTATATACAGGTCCATCACTCTCTCTCGAAGAGACCCTGATCAAACAATTTCTGCCAAGCAGCACCATTTGGGTACTCATAGTCCTTCAGTGTTTGGGGCTGGATCCCAACCAGAAATCCTGGTGCCTGAAGTAGAAAGAGTTGATATGCTATTTAACATCACAAGGGCATGTTTGGCATTACTTAAATCTACTTCACCCTTTTAGCATTGGTGTAACATAATATGCAACTCTGTATTTCACTGCCCACTTGAATTTACTCAAGGTTCTATTATAGCTCATAATGAAAATCAGTTTCCAAGACCTGTTACTCTTGCATTGACTTTTACCTTTGCCTACCTTTTTGTGAACCTGCTTGCTGATGTTTTGTGTGCAAGTTCCACATCATAAACCATATAAAAGTTTACATGTCACTTAAATGTCAGCATGCTGTTCATGACAAAATTACTCTTTTTTATCCCCTCCCCTTTGAGGATTTAGAAAAATCATGCATGACTCCTGTGTCACTATCATTCACTACAATAGTCATGTGTACTGACCCCATGATAGCTCTTGCTTGCTTAAGTTCATATGTTGACTTGCCAAATTTATGTACTCTCATGTCCCTTTCGATCTCATTAAAATCATATTCTAACTGACGCTCCACAACCCCTCATTTCATAGAAAAGAGTAACAGAACATAAACGATGGTCTGATTTAAATGAGATTGTGTCCTTTTATACATTACTTCAAGAAAGAGTGTGACAGTTGATGGAATATACCTTGTGTAAGATATACGTATTTTTTTCATGTGAAGAACTTTGGCATTCATATAGATTTTTCCAATGCATGCTAGAGATAGTTATATGAAATGCATCATATAATGATGATATGATATCAACACATCGATGTGAACATACTTATATGAAAACGATTTTTACCCACATTGTGCTAAGCGTGACAAGAGTAATAGAAAAAGTTTACCTTGGCAGGAACGTAATTTCCGTTTTTGACAGCAACAGGTGCTAACATATGTTCATGTAAATGATCAGCAAACTCTGTCATCCTACAGATATAGATAGATATTTTACTGTATTTAAATTATACTAAACAGAACTCTCCCCAAACTTATAACCCATTTTCTTACAGTATCTAAATGGAAAGATGTTATTTTTTAATAAATATGTTGTAACTCTCTTATAATTTTGTGTAGTGCCAAAAGTATTGTTCTCCTTTGAGTTATGAACCTTCCGATGCTATAGTAAAGATAAAGTCATGAACAAATTTTAACAAATTTGAATGGTCAACAGTACAAAAGCTGGGCATATTGCGCGATAGTGCAGACTAGCCTGACTGTATACTGATGATCTGGGCCTCTTAAGTTAACAAGAATTATTGATAAGAATAAAGCATACCTGTTTTCTAGAGATCCGGACACTCTGATATAATCAAACATGGAATAATGTTGAACTAGTTCACACAGACCAACACCTCCAGCATGTGGACAGACAGGAACTATCAATTAGATACATGTATAAAGAAAAAATACACATGTTTCAAGCTGGATGGTGTTCTATCATCTTGCTATATCCAGCATCTGCAGATCAACATTATAATTAACATATTCAGATAATAATAGTTGTTGTATATAGCCAGTTCTTCAAACAATATGACCCTGATGTTTTTTTGTTGTTTTTTTTAATTCCATAATTTTTATCATCTGTCGATGACTGTGTTCAGAAGAATTTTACCTTTTCATTCAATTCAATTCAATTAGAGTGAACGATTAACCAATTTATAATTATAATTGCAATGTAATACCAAACAATTATTTCAACAGATCATAAGATTTTTTCATCAAAAGTTACCGTTGAATTTGGCAGCCATGAGTATAATGGCAAGTACTTCATTGACACCGCCCACTCTGCATGCATCTATCTGACAAAACTGTAGAGCATTGGCCTGTAAAAACTGTTTAAACATGACACGGTTCTGACACATCTCTCCTGTAGCCACACCAATACCCAGGGGATTCAGAGCCTATAAATACAATGACAATATTAACCAACTTGTGTAACAATTTATAACAATTAATACATGTATTAAATAGCATTAGTTATATGATTGAACAGAAAAAACAACAGATGACCACTGTATACAAATCGGCTGCATTTTGGGTAGTTATATTGCCCAAATATAAATAAAAAAGAAATTAGGGCTCGATCCATAAAAGTATAATGGATCTAATAGTTTGTATATGATTGCCCTTTGAAATGGCATACTAATTTCTTAAAGTTTAATGTATACAGTACACATTATTTTGTAGTTATACAATGTCTGCAAATTCTCTTTACTTTTGAATCTATTACTTATCGTTATTTTTATTAAAAATGCTATAACAAATGCTTGTTTATTTACTTGATTTATTAACCATGAAAATTTATACAAACATAATTTTGTTATTAAGCAATTTCTTATTTCAACTTAATGTATATGATAACAACTGGGCAGTGTAAGTTTTCTTACTTTAGCAATGGCAGCATGACCAAGTACGTCATCAGGACTGGTTGGTTCCTCTATCCACAATGGCTTGTATGGAGCTAGTGCGGTCATCCAGTCTATAGATTCTTGTACATCCCATTTCTGATTGGCATCTACACACTGATAAATGATAAATACTAAGCTACAGATATTGAATTGATGATGATGAGCAAGATTTTAAAATTACCAGCCAAAAGATATTACGAATAATGTTGATGGAAAATCAACCCATAAAGCAATTTAGATTTTTATTGCTATGTGGATAGGTGTTCAATTACAATCCTATGTTTGTAATTTTTAATGAAATAGGAATAAACTTTTGTTGCATTATGATAAAAAAACATTTGAACAGCAAGACAAGAGTAAAATGCTGTTTTAATACTGAATAGTTGCTATAATTTCAGTTGATCACGGTTCACTTCTTAATAGTATATATTTTACAGTAAGATATTGACACTGAAGGAAATGCGGCTTACCCAAACTCTATCAAAGCCTATCACTTGACGAAATATTCTAGCTCTTCTGATATCATCTTGCAAGTCTTTGCCAACCTTCATCTTAAACCTGGCCAAGTAAAACAATTAAGCATTTGACTAAATACTGATATTCTTATAATTATGGCACTTGATTGATAAATAATTAAATGGTAAAAAACCACTTTACATTTCAGCGGTATTTTTAGCAATCAAAATCAATATACACAATTGTGATTTTCAGGTTCAAAGTCTTTTTAATCACGTAATGTCTCTTAGATATAAAATGACACTGGTGTTTGTAGTTTTCACTCCGGATCACGACAGTAAGCCATATTGTCTACCAGCACAGCATTGTTCCTGGGTGGGCTGTCAAGCAGTTTACCAGTACTAACTGCTTTCACGTTCGCACGAAACCAGTGCGAATGACCGTAGAAAGGATTTCATGATCAATCCCTGTGCCGTCTCGGAATTGAACAGAAATACTTTGGTTATATTGGCTTTTACAGGCAGAATAAGGGTTATGCATACAGTATGCAAAGATATCCTTGTAGTTTGTTTAGGCTCTATACTGTTGGTTGCTCTCATTTGCCGTTTTGATACTGAAACCCCTTAGTCTTACAATGGACAATTATACTTTAAAGCATGGCAAGTTCATTACACACATTTGGTCAAAGGTAATAAATAATAAAAAAAAGACTACAGAAATATGACTGACCTGGATGTACCTTGGGCCATTGCTTCTGTAGCGAGCTGTAATATAAATAGTTAACTTTGATGATAGATGATAGTGCATTACATAATATTAAGTTGAAATAATAATTTTATTAAGTATTCTGTTCATTCATTGATTGAAAATCTTAACTAAGCAATACATAGCATTCTTTCAGTGCAAGATCATATAGTAAATCCAGACGCAATATATTCATGACTGACATGGCTATTTAATGAAAAATTAATACAAAACCTTGTGTTAATGAGTGACATATCATAAATTTTGATCTTACACACAAAGCAAGCAAGCACTGAAGCAAGCAGATTAATAATAAATATGCATGTGAACTATGTATCTAACCTTGGTTATTTTTTCATCACTATATCCCAGCCATCCACATGACGTAGTGTAGGACGGGTATCCAGTCTTTAAGATCTCACTTTCTGTAACAAGATATAACAACAAATTACATGTGCTTTATTTCACCAGTAAAGGTTACCAAGACAACACTTTTCAGAAAATGTGCTTGCTTTACTCTAGAAGAAAATGTTAATATGGTTTTTGTTAGATTTTTGTGTTGGAAGTACTAATCTCTTTATTTATTAAACTTTTTATTTATTTATTTATTGTGTAAAATGCGTTAGCTCTTTAACTTAAACAGTTACTAATGATAAAATATGTTATCTTGAACTTGCACCGTTTCACTAATGTTAGTAAAATATTTGAACATGCAAAAATGTACCTCTCTTGGCTTTTGTTGCATCCATCTTTTTGAGTATAGCTTGAATGGAAAATGACAATGTTGTTCATCATGAATGGTTAATATAATAATTACTATTTCATATATCTTAAATTCAAATTTCAATAGAAAATGAAATAAACATTATCAGTATCAGACCTCTTAGTAACAAAATCAAGGGTTATCAAATGCAACATAATACATGCACCCGATATTGAAAATATATATATATAATTCTTGCTTGGTTTAAAGTTAAGTATTTAAATCATACCTATGGCTTCATCTTTGGTTAAAGCATCAGACCTGAAAATATTTCAAACATTGCTATTATAATATTTGCGCATTACTTTTATTAAATTATTTATATGAGCCGCGAGACAACATAGTGCGTTAGCGACCAACATGGATCCAGACCAGCCTGCGCATTTGCGCAGGCTGATCAGGATCCATGCTGTTCGTTTTCAGTTTCTCTACATGTAATAATAGGGTTGATGGAACCTGATCAGACTGCGCGGATGCGCAGGCTGGTCTGGATCCATGCTGGTCGCAAACCCATTATGTTTGTTTTGTCGTGGCACGGCTCATATGTGACCTTCATATATTATTGGAGACGTTTTACCAGTATAAAGCTCAATTCATCTATACTGTAGACAGGCAATATGACAATAACATGGACAATGTGTTTATTCGTAATATAAGGCCCCCAGCCCAGATTACAATCAAGTTTTCAATTTATCAAAGAGTGATGTCAATACATATACGCATATGAGTATATTAACAAGTAAGTAATATGTTGATTTTAAGGTAAAATTAAATTAAACATGTACAAATGTCAAATAAGATTAATATCAGAGATATTAGTATTATGTAACTCCAATCCCTAAAACATAATAACTGCAGGGTAAGTCCAAAATGCAAATGAGAAGACAATATTTTATTACTTATGTCAAGAAAATCAAACATTCCTGACAATGATACTTACATGTATTTAAAATCTATCGTATTCACAAGTTGTTCTGCATCCTGAAATAACAATCATCTACCTGATATAGGTTGTAAGCAAAAAAGGCAATTATTTTATTCTTTTTTTCTCTTCAATTTTAAGACAAATGAAAATGAGTTTGTTTTGCACATTATTTTTAAGACACTATCTGATGGATCCTTCTATAAAAAAATATCATCATTATTATTTTTTCATCAATCTAATGATTTTTATATTGATGCTGTTAAAAAATCATCTGAAATTATTTCTAGGAATATCTTTGTTTATTATTTTAAGAAGCTAATTGAATTAGTATAGGTTCAAGAAAAAAATCATACCATATCAACTAGTAGTTTCCAAAGAGGCTGAAAAAGACACAAAAAAATCATTATGTATAAGCAAACCACTCTGCTACAACGTTCTATGACTGTTTTAAGCAATATGCTACAAAATCCTTTCTAAATTACTTATATTGTTAAAGACACATATAAAAACGATAGTATGATATTTGATGGGTTTGGCCAATCCTTGTAAGTAAAATTTCAACAAAAATCAGTGAAAGCAGGATGCCTTGATTTTTGTTTTTACGCGCAAATAACAAAAGTATGAAAATTACTCTTTAAAGCTTTTACCTTTCCTTCCATTTTTGCCCATAAATCCCATAAGGCATTGATAATAGCAGCTGTTGCTAGGTGTGTAACTCCTTTTTCTGGACCTATCTGCAAACATTACAAAAAGATCGTTTCAAAATATTGCTGGTTACTTTTGAGCTTATTTCAATTACTCGCTGACTTGGCCTAAACTTATTTGTGAAGTCATGGCTTTGGTATTTTCGTTTAACAAATAACACATATATCAAATAAAATCAATGTACATTAATCCACTTAAAATTAAATTCCAATCCATTTCACAGTATGTAAGGAAGAACTCAATTAGAGTTACCCATCTTGTTTGGTCATCATTTGTTATTTCCCTCCAATAAGCACCAAAGTTGTTGAAAATGTCCGATAGATTCCTACCCACAACCATTTTCTTCATTGTGTTGATGGCGTAGCAAACTGAAACATGATCGTTGTATCATGTACTGCATTCAAAGATTTGATATACATAAATGCATTACTTGAATAAAACTTATAGATTTTAACTTTTATTATTTAAAGACTTTGATAAACTCTGATTTTTGAGGTCATATAAATTTGTCATACGTGCATCACATGGTGCAAGTTTTAAACGTATGTGACCAATAAACAATAGTTATGCTCATAAAAATATGCACAGTTTCTTTTGCATTTGCGTATATCAATAGCTAGTTTATTGTAGATGAATGTATTGGTTATTATTCTCATAGCAGTTGACATTTTTCAACAATAGCTTCATTTCAGTAATGATCTTGTAATGATACCGCCTATCTTCCTATTTAAGTGTACTGAAAATAAAATGTAGCACATTTTCACTTAATGTGTTTTAAGTCTTTGCTACCTTGTTACAAGTGATATGAGAATAGCACTTAATACCTGTTTATTTTGTTTTAACGAAAGCTACACTCTTACCTAAGTGGGATGATAATAATCTACCTGTGAATAGCACCGAACCTGATTTCTCGGTCTGTTAGATGGTTATTCTCTTCTAGGGAAAGAGGTCATTATATTGCAAAAACACCTTACCTGTTTAAGTGTTCTGGACAAGTGATATGATACTATCTTCCATTTATTTGTCATACTAAAGTACTATGATATTAGTAATAAGACAACTTCTAATCATATCAAACCTGTGGTATTATTCTGATACCAATATCCGTATTTAGCTTTTGGTTTAAAGCAAGTTTGCACGAGGGATCGCAAATGACAGTTTTCTTTTGGGACATGTATGCTAATTTATAATAATTACTCAACAGTGGTTATTTGTGGACATTGAAGATATTTTAAAAATTGCCTGTTTTGGAGGGAGAACAGTCATAATAGCATAGGTGACTTTCTTTGACAATTTTAAATCATAGATTATAAAGATATTTCTTTATGTATATTACTGGGCATAGTATACTGGCATACCTATATCAGTGCCTCTGCCGGCTGTAAATGTTGTACCATGACCAGACAGCCCTGTGTCTGTATCAATCACCACATAGGCAACAGCATAGTCTGGACTTTCATGCTATTTCAACAAAAATCACACGTTACGCAGGTTTTTTTTCTGTATAAAATCTAAGAAAAGCTTAGTTTAGGAAGATTTCTAGACCCCATTTCTTATAATATTAACTGTAATAATATTTCATATTTGGACGACTTGGTGCAAATGTAAAACAAATAAATAATATATATTTTTTTTACTAAAAAAAGAGCTTAATTTCCTTAATTTTCCTGTATGCAATGAATTGTGTCAAATGGAGGATGGGTGGAAAATGAAGAGGATAAAAACATGTATAGGCAAAATGTCATGCAAGAAAATTAAAGCAATTTGATGGAAGGAAAGGGGAAAAAAACAACACACATGCACTTCTAATTTTAACAGCAAGGCTTAAAACATAATGCATACTTACATGGATTGATTTCTTGATGAATAGTATGTTGCATGATAGAAATATACTTACCTGGTAAGGATAAAATCATCATGACTGCAGCTGACGAAGGTGACAATGTAATCTAAAATATGCTTACCTTTCCATTATATGGCTAGACAAATCATCACATTATCAAAATTCCCTAAAAAAACCCCATTCTGATACCTTTTTAATATTTTTTACTCTAACAAGAAGAATGAAAGCTGTTTTCTCCTATTTACTAATTGCTTCGTTGTGTTATTATAGGTACAGTACTTTTCTGAGTACCATAGCAATTTTGCCTTTACCACGTGTCATTTCATTTTTTTGAATATGTCATTATTTTTGATAGGATAAAATGAATACAGAACCCTTTCATTAATACACAGAATGTTATAGAGAGCAAATCTGTATATCTGACGGAAAAATGAAACCACATGTTTGAACAATCAGATCACGCGGTTTCATTTTTTTTAAAAAGAAGAGATTTTTCCCTGGAAACATTCTTTGTATTGGTTCTTCACGAGATAAAGCGGACACTACACTCTATCCCACAAAACAATGATATATTTAAAAAGCTATGACAGAAATTTTTTTGTTTTTGTTTTTTTGTCACACGCAGATCACAAGAAATCACGTGGTATAGGCACCGTGATTAGGCAATCATGTTGATGTCTTACCAATTTCGCTTCCCTTTCCCACAGTGAATGTGGAACCATGACCTTGCAAAGTTGAGTCTGTTTCTAGGATAACATAAGGGCAGGAATAATCTGGGGCTGAATGCTGTAAGCACAACGCAGGAACAAAGTGTTAACTTTGGTAAAAGTTATATTAGGAAAAAGGTTTTTTTGTCCAGTTATAACAAGATTTTATAATCTGCTTGTCAATTATATGATAAGTTATTGTTCAGACTGAGTATTTAATTTTAAACGGGTAGAAACTTTAATTTTAGTAACAAACATGAAATTCCAGATGGTTAACTAAATTGTCAGTATGAAGATATTTATATAAACTTTTATCAATTTTATCTTATATACCAAAGAATGGACATGTTAAAATTATATTTAAAGAATTCAAGTAATATGCTAATGACCTTGACCCGTGTTTTTTGCTGGCGGTAAACTAGACCTTAATCAGAAAGTAAAGCTTCATAAGTAAGTTTATGTAAAAAGACATCCAGTTACATTGAGGCTAAACTTTCAAAAGCATTTTGAATACGATAACAATAGTAATTAATAATTGATTAATTTAGACAATAAAGTATGCATAATATATTATTTTATATATCATACCATGGCATCAGAACCATCTTTCTCCAATGATGTTGGGAACCGTATGTCCTTCACCTCCATAGCCGTGATCTTTGTTGGCTTTGCCATATTTATAATCCACTTGATTAATTAGGATTTACAATAATTCCACTTCAACTTTGTGATAATTTTACTGTCCCTGCTTGAATGTAAGTTAATAATCATATTAATTCTTGATCTAAATGATAATACAATTGAATTACTTTATAAAAATAAACGTGGAATAACATTATTTCGACACCTATAAATTTAAAATCATTAATGAAATTTGCTTGTTTGAAATAAATGTGTTCTTTCATGAAACGTTGAAAAAGTCGAAATTATTATGTATAAAGAAAACGCATAATATATGTAAGTTAAATATAAGAAATATATCCAATTCAAATATAGACTTTTCAATATATATGAAAGCAAAATAAATTTTCCGCAAAGAATTGAATTTGATAAACAAGTTTTCACAAATTGTTATAAAGCAATGAATTAAATTCATCGCTCAATAAAAAAATGTTATTCCATACAAGATTTAAAAGAGTTCACAAAAATTAGAAGAAAAGCAAAAGGAAATATATAAATAAGCACTATGATCAGATAGAAACTATAATTACTGATCCAGTTTAAGGAATAGATTATGTGTCACCATGTCCAGAGTAATGCCTTATCTCAGTCAGCTGTCAGATCACATGACCTTTTACTGACCTCATTCAAGCTACTTATACAGTGATACAATTCAATAAGTATATAGTTGTATGCCAAAGCACTTACTTCAAACTTACATGTCAATGTTTTACTTAAACTAAACTTATAGTATTCCTGCAGTTTACAGTTGGACAATTGAAATACGCACACAGTATGTATCATACACGGATGTCCATCCAAACATGTATGGCAAGAATGCTGATAGTCCTTTGCAATGCAAAGATTCTCTTGAGCAAATATTTTAAGTTAATTAAGACTATTCTTTAATAATCAAAATAAATGTTACAGTCTTAGTTTATTGAGCATGTGCATGGACGATACTGGAAAGTATAAGATACCGCCCATACTAAATTCTGTTGGACGGGAGCACAGTTGTCAAAACTGTATTGGACGAGGGGCTAGCCGGGTTTGATGTAAGTTTTGCAGCTGTTTAACGTCCATTGACAGCTTTATAGTTGGCTTTTTGGACGTCCGTTAGGGAATGTCGAGCTTTTCTATTCTACGTACATTGGGGGAAAATGAGACAGCAATATCTTCCAGGTAGTGTCTCCACAATAATGCTCGAAATAGCGCCATCCTTCAGAGTTAGTAAACAAGTCAACCAGTCCCATGTACATAGGATGACTTGACCTTGACCTGCCGTGTGCCTTTTCCTCGACACGCCTCGAAGGTGACATTTTTTTGCAAATATATATTTTTACACGCCGTGACATTGTTACCTTTACAAACCAGAAATTTACGGAGTTGTCCGAATTTTCCAGAGAATTATTGGTTTATACAGAATTTATTTTAGTTAGATTGTGTAGGAAGCATTAAACTTACAGACACACTTTCGAACCTGTTCCTGGAACTAACCAGTACTGAGCAATGAGTGTAGTTTCTTGCTCAAGGAAACAACGACTTGCCCCTGACGGGGGGTTTGAACCCATGCGGCTAGAGATCATCAGATCCGACGCGTTAACCACTAAAAGAACTATTGGTAGCTTGAAAATATCCTTAAAGCGTTAAAAGCTATTTAATTGTGAATTTTATTGATTTAATTTATGTGTCTCTAAAATTGAATCGATTTACATAAGATTATGAAATGCACACGAAGTGAAAAATAACAGTAACAAAAGTAAAAAAATACGATATATGACAGAATGTTTAGAAAATAGAGAAATATATCTATTTAAATTAAAATCAGTGTCAATTTATAAAATGCGAAGGATTTATATCAGAATTATTCCAATAGTTAAACATTAACTAATCAACAGTTATTGTATTTTCGAAAAGGAAAATTTTTGGAATATGATTTTAAATATAAAACTGTTAGTTTGAAAATAGTTGACGAATTCAAATTGTTTTGTCAAGTCAAAAATACGATAATGAAGGAAAAATGTAAAAATTCGGCAAAAAAACGATATTTGTCTATTTTGTGATCATGATTTCTGCAAGCGTCTAGAGGTACTGCTCCCTAAATCCATTATAGATACAGATATGTTGTTCAGTAAGTTAAGGCATTTGTGAGCGCTTGGATCAAGGTAACAACGCTGTACATGTTAAAATATCTCAAGTAAATGTCCTGTTTTTATCAAATAAAGGCAAAACCGACTTTTACAAACTGTCATTATCGCGCTTCTTCTTCGCATTTTAAAAAAGTAACGCTTAACTGCCCAATTTCTATAAAAATTGCCTTTTGTCAAGGCATTGGTCCCTTTACAATAGCTTTGAAATAAGAAATAAACCTGTATTATCTTGTTTAACATGAAATGGGTATTAAAATATCTCGTTATTAAACTTGATACCTTCTAAGCCCTGTATTTCTTTTGATTTTTTGTCAATATACTCTTTGTTTGCTCCCGCAGTGCAATATGGTTTGCCACGCTGTTTTATTGTAGCATTCTTTTTTTACTTTTCAACTTTTTGTGTCTTTCTTTAGCTTGGTTGATGCTCCATCATCTCTAGTTTTTTTTTTGGCGTCCATTTATTTTTTATGATGGCAGATAATAATCAAAGCACAGAAGGCGCTGAATTTGTTTGGGTCTCAGAATGTAAGAAAGGTGCAGGTTGTGAGATTATATGTATAGTGCCACCAATGCTTTCCAGCGTTTTAATTGTAGTAAATTGGCTATAAGACTAATTGCAACACTGATATTCAATCCAATGTTTATTTGACTTTAACAATTTGAAAAAAATGAGTTACCTTTACTGGGATTTGAACTCCAGACCTCTCGCTTCCTAAGCGAGCCCGAAAACCCTTCAGCCACGGTGAATTTATATGTGAACGGCTTGAAGAAAACCATATTATTCTAAATGAGGGCTTGTAACGACTTTAACTGTTGATTAACACAGATGTAAATAATCCTGGAGCTTACTATATATACATATAAGCATGTATATTTATAAAGAATCAAAGGGCTGCAAGTTCTGTGGTATTTTCTGATCTTTGCAATCTAAATCGTACTGTATAGCTGTATGCATTTTCCTGTATAAGTTTATTTTTATGTATTATAATTCATTTTGCAAGGCACCAGAGTTTGATACATACGGAATTCTGCATAACTAGAGTTGCATCAAAAATCATTTATGTTAATTTTTAACGACAGCCACACTTTATCCTTGCATATCATGGCTACTTTCTTAACAAAGACACTTAACCTTTTCCCTTATATAAGCGTGTTTCGACGGCTTTTTGCAGCCCCCTTTTTGAGGCCTCAAACAGTGAAAAAATGCCCTATTTAGGCCCCAAAGACTGTATTTCGTTTTAGAAATGTTGTTAAAAAAAGTGAGCACTTTTTCGGCGCCATCCCCCATCCAAATATTACATCAGGGGGTTGTAAGAAGGGGGTTTGGGGGTTTGAAGGGGGGCGGAGTCCCCCTTATCGCCAAGAAAATTTTGGACATGTGACAGGCTAAAGATAGCCTCAGGTCGATCTTAGGGTAATTATTAACCGACGCTGAAAAGCTTTGTACTCTATCTCAATTCATTGAAACGTTGCAGCACTTTGAAATCAGTTTTGATGGAAAAAAACAATGCATAAAGTGATATTTGGCAATTTTGAGACTTCCCCACGTTGCCATGGTAACAGGAAATTTACCATTGAGCATGCTGTTACAGAGGCTATGGTGTAGTCAACATTTGTGCCAAGTTTCATTAGTATTGAAGCATTTTTCATAGTTTCATAGCAGTTTGAACTTGTAACAGGAGGCTTTTCAATGAAAACGGCCATTTTTTGCAATATGCTCATGGGGTAAAAGGTTAAAAAAAAATTAACAAAAAAAAAAGTTTCCTCGACTGGGATTTGAACTCGAGACCTCTCACTCACTAAGCGAGCGCGTTACCACTGTACCACGGAAATATTATACAATCAAAGGCTGATTAACATCAAGTTATTCTAAATTAAGAACTTCCATTGCATTTCGGGTTTGTAATCCTTATTAATTTCGAGGTATTTTGTTCAGGATAAACCTGTTGTTTAAAATTGAAGTAAATATTTTAGCGAAAATCTTCTCGCCCATACAGTCCGACATGTAGAATCTATATATTCCACTACTCGGTTTGTGTAGTATTCGCTTAAAATAGTATTTTCATTGATAAAATCATATTCATCCGCGTAATTTTTGATCGTGCATTTATTGACAATTCTTTAAGCCAACGCTATTGTTTAACTTTGAATGCGTTGTAATTTGTTGGATACTTGTAACAAAATAAAATATTTCTTTCTTTTAAATCGCTAGTTTTAAGCTGTTTTGAGAACTACTTGTTGTTAGGTTTGACGTAAACTTCTGTGTCAGAGATTGAATTTCCGCTTTGAATTTACTTATTTTCGATCAGAAAATACAATAAAACAATATTAGAAATCTTCGACCATTCCGGGAATAACTTTGCTTGAAAATTAATGCGCCTGTCTTTGACCATCTTTACGCAGTGATCTCCCCTGATTTTTTCGGCGTTAGTGTACATACAAAAGGGAAGTAACCGCTTCAAAAAAGTGGACTACTTTCGGCATTTGCAATTAACAACATTAGACTCTGAAATTTCGCTACCATTATTTGTTTGGTCTGACGACCCAAACAAATAAAAATGATCACTAAGTTTTCGCCTGGCGCCCCGCAGGGCGAAAGTACGACAAAGTGGTCGTATTGTCGTGTTTTCGTCTGGCGCTCCGCGGAGAAAAATACGACATGTACAAATCAGCCACATAAAATTATCTTTGTGCTTTCAAAAAGTACTGCTATGTTGATAGTCTTTTCAAGTATTTTTTAATATAGTGATATTACAGCAATCAAAAATAAAAATGTAAAGTAAATTTCCATTATGGCAGCACAGGTAAAAAAAGTGAACTGCCCGCCCTCGGATTATGATGACTGTTTCAGCTGAAAGATTGTAGTATCGAGGTTTCTTGTTTTTCTTCTTTCGTTTTTATTAATTTGTTTTTGAATAAATGTCTGATTATTAAATGATGTTAAAACATGTAGCAGTAGTGAATAATTTAGGGTAAAAAAAAGATATGAATTACATGTATGATACGTAGTGGTTTTCAATTTTCATTTTATCTCTAACGTGTTTGACTGATTTGAGTCTAAATGACCTGAAATAGGAAATGAAATATTTCCAGTTTATGGTTGTTATCATAGTCTATCGTTGTTATCAATAATAATTATTTTCTGACATTATGGCGACCATATCAAAATTCCACAATGGAAAGTTAATACGGGGTTCAATTATTTTGATACTAAAAATATGCTGGTTTATGTATCAACCCATTGTTGATTATAAATAGTATACGATAGAACATAGATTTTTTTACTCACAACTTTAATGTTAATGAAAAAAAATGCCTCTTGAAATTGATTACAAAACTTTGCCATATGGATCACTATTTATTGTAGTCTTATTATTTGCAAGATTTACAATGCATGTTATACGTTTTGTTTTCAAACAAGTTATTTGCAGTGTCACGTGATAAAACATTAACTAGTTAACTAGATGCACATGTTTAGGAAATGATACGCTAACCTCACTTCCTTCAAGACATTTAGTTACAACTAACGCCTAAAGTAAACTGAATGCATAAATGTTCCAGGAAGATCCTATCTGTTTGTTGTTTCCAGGAATGCTCGCAAACATCATATTTTCACTGTAGCTGAAGAGAATGAGTTAAATGAAAAGGTTTCCTGTCTGAGGTTTATATTCATATTTTTTATTTTAAAAGCAGTTAAGCATGTTTTTGACGTCACCGCATATGACGTTGTAACAACGTTCAACATGCGTCGTATTTGCTTAGATACGCACGTGGTGGCAATAGTGTGTTAAATTATTATGAATTTTTATTTCCTTGTTAAGAAGATATCTTAAGCATTAATTTAATGTTTTATATGAACTTATAATTTATATAAGTGAATGTACGGCTTAATTCCAGATATTTCTGGATCATCTCTGGTATATATAAGTTGATATAGGTTTGTAAAAGTCAACATCGAACAACTCATTTTAGTAGATTGTTAAGTATAATAGAAAGCAATAACTCCATTCCAAATGAAACAACTGGTTCTTTGTTGTTTACATATTATATGACGATTTCTGACTTCGTATGGTGGAGCATGTTCATGAGAGATAGGTTAAAAGTACACCATCTATCATGCCCCCGAGCACCGGCTTAAGCAATATTAATTTTTAATCTTCATCACTAAAATTCTGGAATCAATGATCCTGACGAGCCAGAAATATATCATCATAACAGGAAAGTGAAGTTCGGACACTTTTTACAGCTCTTCACACCTGCTTTTGTTGAGTATTGAAATCTGAAAAAGGGCGGTCCCTCGGAATAATACACAATTTGGAATTAAATACGGTCAGTTTAATATAAATAGATAATAAATATCTACATAAATATTCATAGAAATCAACTAAGATTATCTTTATGTTATTTGTCTGACCTTGTATTATGGTCGTCCGTGAATATCAAAACATAAAAACAACGTTTCTATTACACAACAAGTTTCAAGTATACATTATTTTGTAAAATAATTTATAGTACAAGTGAACATAATATCTGTATATGTATCTACTTTGTAATTGTATACGTATTTTTCATATAAAAATGTCGACAATAACTTAAAGTGACTCGTTCAAGTTTGCAGTGAATATTTTGTTATTTCATATTGTTTTATATATGAACTAAATATTATATATACAGAAATGACAGTATTCATTTCAGCACGAGTTTCTTGTGGCCAGGTCTGAGATGGTAATTGGTAATCATACTCTTAATGCTTATCTTAATACTAAAACATTTGCTTGTTAAGCGACCAAAATTCAACTTAATTTTATATGAACTGAATGTCCTTGTATATTGTGAGGGTTTTTATATACATTGTAATTTAAAGTCACGTTTATCCTCAGAAATGAGTATATTTCTTCTGTGTTTTATACTACATGTAGTTTCTGTTTTTTCGCCTCATGTATTTTGGCCTAGCGCCCCGCGGAGCGCAATTAGGACAGATTTGTCACTGAGTGATATTTTTGTGTCTTTGTCTGTCGGGGCGACCGAAAGGCGAAAGCACGAAAATATGGTAAAGTGATAATTTGTCGAATTTTCGTTATTTCGTTTAGCGTTCAGCGGGGCGAAAGCACGATATTGCGACAAAGTGAGCACTTTAAATTTGTCGATTTTTTGTGTTTTCGCATGGCGCCTCGTGGAGCAAAAAATACGACATGGCACAAATCAGCCGCCATAATTCTATTAATTATAATAAAATTTGACAATTACAAATTGAAGAAATTTGCTTGAATGTTATATAATTTGTAATAAATGTTGCCAAAGGAAACAAATTGGTAGTTAGCATAAAATCTACCTAATCACTATAATTGTACTTGATTCCAAAATGTAACAGAAACATCAGATGGTTGAGATATATGGTTAATGGGTACTCTTGACACCAACATAGAAAATATTCAAGGTCTCTGGCCAAATATAAACACAGGATTTTTTTACTACACTAAATAAATTCATAGGTAGCTTACAATAAACATGTTACAAATGTATTATCATTTTTTTCCTTTTTAGGGGATGGTGGAAGGTTTTTGCATTTAAATGGCATAATAAACAAATGTTTCAGCACTTGTGGGCACATTGTAGAAGATTCTTGATTCTACTAGTAATAGTGATTTTGCATTGTGGAAATACATTGTAGTTTATATTTCGTTTTCCCTTATTATGATGTATGATGACGTTATGATGTCTCTATTTACCTCTACTTAGCGGCCGATACCGAACCCAGTGAATTAAACAAATTTTGCAAAAAACGAAATCCGCACATGAATTTAATACAATTGTTTGATATAATGAATTTATGATATATACATTTTCATTAAATATTCACGTTTACTAGGTTAGAAGCAAGTTATAGAAATACTTAAATTTATTAAAAAAAAAAAAAAAGTGAATATATACACAAGTATGCGTGATTCGCTTTAACTTTGATATTAAGATTAAGTGAAATTATATCCTTAAATTACAAAAGAGATGTATGTAGTTTCGAAATAAATGTCACAAGAGAAGTACAGAAATTACATATCTTAAATTTTCAAAAAACTACAAATTTAGTTTTAATTTTTACTTTAGTTTCTTTTACCAACTTGACACACGCAAGTGGAGACAGTTTTTGTTTATATGAGACAAATATGGAGATGAATGTAAGATTTAAACTCGTCATCACGTTTATTGTCTTAAATAGTGCTTACGTTTGGTCTTTAAAGGAAAATAATGACATATCTAAAAGACTGTCAGTTCTTGAAGACATGCTGACTGAAATGGAAAGCATCGTTCGAGAAACAGATGTTAAAGTAAACAAAGCTCGAGATAAAGTGCAAGATACAGAGGAATCAATAAAAAGAGATTTTTCTCGATTAGAATATTCTACTGAAAGGAAACAGAGAAGACATTATAGACGAATTGAGAAAGAAGTCAAAAAGGAACTTAAGCACGATAGCCATATACTCAATGAAATGATTGAAAGTATTGAACAGATTCAATACAGAAATGTGGATAATCAGACTAGAGATTTGACTGACACTGATAATGGTCTGGAAACAATGCACCACCATGTGGAGATGAACGTACATCAAGGAATTGCTCATACAGAAGGTATACCATCTTTTAATTTTAGATAAAAGTCAAATCAGAATAAGTTAACAAACTTTATAATTATTTTCAAATCTTCTTTGTGTGCTTTCTTCAAATAAAAGAGTTAAACAAAGATCAAGATTTTTTCGAAATTCAAGTTATTTGAACATTATTACCATATCATTTATTTTTTAATAAATTTTACAACTTTCCTTATTTACCCAATTCAAAGCTTACAGGCAATACACCTGTAGATGTTTCTTAAATTGCGATGATTAAATGGGACTGCAGGGGTAATTGCGGTATCTTTCACATGAACAGACTCAATCAAACCAAGCATGTAACATTTTCAATTTGCGTTTTAGTTAGGCGTGCTTTAGGGATACCGTTCTTATCTATTTTGACTTACGTTTTCAGAATCTCGGATTATGTTCAAGGCTGTTCAAATAAATAAACGTCGATACTCTGACGGGGAAACTATAATATTTTCTGATGTGATAACCAACACTGGAGACGGATATGACCACAAATACGGCTTATTTGTAACGCCTTTAACAGGGACGTATTACTTCACGGTTCAACTGTATATTCTTGCTAACAGAGCTGCTTTAGATATAGGAATTTATGTTAATGACGAATGCATTGCTTGGGCCAGGTTATCACACAGAGAAGATTCATGCGGGAACTTAGCAGTTGTTGCCAATCTGAATCTGGGTGACGTCGTTAACGTGAAACAATCTTCGAAGTCATATTCAGATACCTATAAGGTCGACTCAAACAAATTTTTTAACGTATTTTCTGGTGTATTCATTCGATAACTTTTCAATATATATTACTTACAAAACATTTGTTATCGAGAGTCGTTTTTCCTCGTGGTCAATACACATATTATTTTCATGAATTATAGACTACAACTAAACACGAATGTGCTGGTACTTGAGAGAGTTGATTTGTAGACTTGTATCATATGTGTATGAAGTTCGCAAATTTTTGTGAGCTTACTTGTTTTACTTAAAGCAGAGTTCATTATGTTGAAATTTCCATTCATTTATGGCATAGAAGATACTAAAAATTATGCAATAAAAGTGCATACAGCTGAGAATAGAAAATGAGTTTGAAAATAAAACTGCTTGTAATAAAACGTTTTTGATTTTCACCACAAAGAATGTATGAATATGCACATATCTTACGCTATGCTGACAGATGCTTAATATAAGACCAGTTGTTACTAGACCTTATGTAAGTCTAAGCCAAACCAACGACAGTGCTAGGAGCAAGCAAAGCGTGAGGAATGTCTAAGTGTTAAAACATCAGACATTTACTATACGACAGTAAGACAGCAAGGAACTGTCAAATTTCGATAAAAACTTGCACTCGTATGAAACCCGATGTTGTAAACATTTGTTTGTTCTTATATTTTGGTGTTTAAAGGGAACAAATGAATAACACAATCTACATGAAATTCATTTAAGATAGTAAATAGCCTTCGGAGTGCAAAAACACTGTTGGTGTAGTTTTACAACGAAGGAGGGAGTTATTGTAACAACTTGCCATGTTTGAACTTTTTCTGATATCTTTTAGGAAAGTATTCTGGTCAGCAAAACTGCCAGTAGTTGAAACTATTCCCTTTTATAGCAAAATATTGAAAAGTAAAAGTTGATGATCACGGAATTGTACAAGAACATAGCTGAACCAATGAATATCAAAAATATTTTTGATTTCAATTCAAAGAAGATGCCTAGATAAGAATATAAATGACAAAATACAAAATATTTCAAGACCCAGTTTTTTCAAGAATTCAATACATTTCGAATAAAATCTGATTGTTTTACAGCACAGATTTGTCTAATTGTCAGAATTCATCCACTAACATAATTACATAGATTGGTATTTTACATTATTCGAAGCTCTACTGCATTAATACAGATTAACATTTTGTGTTATTTTTCACTATTCATTTACAAAAATTCTTGTAATATTTTTTTCCATATGTTTCTGCATTTAATTAAACAGAATATAGTTTTTATTGAGAACATTATCATTATTAACAATACTCGGATATGCATGTATATTTACTTCAATAAATCAAAACTGAGTGATTGTTCTTCTGTTTCTTTGCCTTTCTACAAAATCACTTCAGTCGCAACAATAAATTTTATTGGCATGCATTCGTTTACGGGTCACAAGCATATTCTGTATTGTTCTATAAGCAACACATAAGGGTTATGAATTCTTGTGCCAAAGACAGCTTGAGTAGCTCGTCTCCACATTTGCTATTGCTGTTGCTGTTTGGAAATGATCACTTTCCATAAATACTTTGCCAGGTGGTCTGTTTTCTCACACAGTAGACATTAATCGTTGAAGAACCAGTTATCAGGAAGGGGTAGTACATGGATCTTTATTTACGCATCAAGGACAGACATAGTATCTGACAACCAACTGAAGACAGTCCTATTGTAACTGTTTAATAATTGTAGTCGTCTGTATGATGAACCGCTCGATGATTGAATAATTATACGAATTTATAGTTGTCATAAATTTACATTATGCTGGTTTTATAGATGCTACATGTAGTATTCTTGTTATGTCATGAAACACTGTCTATGTCTCCCTCTTCATACAGTATTTTCTTGATTAAACGAATAATAAACTGTCATTGCTATGCAATTATGTACATTGTAACATACTGTCTAAATGGATGATCTTATTTTTGTAATTGATATTTCAGCAAACAGGTGTTCTATCATATCCGGTTACAGATTAACGAGATCTTTCTTTGTCAAAAAAAATGATATACGTATTTTTTTTTATGAAACGGATTTTTGATATATTTTCATTTGCTCTACTCTAAATATGAGTTTTGTTTTATTTTGTTTCATCATATTCCCATCAGCTTTTAAGTAAAATAAATTGAGCATTGGTACAAGAAAGGCATTAATGCAAAGAATCAAAGGCGACGCAAAATATATTTTTGGATGCAAAGTATTAACAATTGTGCACTAACTAGTGCCAGTGTTCACTTCATCTTGAACTGAATAAACAACAAAATCAAATTTAACCTTAAACTGTTGGATGTAACTGACCTGAGCTTTGCACTTCTATTTTAAATAGTACCATTGGGTACCAATCAATGGATAGAAAAATATTTTTATTGACTAAAGAACAGTTCAGATTGAGATAAGACTAAATGGATATGTAGGCTGACCTTGATCTGCATTGAGCAAGTTTACACAAAATGTTAAGCAGTTTAAGGATGATAATATAATTATAAGGAATAAAACCCGAGACATTTGGTTATGTTAGTAATGGTAAATCAGAACCCTCGCACCTGATTCTTAACTATTCTATGGAGCGATGTAAGTTTCTTTCGTCATTCAATAACAAACACACACAAAATTTTCTTATACATTTATTTCACATAAAAACTAAACACGTCACTGAAAATAAATCTGGTCCAAGGTGAGGAAAAGAAAAAATAAGATAAAAAATACTAAATTTTTATATAGGCAGAATTTCAAATTAGCTATATTTGACCCCGGTGACCTTGACCCTTTGAACTAGTGATCAAGGATATTGCAACTGCAGAAATACTCAGCGATCATTTTTTTGAAGTATCAATGTATGAAATATCAATCAAGGCTCTTAACTCCATTACGTTTTTACAAACAACATGTGTTCAGAAACATTGTAAGTCTGATATTTTTGGTGCAGAAACATGCATTTGAAGTTGTTAGTAAAAACCTTGAATAATAAAAAACTTTAGTGAAAAATCATAAAAACTTGAATCAGAAATCTTGACGACGTCGCCGACGCTTGGCGAGTATAGGACAGCTAGTCAAGATTAAAATGATGTTCATATTTTTCATACTGACATCTATCCATCAATTAAGTTTCATAAAAATGTTTACAGCACTTTTTGAGTAATCAAAATATTGTTATATTTGCCATATTTTAAGCCAATTTGTTGCCACCGCAACCAGAATTTTCAACATGGGGAAAAAAGAAAAAAAGACGTGCATAATCTCGAGACTGCCATCTACCCATATTTCAAGTTTCATAAAAATATTTTCAGTACTTTTTGCGTTATAAAGGGATCCGGTTTTGTGGACTGACTGACGGACGGACGGACGGGGGGAGGTAAACCGTTAGGGGACTAAATACATTCAATTGACTGACATGATAAAACGCTATTTTCTTAAATTAAAGAGTAGTAAATGCAACTATATATGGCAAGTTAAGCTCTTTTTGTTATCTCCCTTCATCTCCAAGTATTCATGGGATTTCTTTTTTTATTCCCTATCTTTTGCTTGTTGCTTATCACTAGACTTCTTCATTTATACCTCGAAATTACTACCATAGTATATTCATCAGTTTAATACTTTTCATGCACCATAACATTGTGTTATACATGTATGTTTAAAAATGCTGATATGATTATTAAAATTAATTTTATGTAAATTTAATGTATTTTATAATTATTGTTGTTATTATTATTATTATGATTATTATTTTCCTTGATTCTTCAACTTTAGTAATATCTCGTGGCCACTAATTACTAAGTCGTGGCAACTAGTTACTTAGTCGTGGCCATGAGATAGCTAAGTCGAGCTATATGATGCATACAAAACCTGTTGGAGAAAGCTGCCGTAAACATGAACTAAACAATCATTTCTTCGCAGATGACTAACAACTCTATCTATCCTTCAACCCAGTAATTAGTATTTCAATTCAAGAGAATATAAACCGTATTGAAAGATGTCTTGAAGATATTGTAAGTTGGATGAATGTCAACATGCTGAAGCTAAACGGTGACAAAACAGAGTTGATCATCTTCTCATCTGATATAACGCACAACCTGTTTCAGATGTTACAGTAACAGTCGACGGTTCGAAAATCAGTCAATCATCTAGTGTGCGCAATCTTGGTGCATTTCTTGACTCGAACATGAAGATGGAACAACATGTAAATAATGTATGTAGGAAATGTTGTGCACAATTAAGACATATTTGTCACATCAGACCCTATCTTACTGTTAAAGCAACCAAATCTCTAGTAAATTCACTTGTTACCTCTACTGTAATGCACTGTTATATGGATTTTTGTAAGCAGTCAATGACCAAGTTACAACATGTTCAAAATACAGCAGCTAGAATTATGACCAAAACACATATGACCACATGACACCTATCTTACATGAACTTCACTGGATTCCGGAGTATAGGGTCGGATATAAAATTTTGACTTACTCATATAAATCCGTCAACGATCAATCACCAACCTGATAGACGTTTACACTCCAGTCCCAGAATAACGCAGTGACATTAGTTGTGCCTAAATCTCGGACAGTACGATATGGTGACAGGTGCTTCCAGACAGCGAAATTATGGAATGCTTTACCACCTGTCATTAGAGACTGTAAAACCACCAAGTTTTAAGAGAGCTCTCAAAACACATTATTTCATAGAGTTCTATGGACGTTAGTTTCATAAAACAACATAAATTTACTAACCAGTGTAATTTGTGTCTTCGATTTTGTGTCTTAGGGCTTTACTTTATAAATTATAATTGATTTTGTTTTTACTTTTGTTTGATCCTTTTTAACAATCTTTTTTCGTTCAATTTTTTTAAAGGATTTTATTTCTTGTTAAATTGAGCCTTGATTTTAAACTAAATATGTCTGTATCTCTTACCATCCTCTACTTGTTTTAGATTATCATTATTGTTAAATAGGTTTGCTTACCTTATATCTTATATATGATTATGTTTTTATCAGATTTATGTAAAGCACTCTTGAACATTTATTATTTATAAAAAGAGTGCTATAGACATGTGGTATAAAATAATGATAATAATAATTGTCTATGCTGTCCAGAATATCTGGAGAGTGTAAGATCCATTCTCTATTCTTGAATTGAATTAAAACAGAGTCATATCTAATATCATTTCACAAAGCATCATATTTTCATAGCATCATACACCTTTGTATACCATTAAACAGTTGTTATATGTCTACTATGGTATAGGCTAAAAGAAGTATTTATATATACATATGAATGTATGTACATGTATATTTGCACCACATTACAAACTTTTCCCTGTCTGGGCCAGTAATACCAGCACTTACATCTTTACTAGATAGCTGTCGCACCTGGTCAGCCGTAGCGAAACCACAATTAAATGGTAATGTTTTTCATGTATATTATGCATTATTAAGGGTGACAGAATGTAGCATGTAATTTTATTTTGGTCTTAGTGAATAGGTCTAGCAGTATTATAAAATACGTTCGCTAAAGTCTCTTAAGCTAGTCACCTCTGTGCCCACGTAGATAATGACTATGTAATAATTCCACACTTGAATAAGGAAAATAGACAGATAAAGCACATTATCATGATTATGTCTCAGAAATACATATTCATTAAATTCTCTAGAAATATCAAACATGTGTTTAATAATGTTTTAATAATGGATTAAGAGCAGTTAAGATGCATAACAAATGTGGAAAATAGCGCTGAATGTGCAGTAATGTGTCGTTAAGGTACTCTTCTGCGCATCGGTCGAATGTACCACTATCGCGTCCGGCAAAACCATACAATTGTAGAAAAAATACTAATTATTTCGTTTAACTAACTTATACGGACTATTTACATACTAAAATATAAAAGTGATGGCATAATGCTATTCTTATTTTCGTTTTTGATGGATAAATAGTACTTATTCTTGACATTTCTTATTTCTGTATAAGATCGAAGGATATAGGTCAGGGTAACGCATTGTAACACGGCCAGCGATTGGCTGAAAAAAGTGCAGGGAAAACCGTATGATTCAGTTTATACATGAGGCGATTGGATGAAAGTGGGGTATTTTTAAGTATAAAAACTAATTTAAAAAGTAACTTTACAATGTTTTCTGAAGAAAATGAAATATTTCATGAGTCTCTGTGATAATTTTGACTTGGATATTTGCATTTATAAAAAGTGTGTGTCAGTCCTGTGATCAGCAGAAAATTTCAATGAAATGGGGGGTAATCCTATTTGAAGTCATTTTGCAAAAAATTTGGTTGGCTACCCCTATATAACAGGAACATTTTTATGTGTC